CGGCATMCGAGATTCCTCACACCACAGCCTGGCTCGATGCAAGTTGCTCGACCGGGAGTGGTTCGCCCACCCACGGCAACCTCAGCCACGACTTTCGGAGGAGCTTCACGAAGAAGTCTGCCGTCGTTGAGGAGAAGGGAAACGAAGCTGGCACAGAAGCAGGCGCATCCTTGGTAAGTTTTGGTGGCTCGCAGCGTTGGGATACAAGCTTATATCCTTGCAGGCAACATTTGGGTCTCACGCTCGGACTGCCCATGGTCATCCTCTTCGATCTCGTCGTCCCCTGTATCGTCTACTACGTCTGGTACATCCACACGGGCCGACAATGGAGAAGACGTTGTGACGAAGAACACCCAAACGAAGTCTGCCCAACACCGCGACCACAATACAACAGCGAGATCCTCGGCTATGCCATCATCTGTTTTGGGTTTGGAGAGATCTGGATTCTCGGCGCTCGAGTTCACAGACTCTTTTTCCATCAGGAGGAATGTGCGCCGCTGCTGTCCCGCAGTAGATATGAGCTGGACGCCACATCTTGGGTATACGGAGTTGCCGTCCTGTTGGCTTTGATTCCATTTGTGATTGGAGCAGAGGCGGAGATTCCAGAGCTATACCTCTACGCTCCAGCTTTCATCATGGTGTTTTTGATGATCCTGATGATCATCACCACTTTGATCCCCATCAAACTCCCCATCGGCATCAACTCGCAGGCTCGTGGATCGAGGATACGACCTTTTATCTACTATGCCGCCGAGGACTTTGTCGCTGTTGATGGACTGCAGGACAGGGAGTTCCGAGTGCGATACAACGAGCGATATGAGACGAACAGGATGTTCCGAAGGTTCTTCCTCTACCTGACGTTGTGGTGGATCCTGGGTACGATTGTTTACATCGGGTGTTTGTCGGCTGTGATATGGAACTGCGAGTTCCACGTGGCATTCGGGCTGTCGTTCGGTGTGTTGTTCAGCTATATCGTAGTGTGGGCGGGCACGACGTTTCTATGGGTTAATTGGGAGATGAAGCGGGAGCATCGAGCTTACGAGAATGACGAGATAGAGCCGTGATGGATCGCAGCACTAGAATTGGATGATGATGATGATAACAGAATTTGCTCATACCTATCTTACGATGATGCTAAGGTATCACGATGGATGGAAAGTGAAGCCGGCGACGCACTCACCGACATGTGGCACTGTGTGACGGTCGGGCACGAGCGGCAAAAAGAAATGATCGACATGGAACATGGAGCATGGGATAAACCTTGTCGACTCCACTTCTGCAGCTGCGTGCATGTGTGTTGTGTGTTTCTCGAGCTACGCCATCGCTCGTCGTATCGATAACAACACCTTTGTGGGGCTGCCCGCTCTCAACGTCTTCCTTTTCTCTCTCGTCTGTGTCACACATGGAACAAGCACAAGGCATGAACATCTCCTTCCGCATCTTCCACAATTACATCCTTCCTAAGTGATAAGGCAGCTGAAACACAGGCCCGACGGCAACTGAAGGACTACAAAGAAATTCAAAATCCAGGTACGCTCGTTGCTCCAAATTTCTCGCATCATCAGCTCGCCAGCTGCTGCAAGTGGATCCTCTTTCAGACAGCTGATCACGATCCGATCGCTAAAAAGAGCAAGCTGCTGACCTGCTTCTTGATTGCCAGCCCGAAAACATCCTCCTCTCTCACACACTCTACTAAACATCTCCACCAAAGACACACCTCATCAACACCAACACCACCGCAAAGATGGGCACCAGCGAGTTCGTCGACCTCATCAAACCTCTCGGCGAGCGTCTCTCCCTCTACGACCGCACCGCCATCCCAACCTCTCAACCCAAAAACGACGCCGCCGATCCCGCCAAAGGTGTCCCGCAAGGTTTCATCGACGCCATGCAAGTCCGCGAAGAAGTCTACGTTCGAGAACAAAACATCCCACTCGAGAATGAAGTCGACGAGGATGATGCGAGGAGTTTCCATTGGGTCGTCTATGCGAGTATTCCCACCAAAGCGACGACAAATGGGGAGAGGAGAACGAGTAATAGCACCAAGATTCCTATTGGGACTATCAGACTTGTTCCGCCCCCTCATCATCCTCATAGTGTGAGTGCTGCAGAAACGAATGGCAATGGAAATGGGAATGGAAATGGAAATGGACATTACGAACCGGAAGAAGCGTATATCAAACTCGGACGCCTGGCTGTCATCAAGGAGTTTCGCAAAGCAGGAATCTCAAAATTGCTCATCGAGACTGCTCTGGCGTTCGCAAGGGAACATCCCTATGAGGTGGGACCGCAGATGGACCTTTCGGAAGCTCTACACAAAGGCGTCGCGATGAACTTCAAGGGATTGGTGTTGGTGCATTCACAAATCGGAGTGCAGAAGGTGTGGAAGCGGTATGGATTCGAAGTAGATGAGAAAATGGGAACGTGGGATGAAGAGGGCATTGAGCATGTGGCGATGTGGAAGAGGGTTGATGTCAGTAGCGGGAGGAGGAATAGTAAATTGTGGACGCAGGGACATTCGGCCGTCAAACCGGTTTGATTGGAACTGGTTATTGGGTGGGTGGGAGTGTGCATGATGGAATGAATGTTGTTGAATAGGCGTTCAGGGAGGGTATACCCGGTCAATAGTATTCTAGGACAGAACGATGCTTTGGATATGGATAGTGTATGTGCTGTCCATGGAAGGCATCCGAAAGCGATTGTTCTCTTTTGAGCTGCTTCCAAGCGGGATCCATGCCTACCTTACCTGGTGTTGTTCCTTTCCAGCTAAGAAGTGATCCGGTCGTGAGAAGCATAGTAAGGGAAGGGTGAAGAGCAGCCAGTCCACAATTAAACATTGACATCTCGTTCACACGCTCAGAGGTTTCTGAAGGATCAATAAGGAGGCGATAATCTCCTCCTTCCAACCCTCCAATCCGTCATCGTCATCTTGATGTGTGTTCGAAACAGTGGATCCCAGTCCGTGGCAACAGGAACATTGCTCAGGTATTCTGTGGAGACTCGCTTTGGTCAGACGTGGTACTGCCGACAGAGCAGCTGACCCGAACGAACAAAGCGATCAGCGAGAGCAGGCTAAGAGATCTTCTCACTGACCCAGCTAGATGACGAGATAGCAATTGCAGAAGATCATACACATGGAGAGAAACATACCAAATACTCACCCACAGTCACCATGTCCCTCTTATTCTCCCCAAGCGTTTCCGTTTGGACGTCACATCTCTCGATCTTTCTCCATAGGAATTCATTCTGAAGACACAGGTATGAATCTTCGTCATTGTCCTCCTCCTTCAGCAGAATATCCGCGGGTTCCCGATTTCGAATGAGGGAAAGCAGGCAATATTGGGTCTGAGGAATAAGTGAGTGGCCATTCGCAATCCTTGCTGCTTCCTCTCGGTCTTGGGTTTCAAGAACGGTAGAGCGGAGCCAGGAAAGATCGGCCATTTGAAACGACATCTTGGTGAGCGTGTGTAGGTAGTTGTAGAAGAGAATGAGTTTTTGGTAACAGTGTTCACTTCACGCTAATCGAAAGGAAGGAACCAAAACCTATCATCGAAGATAGGAAGGAGCAGTGAAGTGGATGGCATGAGAATGAACAAGAGAAAAGTTTAGAATACTCAATGAAGAAGTTCAAACCTTTGTTCCTTCGCAGGTTCTGTCCGTACACACACATATTTATATACCGATATCATCCCATTGCAGAACACTTCGTCTGCACGGTTTCTACTACTACACCACAAGTCGCATGCTCCCCAAAAACGCCGCGCCAAAGTACGTAGCAAGAATCAAAAGAAACGAGGTCGTCAAGTCATGCGCAAATCAGTCAAGCTTCATGTTCAGTCTCTCGACAGATGAAGCTCTTCTCAGCTCATATGACAGCCCACTCCAACACCTCCAGAGCCATGAGCACCAACAGCAAGGTACTCGGGAAAATAACCACGACATAGCTCGCCACCAGTAAACTACTCATAGCTCCCATAAACACGCCGTTGATCTGACAGATCTGTGCGAGCTGCAGTGCTGAAGGTGCGCCCGTCAACAAGAAGCATACGATGATGAAAATCGGATCGTCGAGAATGCTGACGGGGATGAACTTGGCCGTCAAAGCCAGAACAGGAGCCATGATGATAACGGGCAATACCATACGGGAGAGAAGCGAAGCGTAGAGGAGTTTTCGCTCTTCCTTCTTCTCCTCCGGTGATGTAGCGAGTTGATCCTGGGGAAGAGTAGAGCGCGCGAGGTTGGCGCCTAGCACAACCAAGATGAGTGGGACGGCGACGTTGCCACTCTGTTGAATCGCGCGTGTTACGGAGTTGGAGATGAGAGTGCCCTTGTCGAAGAAGAGGTGCTGGAGATCGGGGATCGATGCGACGATCAGAGCAGCCAACATTGCCCAGAGAGGTGGGTTCATTTGTCGCCAGACTCCTTGGCCAATGACGGAAAGGTAGTGGCCGATGACAGAGAGAACTTTCTGCACGGGCTTTGGAAGGCTACGGAAGAGGTTGTTGAAGAATGTACTGATTGTCGCGGCGCTGCGTCTGCTCACGCGGACTGCGGTGCTCTTGACATGGTAGAGGGGTGCCTTCCAGCCCGTTTTTCGCTGGGAGTCGTCTACGAGATTAGCCGTAGTAGACCGCGAGAAGTTGGGGAATGCTGTCAAGGATCGTTGGCTGGAGGAGTCGTCGGCAGAGTCGTAGATCAAGTTGCGTGGTTCACGTGAGATGTTGTTGCCATTTCCTGGTGCGGCCGGGATGATCTCGTGCTCATGAAAGTCTTCCCTCGATCGCGTACTAGACACCGAGTTGAAGCCAGAATCGTGAACACTGTCGGCCAGCTTGTGAGGGTTGTGCTCCTCTGGATCGTCCATGTATTGTYCCTCCTCAATTCCCCGCGACTCTTCTGCAGCCAAAGCTCTCTCGTCATCCTCATATGCGGATGCAGGCTTGAGCAGGACACTGTATCCCCAGGTCCATCGCAGAAGCTGTCCGAGCTGCTGGAAGATGAGAAGATAGAGAATGCCTCTCGCAGCAACCTCATCGTCGTTGTCTCCCGGTATTTGATCCCAATGCAATCCTTGAATGGTCTTGCTCAAGCTCAGCACCAAAGAGATTGGCAGCGAGTTGGAATTTCCAAAAACACCCATGGCCAATACGAAGTTCTTCTGCATCTTCTTGTTTTTCTTCCCAAACCCAAACAATCGCGCCATCAAGGTAGCACACAGGAATGATACCAGGGTCTGAGCGATGAAAATGAAGGGGATCACAACCAAATCGGAGAGTTTGTCGGCGTTCAGTTGACTGGCAAGCTTTGTGAAAATCAGACATGGTGTGAAGATCATGGTATTGAGCTCAGCGAGGAACTTCTGGCTGTTTGCATCGAACATGCCCGTAATGGCAACGAGGTAGCCTGGCAGTGCGACAAAGACCACCTCCAGAACGGCCTCGCTCACCAAACCGGCCAGGTTGATGAAGTTGGGATGCGATTCGTGAGCGAGGGCGCCCATTGTAGCGTTTGCGACGGCGTCGAAGATGGGGAATTGTGCGTCGAGAGGATCGAGACCTCTCCGTTGGTTGAAGCCGACGAGAGAGGCGCTGGCCAGTTCGCGGAGACGAAAGGACTTGGGATGCGTGAAGATGGACATGGCGGCGGAGGCTGACGGAGGTTGTTGTTGGGATCAGGAGGTTGAGGTTTGTCGCGGCAAGTGACACCAGCGATCAGGTACGCTCGCAGTAGAAAAACACTTTGCGACGATCTTTACTGGTTCCTGAAACTGCAGGTCGATGGGGAGAGAGAGGTTCAGGTGGCGACGGCGTGGAGGTGAGGTATGATTACTGCCGGTCGGAATGGTGAAAGCAAGGACGACCTTTGGAGAGCAAAGCCGGAACCCGACATGGGTAGATAGGTACCTTAACAAAGAACCGGTTGAGGTTCCAGGATGATGCTCCCAAGAGGGCCAAGACTATGCCAAGTTTCAGTGATAGTCTAGATCGATATCGCTTTAGGTTACCGTCTCCGTCGTCATTCTGAGACTTCTTGTACGCTATGAAGAGTGCGCATTGGATGGCTCGGTTTCACGAGCTCTTCGTCCTCTTCCTCGTTTCCTTCTTCTTCGTCATATTCTTCTTCAGGTTGCATGGCTAAGAGCTGTACAAAGATTGACGCGGCAGATCGACATGCCATGCGCACATGCGCCTACTTTAGACGCTCCGCGCTCCGCGGACTTGAGATACAATACACGATAATGATGCTGTTGTTGGTGGATGGAGAGACGAAGCATTCTCGTCAGTTGTAGACTATCTCGTCCAAGCAGCAAATTGGACGGCACTTTCAGCGCCGACTCTGTATCGTGTTTCGCTTGGGCTGTGGCTGTCCATACCTAACCCATCACCACGTGCGTCAAGGGTGGGGCGCGGTAGGGATCCATGGATGCCAGTGGACTACACACTAGCGTTCCACAAGTCACGTATACGGTCCACGTAAGAACTGATGAGTTTAGACGCACTTGTCTACACCGAATGGCCTTCCAAATGAGGAAAGTGATGTCGTGTTGTGACTGCCATACACTACCTAGGTAAAGGTGCTGTCGTCGCATGAACGTGGTAATAATGATGACAAATCGATAAACTTGWGTGGTTCTGGAGTCCAGACCTCTCTACAAGGTCGCGAGAGTAAGTGAGGGCAGTGAGAGGAGTTACAAGTTCATTATATGCTCCTCTTCTTGTAGAGATTTTCTCACATCTATACCATGCCAAGTAAGCCCAGCCGCCGCGGACACATTCGTAACACATGAGGCGAAAGTCAAATACACTGTGGATGAACTGAGCTCAACTCCTTGATTTTCTTGCCGCCCTCTTGCACCGCCACACGATCGTCACGCTCATGAACATTACGCAGTGCATCGATTTGCTAACAAGATTCCTATTCCAGCGCTGTCGTGTGGTCTCCCCGATCCGCGAGACAAACCTCCGCTGCACACGCGTGTTTCCCTACTGCGTGGTTCTCCCACCACCTCAGACTCTCCCCTCTGCGGCCAAAGTCTTTTAGGGCTGCGGTGTCTGCCAGCCTCACCATGTCCGACTCGCACGATGACCTCGAGAGTCCTCTGGAGTCGCCCTCGCCGCCCACTTCACCAGAGGAGCTTTCCCCTCCGCTTGTCGATCCCGCTCTCAATCGCCTCGCATCACCCCCGCGGACCGTTTCCGACAACTCCATTCCTGCTACCATGTCGAATATGACGGCCTCCTCCACCCCCCGCGGTACACTCGATGCCGCACGAAGACCTCCCCCTGGCCCGACGGCTGTTCGTGGTCCAGCGGGAGCATCGGCCATGAACCCAGACATCATGGCCAAGATGAGAGCCTTTACACTGTCACGCTCGGGACCAGTTGCCCCGCAACCCAATCGTGGTCCTGCAACACCAGGAGGAGTCTCGTCCCCAGGACCGGCTGTTGCTGGATTCCCTCCCAACTTTCGTATGCCACCGAATCTCGGTCGACCAAATCCTCAAAGCATTGCTTCCTCACCAGCCGTGCCTGGTGCTACCGTCCCACCCAAAGGCATGTCACTTGCTGAGAAGCGTGGATTGAAATTGCCAGGAGGACTCCCTGGCGCTGCACCAGCTGCTACCACAGGTCCAGCAGGGCGAAAGAAACCGGTTATGAGTTTGTCTCAGATGCATGGTGGTGGTCCTGCTGCTGGAGAGGCGGCCGACAGCCAACCGCCGGCTCAGCAAGAGAGCGCCATGGACAAGTATGCCGACATGATCGACACCAAGACTGGAGCATTGAAATTCAAGGGCAAGGCAACCGTGCATGGTGATGGCATCGACTTTACTTCCGGCAAGAGTTTCAGTATAAGTCTAGACGAAGTGGACACGTTGGACGAGCTGGGCAAGGGAAACTATGGCACTGTTTACAAGGTCAGACATGCACGTCCAAGATTTCGCAAGACGGGACAAGGCCTGGCAGGCAACAAGGCTCGTGGGCCTTTGGCAGACAGGAATGACGACCAGAGCCCATCTTCACCGACGAGGGCCGATGCGTTCACCACCCCAACAGCTGCCACAACCGCCCAGGCATACGGACAAGGCGGCACGACTGGTATAGTCATGGCTATGAAGGAGATGCGGTTGGAATTGGACGATGCCAAATTCCAGTCTATCATTATGGAGCTCGACGTTCTCCACCGATGCGTATCACCGTACATTGTTGACTTTTACGGTGCATTCTTCCAGGAAGGTGCCGTGTACATTTGTATGGAATTTATGGATGGAGGGAGTGTGGACAAGTTGTACGGAGATGGAGTTCCAGAGGGAGTGCTGCGGAAGATCACATATGCGACCACTCTTGGGTTGAAGTCACTCAAGGAAGAGCACAACATCATTCACCGTGATGTGAAGCCCACCAATATCCTGGTCAACTCCAAAGGACAGGTGAAGATTTGCGACTTTGGAGTGTCTGGAAATTTGGTGGCAAGTATAGCAAAAACCAACATTGGGTGTCAGTCATACATGGCGCCTGAGCGGATATCGAGCGGCGGGATGGCACAAGCTGGGAGTTCGGGTGTACAAACTTATTCAGTACAGTCAGACATCTGGTCCCTGGGGTTGACAATCATTGAGTGCGCGTTGGGAAGATATCCTTACCCGCCAGAGACCTACAACAACATCTTCTCTCAGCTTTCGGTGAGTGCTCCCAAGCTCCTGATATCTTGCAATGCTTGCTAACAAAATCACAGGCAATTGTCGACGGCGAACCACCAGACCTCCCGGCTGACGCATTTTCCGAAGCTGCCCGCGACTTCGTAGCAGGCTGTCTCAACAAGATCCCCAAGCTCAGACCCACTTACCCAATGTTGTTACAGCATGCCTGGCTCGCCGTTCTGGACAAGCCGGCAACAATCGAGGAAGAAGACGAAGAAGCGGCAGAGGAAGCTGCTGCGAATGGCGAATCAATGACACAGGTTGCATCACCTCAACCTGTAGATTCAATCGACGATGGWGGTTTTGTCGACCGCGAGGTTGGAGAGTGGGTCACTGCTGCCRTTGAGCGTCGGAGAAACGGCACGATGGGCAAAAGTGCGAAACCTGCATTGCACGCTGCGCCACTGGATGCTGTGGGTAGCCCTGCGACGGAGAAGGTCATGGCCTGAAGAACGAGGGCTGAGAGACATGCATAAGCGGGCGAAATGGGCGGGCGCCGTTGGCCGCGGGTTCATGGTTTCCCTTTGGTGGAGACGAGATACACACAGAGCACATCAAGACAGCAGAAGCTGCAGCAGCGGAGCAGCGGAGCGGGTGGGGAAATAGAGTGGAGTTCTTGCCTAGCCTTCTTCGAGAGAGCGAAGTGGATTTTGCGAACGGCGTACACAGACGCGGGGAACATGAGGATGGTGTAGATATCATACGGCCTGACACTATAAAACTCCACTACACCACTGTCCCTATGTTTGGACAGCAGCCAAGGAGAGGTCACAATAAAGTTATCGCCTTGCACCAAAGTTTGGGAAAGTGTGATAATTTCGCCTCTCCAAACAACACTTTGTGCATTGGTTCGCTCTTGTTCGCTGGGCATCCCAACATAGCATCACTGGATGAAGTGAGCTCCGAACTTGCGGAGGCTCGGGTGCATGGCACGTAGCGCATCCTGTGTGCTGGGTCCGGACGGAACGAATTCTGGGTCCGGCTATATCCGACAACGGACCTCGACGCGACGAACAACATCACCATTATTGTCCTGTTCTGTTGGTGTAGGGAGGCGGGTAATATATTGGCAGCTGCAATCTGCCTATTCACCCAAAACATCGATCTCATTCGGAAGCCTTGAGCAAATACCATGTCTCAGAGCTTGGGGAAGCCCGCGGAATTGGGAATTGCCGACGGGCTGACAGCATGGATCTTAGGTACTCGCCTGCTCGGCGCTACTTCTGGTTCTGAAGGGCAGCGCCGCATCTTCCACAGCAAGCCATTCGGTCCAACAAACAAGCCATTGTATAGTGGTACCTTAGGCTGAGACCTGGGTAGATCCGGCGGATGCTACCCTAGACGGGCGGCGAGAGGAGTAGCATGTACTCCTAGTGGGCCTCGCGCTGTGCCCCATCCTCCATGGCGTCGCCTTGTCTTGGACTCACTCTCCGGCATCATTCACTTGTCGCTGTTCCATCCCCTACTGTCTTAAACCACCCAAGACTAGTTGAGCATACTCCGCGTGTTCAACGGTCATATGAAAGCCTCAATCCCGTCTACCGCATACCTGGCTACACATTGTCCTCCCGTCCCACTCCGCCCTCCTCGAATACAGAATCTCCGGTACCGAACGTGACCTCACTGTCCCGAACGTGTAACCTCACATTGAGGGTGAGCCAACTGATACATGATGGCGATTCGCGAGAAAGCGCGAGCGCTCTTCAAAAGCAAATCCAAAAGTGATCGCGACTCACAAATCTCCAAATCCTCGACCAAAGACTCGGATCGAGAACGCTGGCCCAGCAATGTCTACAAGCCGGGCGAACCCATGCCTCGACCCAAATACCGCGCTATTCCGAAGAAGGAGCACAAGGAGAAGCTAGAAGCGTTCAGTTTCGCGGATGCTTGGAGGAGGAAGAGTTTCCAAAGCCAACATAGTCCGATGGGAACCCGAGCGCCCAGCAGGAGGAATAGTTCCAGACGGCATAGTTGGTATGGAATGGGCAAGAAGAGTTTCGGTGGGATGAGCGAGCATGGAAGAGCAAGTCGAGCGAACAGCGTCTCGAGTAATGCGGAGACGGAGAAGGGCAGCACGCGGCAGAGGGAACATGTGGGACATGCAGCTGTGGCGACGAGGCTGTCGACTGAGATTGAGCAGGAAGGCGATGACGATGTCGGGAATGGTGAGTGCCGAGATTCGAAAGACGTGGATGGTGGGAGTGGCTGACATGAAGGTAGTGGGCATCTCGAGAGTTCAATCAAGAGATCAAAGCCACAAAGGCCGGCCGAAGAACCTCGAACTTCCCAATGCACAGCAGGCCGGGAGCATTGAGAAGGCTCTCGAAACGGCGCACGATCATCAGCCGTTCACCGAGCATGATCTTGCCTTGGCGCTGTCTCGATCGCATCTGGCTGTCCCGGCAACTTCATGAAAACCCGAGCGGCTGCTCAGGATACGGAGCTTCGCATTTTATGTTGCATTCCGGATTGAAGCACTCTTGAAAAGTGGCGTTGAATGTTTCCGGGCCTTCATCGTTGGGCAGCATGTAACACTGGAATCTCTGAGCTACCTCTGGAAATTGGGTAGTTGGTCGGAGGTCCCAATATACGATAGGTCAGGCTACACAAGTGTTACGACATATCCGGCGTTCCGTGGGACACGCCACACAGCACTCCAAGGGCTCGGCATGCCAAACCGGAGGTCTGTACGAGAACCATTATCGGGGAATGCTATATGAGATGAACATCAAGCCGTTGCTTGGTACATTCGCGAAGATCCGTCGTACGGTAACTTCAAGCATCTGAGTGGGGCCCGCTAAGTGCTCTTTGCCGCGAGCATGAGCACCTCGATACTTGGCAGGCTCTACAATGCAAGAAGACGTRTAAGTGATGCCTGGACTTCCCTGGTCTGATGCGTTCAGATGATCTGGATAGAATTATCTGCATTCGGGGGAAGCCACGAGAAGAGCAAGGACCAGGTTGGTCGAATGTAGGACATGATGTAAAAACTACGGAGGGCGCTCTCAACGGTCCAGTCGGCCGCTGCCCGTATGGATTCCAACAGATTATGGGTCTACCTACAGTGGAGGCATTCGAGAAGCAGACGACAGCCTCCCTGAACGGTGATCGGAGGAAGCCCAGATGCTACTGTACACGACGGTAAATGTCGGCGCATCGGGGGATGCAATTCTGTACAAGATATCACAAATCCATGCATTTTGCTGGAGAATTCTCTCCGACGATACCCCTTGTACTCGTATGGTGAAACTCTGCGCTCTGGGGATCGCTAGCTGCGGCTAGCGATCCCCACGTTGGCAAGGATGCRGGTCTAAGAACTGCTAAACTCGGACAAGGGCTTTGTGCAGGCGGTATGGCGCCAGCCACGCTGAGGGCCTTTCGGCGATGCTGCGGTGCGCGTCCATTTCACGGCTGGCTACACACTAGGACTCCGAGTCGGTCGGTAAGAATGCAATCCAACGTGACTGCTTGTTCGGATCGCGCATCTACCTCCTACCACCAAGAGTTCAGAGWACTCAACCCATGTCCTGAAAAGGCTAATCCACCTCTCCTAGGCTACCAGGTTCGCCTTCCGAAGTCGAAACGACTCGGAGCTACTACCTCCCTTTGCGATTGGAGACCACTGAAGACAAGCATCCTGATCAGTCTTCCAACTTTCAACTTCACATGGTGCCTTGCCATCCTTACTCATCAACGTGTCTCCACTACCACTGCCGTACAATCCCTCTCTGTCATCCGATGAAAATCACAGACGCCCGGTGGCTCGTTCATGAGAATGTCCTCGACGCCAGCAGCGCCACCGCCGGCCGGGGTGACTGCCAACTTCACAAATCCAGAGACAACACATCGCGTCTTCGGATTGGTAATAACGGGGGTTGGCTTAAGCCTCATGACTGCCATTATGATCCTGCGAATGTATACAAAGACGGTGATGGTCCGTCTATTCGGGATTGAAGATGGTACATCTTCCAGCCGACGTCCAATGGTGGTGTGACTAACACTATACTATAGTTGTAGCTGGAATCGCCTGGGTATGAAAAGCAGCCCGCTTACACCTCAAGCAAGGCCAGCTAAGAAATGAACAGTTCACATCCGCGGCGACGCAGTCTCTTTACCTGTGCAGGAATTACTTCGAGATCTAGCCTTGTACGATGCTGATTCGCCTCGTCTAGACATGTGGGGCTCGAAAATTCTAGGGGTGAGTGAAACAGCAAGTAAAGCAAACAGCCTGTTGATGCCACGGGCGCTGACCGCAAGGGTTGCAACAACAAGACACATATCTGGGATCTCACAGTCGCAGAACTGCAGACATTCAGCGCGATTGTCTATGTCATAAACATCATTGGTGTGATGACGCCTTCACTCGCCAAGACAGCTTTGCTGCTCTCCTATCGAAAATTATGGCTCGTTGAATGTATGAACACGCCTTCATTCTGTTGTACAGACTACTAATATTACTTTTAGGGTTCAAAGTAGTCACGGTTCTGATTATAGCATTTGTGAGTGTGCGCAGAGAAGTTGGGTCAATGCTCTGCTCTTACTCACACAAAAGGAAGATCTTCAGCTACAGCTCGGCAGAGATTCTAGCTTTTTCATTCGCGTGTGAGTCCAGGGAGCGCAGCAAGTAGATGCTGGAGAGGGAGGAGCATCTGACTCTCTTGCCAGGCGATCCCATTAAGCAGGGCTGGGATGTCCGTCTCACCACAGGACATTGCGTCACCAAAGATGCCCTAGCCATTTGCACGGCTGCTTTCAGCGCGACGACGGACGTGCTAATCTTCATCCTACCCATACCTATGGTCTATAATCTCCGTCTACGACCCTATCAGAAAGCCGGCATGTTGTTAGTCTTTGGGATTGGATCTATGTGAGTCGATGCATAGTATAATATAATCCTGCAGGAAGTTTTGCTTTTGACTGACGCTGGAAGACAGAACTTTGATTGTCAGTGTGGTTTTTCTCTGCTTTTACATTCCCTTGGTACGGAATAAAACCAAAGATCCCACTTGGGATGTCTCCAGGATAGCAGCCATGGTGACAGTCGAAGCGAATCTGGTATTGATATGCGGTTGTTTTCCCGCGCTGAAACTCTTAATCAGACGCCTCGCGCCCAGACAATTTGGGACTGAGCGATCTCGCAGATCTGCTAGGGCTGGTGGTGGTGGAGGAGGAGGAGGAGGAGGAGGAGGTGCAAATTTCATCCCACCTTCGTGGGAATCGGAGTTATCTCATGTCTCGACTGGGAAGACTGGTGAGAGCAAGGAGACGTCTGGGAGTGCAGCACCTGCAAAAAATTCTGTAGCGGCGAGGGTGTTCGATTTTGATGGTGGAGGAATATGTAACTATGACGGTGTTTCGGTCGATGAGGCTGGCAATGTAGTGCTGAGGCAGGTCATTCCTGATCCCTGAAATGTCAATAAGCGAGCACAGTTGAGATATTTCCGAAACAGTGATTACCAAAGTTATACAGTAGCTTCTGAGAGTAATGCGAGAACGTGAAAGGTGGAATATCATGTTTGAAAAGGGGTTGTCTGTCGACAAGATCTATCTAACACATCCCGACAGTACCACTTGGATTGGCGCACGGCTTGGTGTATGAGTTGTAAATACTTCCTTGATCTGAGAGACCCGAGCCATTTGCATTGATCAAGTAGCCAGGAAAGTTACCGAACCAGCTATATCTTTCAATCCAAGGTACTGTGGAGCGATCAGTCCTGCGATACTCCTTGCTCCTCAGAGTCCACATACCTGCATCCATCCATGGCATGACCTGCTGGAGGAAAATTTGTGTCTGGGCATCGCCGGTGTTACTATTGTCGCCGAATTCTGTAATGTAGATCGGGTAGTTGGGAAAGCGATTATGTGCCGCTGTCATGTATGTCTTGAAGTACTCGTAAGCGTACATATTGTTGTACCTGCGATTTGTAAGCTTTGTGTGCGGCATGGCAGAACATGCTTTGTGCGTATACCAGTGGAGATTGATGAAGTCTATTGGACAACCAGTGCAGTTTCCGATAAAGTCCTCGAGATATTGTAATCCTCCAGAGCCTCCCTGGTCCTGTTTGGCACGACACATCAGTCAGCATACGTCGCGGAGTCATCAAGACCCGATCTCAGGGGTAACGAACCGTCACGGCGGGTGCGCCCAGTCGTGCCTTGCCCGCGAACGGCATAATGGCGCTTTTGTATGCAGTTACTGTAAGAGATTAGCCAGTCGTTTGGTCATGATTTATATAACTGCTTCGTACCCGACTGGTTGATCGTCATGCAAGCCGATCCATCCCAGCAAGAGTCCGGCTCGTTGAAAGAAAAGATGGCGTCCGCGCCGTCGTCAATAGCTGCCTGAGCCTTGCTGGGCCACTCGACCATGAGATTTGGCTCATCATTGAACAGAGTAGGCACAAATGTCAAAGCTTTGTTGGTTTCGTAATCTGGTGCTGTGGGTCGGCGAGTGTGAAACCAGTTGTAGCCCCAGCTGACATGGCTTTCCTGCCCATCTAGTGAGAATGAGCCAGTCAAGGTGTCGTTGTTGTAGGGAAGACCTCGTTTGCCGGTATTCTTGACGGTAACTGCTGATTGTTGGGGGGAAGAGGAGCCAGATGACAAGCGACTGCTACTGGTAGAGGACTGCCCAATACTCGTAGTGCTTGTGGTGATGGTAGGAGTTGCTTTCGAAGATGATAACGAGGTCGAGGAGCGGAATGTGCTGGTAGATCTGGTAGGCCTCCTAGATCTAGTTGATTTCGTCGTTGATGAAACGAGAGTCGCCGATCGAGACGTCTTCCTCGTCACCGTTTGGCGCAATGCACTCGATTCTAACGAAGTTGAAGATGTTGTTAGCCAGCTTCATATCATCACGCATGGCGTTGAGATTGATGACGAACTCGACTGCGTCGTTAGAGACGTTGTCATATGCAGCAACGAGGCGATAACTACCAACAGCGAGGTGATCGGTGGACGCATGGTGGCCTCTGAGCTGTATCTTAAACGGAAGTATGATCGAACAACAAGTGAATGCGGAAAACGTCTCAAAATCAACAGTCAACCGCAAATTTGGGCTGATTGAATGCCTTGCGAGAACCAWGTCTTCTGCAGATCGAACTATTACAAACCTCTGGCCAGGTCGACATACTTATGACTGCACTCAAGCGCAACAACACTCGAGGCTAGAAGAGAATCACCGCACTTGAAAGACCCAGCAGTGGAGCTTACCGATAGGTATAGGCTAGTATCGATGCATACTGCATCTCGAAGGTCTTGTCACAACTGCTTTGGTATCGTGACATCTGGGGTTGAAGATTATTCGCTCGACAGCGCAAGTCACCGCATGTTCGCATGCGATTAGCGTGTGATCAGCTGTCGTTGGCCCGATTGCGCTAGAAGCTGTCGTTGGTGCTGAACTTCTGAAGTTTGCTGGAACTTCCCACACTACATTCGTTGTCGAAGTGAAAAATAGCCTCGGAAGCTTTCGATTCCAACGTGCTGCACACGTTGACGGCCTTGATTCCGTACGACAAACCGAAAAGCTCCAAGGATTTGGAAACAAGCAGCTTTGAACCTTGAGGCTCGAACGCGCAACAGCAGGACAAATCCGGTCTGGAATTTTTCGAGATTCAAGCTCAAACAAAACGTGCATGTTCGGTACGGATTGAAATAAATCTGAGGCACGTGGCGGGTAAATGAAGAGATGTTACCGAGGCGTATAGACCGAAGATCCAAAGGTATGTCACCGGGAGTTATTGGAAAACGAGCTTGATGTTGCTTGTCATTCGATGAGATGTCGGTCCTGAAGTTCTCCTTGAATGACCATGTGGCCTCGTTTTACAGGCCTGAAAGTTATATCGTCGGCCCTGCATTCGATAGAGGCAGGGAGTACGATGAGATTATCGCGGTCCGAAGAGCATTCCGGCAACCATCGGATTTGGACCGGTTCCATCGACGCTCGTCAAGTTCCGTTAAGCGAATGTACTAAGACGCATGCGCGGAAGATAGTTGAATGGTATGCCGATCCCGGTRGGCATGATAGCCCTGATTTGCCGCTGCACAAAGTTGCGACTTGTATCCGCTCCTGGACGTGCAGATCACGCCTGTGTGCTCTTGCGGTTGCCGCTTGAGCAAGAACAAGGGAAATCGCGGTGAATGGGCCTCTTACTATGCAACTATAGCATAGATTGGAGCGTTCGTGCTCGTGCCATTAGACTGCATAGCAGTGGTCGTACCGTTTCCAGACGCCAACACCAGCACGGTTTCGTTCATGACTGCCATTGCGAAGACGCGGAGTGTGTCGTAGGGAGGGTCGCCAATGCTTTGAACAGTTCAAGTTAGTAGAGGCCACGTATCAGAGCAGAAGCACTCACGCAGGATCTTCGTAGGTATGTGTCAACCCGAGGGTGAAGGATTGGACGCCGGAGTATTCATCCAGTCGCCATGTGAAGTTGCCGTCTTGACATAAAGTCTGGAGAATCATCAGTGGGCGGAATCAATGGAGCATGTGTCTGAACATACGTAGTCTACAGGATATGCGGTATCGTGCGGCCAGGTACCAGAACATGTTGTGTTGGCTTTGCTTAGCGGGTCTGGATTGTAGCTGCGTGGCGTCAGAGTCGTTCGAGATGCAGGATCGAAGCACTGTGATATGACGACTGGGACTTGCCCAGAGCCTCGGGGCCGCCGCGCCGGTGGTGTACTTACACATCGAATCGCAGAGTGGTATTGCCTGTTTCGGTATCATTGAAGAGTAGCCGGGAAATCTGGAGTGAATCATTGTCGGAGAGACCGGCGCGGCCTATGACCCTGGCGCTTGCCGTCACGGCGAGAAGCACAGGAGTCAGGAGACGCATGCTAACGAGTCGGTCTGTGGAGGTCGTCGCGCCCGAGGATGGCAGTCACACTGGGGATGTTCTTATTGCCGTTACTGAAGGTTCCGCTTATTTGTTCTTTGGTGTCAATTGTCGGGAGCGATGACAAGTGAAAGAGAAAGATTGAGATATAGATCTGATGAGCGGCTGTAATGATGAAACTGTGTTTATTCTGTGCAGAAAAGGAAGCAAGGGTATGCTAAACAAAGTATACCGACTCCACCTTATAGCAGAGTCAAGATGAGTGGCCGTTGAAACGCGTTGAGAGCTCTTTCCTGAACCTTACGGCAAACATTCTTCATGCTGGTAACGTGCATCCTCGGTGCGTGTTACGGTAACAGCCAATCGTCTGTACCACATTTGGCGTGCCGTGCGACAAGAACCGGAATCAGGAATGCTGCWGAAGCTTGCACCAACGGCAAAACGGCGTGCCTATATCTCCGCACAGGGTTGAGGGTGTRGCTGCGTGCGGTTGACTCGGGTGTTTTGACGCAGGGCAAACGTTGCAGCCATTCTGGGCCGGCAAAATGGCAAGATGAGGTGTCATGAAGACAGGCCAGGGGTGAAATGGCGGAGGAGACGACGAGCGATGTGCTTCTCCTGGATGATTGTTAGGCATCAACCCAAGGTCTTGTGAAGACGGACGGCGTAGACGAGAAGAGGAACATCACCGGAGTTCGGGAGCTTCGTAGCCCAAATTTATCAATAGCGCCGGGGTGATCAAACAAAAGCGGGGACGGGATTCACGGGAAAACGACCTTCGCGCCGGATATGCAAGCTGGCGAGATTCATATCTCAACGACCCGACCGACCAAAGACCCCTACCTTACCTTACACGCCGACTCCGCCCCGGTGCTCGAGGGCAATGGCTGTGAAAGGTAAAAGACTCTTGACAGATGAAGTAGCCAGATCTGTTGCGCATTCCAGTTCTGCACCATCTCGCGACAATAATATGCTGCGCAAGGCCATTATGTTATCATTGTAGCTATCTCTCCCCTGTCTCAGGAGCGATGCATGGCTTTTGCGTGCCCAGAATAGAACTGCGCCAAGGACCGCCTCTGATGGATGGATGCACTGGACTGTCCACTTCATCCCGTCCTCGAACGCCCCCAGTCATCACCTGCCCGTTGCATGTTGCAAGTTGGCCCGTCATGCTGTGAAACTCTACATGTACAAGAAACAGGTCCAGCTTTCTGCAAAGTCGATACCGCTTAGACGAACTGTATGGATAGATGTATGTAGGTACCTATGCGCCAGCCATCAAGCGAAGCTGCCTAGCRACAACAGCCGAACAGGACTACATCGGGTCGCAAGCGTCGTTTTACCGCAACGGCTTTTGCACCACGCCCGTTGCGGAGACATGGTGTGCTACTCTTGACAGGGATCCGTCATCGTTAATCAAAGGTTGAATTAAACACCCTGTGATCTTGGAGAGGCACGAGCAGCCCAGGTGTGCTGTGTTTAGCGACCGCACCTGTGTCTGTCTGTCCTTTTGACCCTCACGGATACGGCSACCCCCCATCTGCGCCCCACTGCATCTGCGTCTACCTATCTGCGACTGGCCGCGCCATAACGCATCACGAACTGCTCCCTCCTGCCCCGTATTGCTGCTAGACGAGACGCTTTCCACCTGTTGAGTCGCCGTTCCGGGCTCCAACCACAATCGCCGAATACCACGGGTGCGCCCGCCGCAACTCGCAGCTCCCTCCCCTCGTAGAACCTGTCTCCCTGCTGTTCACCTGTGCTGCATTTGTGCTGCGCAGGTCCCCAACGTTGCAATCATTCGCCTCTTTCGCTCCTCCGATAGTGCGCCGCCAATGAGCGCGGGGCAGCAGCAGCATCACCACGCCGCGGCTCCCTCCAAAACCTCGTCCGACTCCGGACAGCAGCCTGGGTTGGACAGGTGGAGTCAGCGACGGCTCCAAAGACTCAATACCGAGCAGGGGTTCCGCGATCAGCGGAGCGGGCAGGTGCAAAGCCCGCCGCTGCCCTCGACGGCAGCTTCGGGCAGCGATCAGGCACCTCCTGGCTCCTCGCATAGCAGCAGTCACAACTACGCCGGCTCGCAATACGGCCAGGACGCTCAGCCACCACCGCCGCAACCCCTGCACCATCACCCGCCTCAGCCGCAGCAAACTGGCTACCAAACTCCGCGCGCTGCGCCTGGCTCTCGAGATCAACACAGCGTAGGACTAGCCATCAACACCGCAAACAACCCCTCCAGGACCGCRCAATACTCGCCGCCAGACCACTACAACTCGCAGGAAACTCCACGTCCGGAGCTGACACAGTCCCGCAGCTTCACGCAGCAGTCTGTGACGGCAGACGACGCATCGTCCATGTCGAACATTGGCGCCATGTCCGCGCCAAAGGCGTCCCGGACGCCTGCTAGCAATGGAAATCGCCAGAGCGTGCATTCCGGGATGATGTCACGCGAGGGCTCGTATGCTCAGCAAGGTGGACAGGCGTCCGCGTACAATGGCGGAGGGGTTAGCCAGGTTCAGCAATACAAGAACTCACAACAAGCCCAACCGCAAGCCCAGCAGCTGCCGCAGCAGCCGGCTCCTGGTGAAGTCGGTCGCGGCACACCGCAGCCGCAGCAGCCTGCGGGAGAGGAGATGACAGAAGAGGATGTTGCTCAGCTAGTAAAGGACCATAAGGAGCTCCGTAAGAAATCGACGTGCCCGTGTCACACATCACGCAGACCAGCTAACACCTTGCAGGCGAGAAATATACAAAGGTCAAGAAATACTATTTTGAGAAGGAGGATCAAGTAAAGCAGCTGCAAAACAGCCTCGCGCACCAGCGCCTATCACAATCCCGTACTTCTCTCGACGACAGCGAGTATACGACACGTTTCAACCGACTAGATGGACTCATTGCGCAGCTGGCGTTCAGCATCCGGAAGAGCTGGAAGAGCATACCTCAATGGTTGGTGAACTCTGTGAATCGGGATGCCGTCGCTACCGGCAAGCAAGAGATGACTGCAGCTGGCCGAGCCTTTATATCATACTGGTTGGTGGAGGAGGTGTTCGACAAGTACTTTCACCCGGATCTGGACATGGCGTTGTCAACACAGTTGAAGAGCATCCAGAAAAGCATGCGCAAGTTCGCGCCCGTTCCACAGACGGCCGAGGAGGAGGAGTACCTCATTTCCAAAGTGGTCAACTGGAGGCTGGCAACTTTGGAGGGTCTCCAAGAAACGCTCCGCTCATCACAATGTCCAGCAAACAGACAGAAGCTGACGGACCTGCTCAAGGATGACTTGGTAGCTGCCATCTCAACACACCTACAAGACCCGGCCCCCTCGGACCTGGAGGGCGGAGTTCACATGATTATCGAACTGGTTGTGAGCATTGCCATCCATCTTCCGCTGGAGAGTCGAGACGTCGCTATTGAATACTTCCACCCAGGCTATACCATTTTAGGCGAGCGAATGAAGTTGGAGTCCGGCATTCCACCTCTCGTAACATCCGTTGCAGACGACATGGCGGAGCGAGCGTCCATGAAGAGTGCTACCAGCGACGTCACCGACATGACCGACGCCAACAGCGACATGGCACCCAAGAAGAGGAGCATGCTGAGTGCTTTGACAGGAACCGGTGGTAAGGCCAAAGGTTCTGGACAGGGCAAACATTCTGCTGGAGACAGTACGAACAGTCTCTCCAGACCCGGCAGTGCACAGGGCCTCAAGGAGGATCTGCCACCTCGTGTCCGTATGGCTGCAGGTATCAGCGTGCAGATTCGCGGGCGCTCGGTTCTTGTCAARGCGCCCGTTTTTAGCACTTGATGATTGGGATAGTCAACTTCGAACTTGATGTACACTTTGAGAGCTGCTATGAGTCTTGGCTGAACTTCGATTCTGGAATGTATTTGGGCAGGATCTCGGTCGGGCGATGCTTCCACGACGGCAGAGATGAAGACGGGCACGCGAGGAGTGCTATTGTTCACAGATACCCCTTGGGTTTGGTTTGCGGAGGGGAGGTGGACGCTGAGGCGGAATGAGAAACGGCAATTGAGCGCATGTGGAGAGGGATTTGGAGCTCATATCTAAGGTATGAGGCGGGGCTGTTTGGGCAGAGCAATGGTGATTCAAAGATTCAAAGCCGTGAACACCGCTCTATGGTCGAAATACTGGTTTCATTCGAAAGGCAATGCCTAAAAGTGTTGTCTGTGTAGACATGGGCTTTTGGAATTGCCTACCTCCGGCATCGGTTGCGAGCTGTTCACAACGTACAGGCTCGAGGGGCCTCGCAGTCGATATCGGAGGTGTAGAGCGATTTGCTTTCTGAGCAGGGAGGCTCCAGTACTGGCGTCGGGGTCATAGTCTCGTAGTGCGAATGGCGACCTGGTCTCAACTATGCATTCCGCTGTATTGGCATCTTTCTATTTACTGCTGTCAAGCCTTGATGCGTCCGAGTGTCATCAGCGTACGACGTTCAAAGCTTCTGCCACCTTCATTGCTGACTAGCCTTTGGCTGCACGAGATCCGCAGGCTCCGCCTCTCCCTTCAACTCATCCCAATCAGGCCTAGGCAGCTCAATTCCGTTCAGGACTCTAGCATACGTGATGCCTCCCAACCTTGAAATGGGACGTAGAATGGCGGGGTCAATGAGGTTCTTGTCTGCGTTGATAGCATCCTCTCGGGCCCAGAATCTCACTCCTTCAATGACGGCCAGCACGCCGGTCTTCTTGCCTGGAGTCGCTCGACTTTCAAATTCTTGCGTGTTCATCAGTTTGCCTTCGATGCTGAAGACTGCTTCTTTGACTCTGCTCGCTTTAACTTGACTGCATGGCGCAGGGGTCAGGCCGGTAAGAGCCCATTCAGAGACTCCATAGGGAGAGTTTACGGACGTGGCGTTTGCTGCTTCGAGATAATGTTCCGAGATGATGTTGATGGTGCACTCTCCCGACTCCTTCAGATTGCGAAGACTGTCTTTGGCTTTGTCAAAGCCTCCTGCGAAACCAATGGTGAAGACGGGAGGATCATGATTGACCACCGAGAAGTAGGAAAAGGGAGCGAGGTTTGTGCTCTTGCCATCTTGGGAGAGGGTGCTGACGAAACCAATTGGACGAGGAATGATTGCTGAGATGAGAAGCTTGTAGTTGAATGTTGCCGGGCGGCCTTCTTCGTACGGGTTGATCTCAACGTGGTTCTTCTTCAGGGATTCGCCACCATCGTTGGCACCTTGGCCGACTTTCCAGTCTGGTTGAGGAGTTTGCGTAAAGTGCCATTTGGCTTGAGAGTCGAAGGGGGAACGGCTTGCTTCTACTTCTTTGAAGTTTCCATGCGCTGGAGGAGGTCAATGTCATTATTCATCTCGGGCATGGAACAGGATATGACGTACGGTTTCTCTGGATTTGTTTCTCCCCGTCGTACATACGCTCATGCGGCTTGGGATCCTCCTTTCTTTGCTCTTGATCGGATGACATGTTGATGAATTGTGTTGTTGCAGTGGTTGTCTTGTCCAGTTGCCGTGGGTTGTATGTTCCTTATAATCAGTTGCTTTCGAATCGCTCTTAAATTCAATTGCTGTTAAAACCGACGGATCCAACCGGAACCTTTCCGCGTCTAGCCCAAGACCCGCCTTTAGGCGATGATGTGGTCGGCTCTGCGGCTCTGCGACGGATGCTCCCATGTTCGCGTCAGCTTATCAACAAGTGTTTGCGGGGCACGATTGATCAAAGCTTCGATTGAGATCGGAGGCGGAAGCTTAGCTCACACAACAGCAGCATCGTTGTCCCTATTGAAACGACCCCAACTGTGGAGACGAACAAGAAGATATGAGTTCGAACTACTTGACATACTCTCTCGGCGACTTCAAGCTGAAGAATGGCGGATCCATTCCTGACGCAAAGATTGGTCAGTACTATAAGTGACACCCATCGGATATGCTCGCAGCTGATTCTAAATGTCTCTTTCAAGCCTACAAAACCTTTGGAGATGCCACCAAGCCGCTGATCATATATCCCACCTGGTAAGCGAGCTGAACTGTGAGGCACATGCCTTGTTCAGAGCCCCTCACTTGACCTCTAATGTCTAACACATATGTTGAGTTCCATAATTCGCTCATAGGTACAGTGGTTTGATCGAGAATAACGAGTGGCTCATCGGAAACGACAAGACGTTGAATCCCGAGAAGTACTTTATCGTCATCACTGCTCTGTTCGGTAACGGAGAATCATCCAGTCCCAGCAATCGACCGGAGATCCGACCTTGGCCGGAAGTTTTGTTCTATGATAATGTCAGAGCGCAGCATGAGCTTGTCACGAAGAAGTTGGGAAAGGATCATGCGCGGGCGGTGCTTGGTGAGTGACGCTTGGAGCAGTTTGTATCACTCCACTACGGCTAAAGCTTTATTGCCCGTCAGGCTGGTCAATGGGAGCTGGACAGACTTTCCAAGTAAGTATCCTGCTTTCTCCTGCACTCTTGACGATGCATTCAAGAAAGTGGGGTGTCCAGCAGCTGATACTTCTCAGTGGGCCACACAGTACCCCTCGTTCATGGACCTGATCGTACCGTTCTGTGGAGCAGCGAAGACATCTCTCCACAATCAATCAATGTTGGAGGGAGTCAAGGTTGCACTTTTGGGCGGCAAGGGTGCTACTTCCGGCGGTGTCTGCAAAGGCGAAGCTAACCATGCCAGCTACCGGGCCTGGTCGGTAGAGCAAAGAGAGATTGGCTTGAAAGCCCTGGGAAGAGTTTACTCGGGCTGGGGCTTCTCGCAGAGCTTCTACCGCGAGAAGTTGTACGAATCGCTAGGTTTCGAGGACATTGAGGCTTTCATGGTGAACTTCTGGGAGGCATGGGCTTTGTCGAAGGGTGATTAGCCTGCCACGACAGTAGAAGTCCGTCCATGCTGATATGATCCCAGACCCCGACAACATGTTGGCGATGTTGTATACCTGGCAGGCAGGCGATTGCTCCGCCCAGGAGCCGTACAATGGTGAGATGTCGTGCTATCATCGAGAAAGACTATTGTTGACAAGTCAGGCGATTTCTCCGCTGCGATGAAGGGCATCAAAGCGAAGGCACTGGTTCTACCATGCCAGACCGACCTGTACTTCCGTAAGTGACTCTTGTAGCGCGTTTCCATACAGCTACTGACAGTTGAAAAGCGCCAGAAGACTCTGAGATTGAGGTCGCCAACATGACGCCAGGCATCGGAAAATGTGAGTCCAGATTGGCTAGAAGATTGGGAGCCTACGAAGCCGGGCTACCGCGTCCAGATCCCCCAATCGCACATGCACACGCTGACATCGTATCGTATCTAGGCGTTGCCTTTCCTAGCATCTGGGGCCACTGGGCGGGAGGGCCAGGCGATAGCATCGAAGATGTCAAGTGGCTTGAGGAGAAATTGAGGTCCTTCTTTGCAGAGAACTAGAAGTCGCGATTGTTCGAGCTTTTAGGGTGAACGCTACTCGACGAGGATTGCAATTTGTGACGCGGTCTTCACATGACAAAAGGTGAGGTTCACCCCCGGACAGCGGGCCGAAACGAATTAGCGTCACTTGCCAACCATCTTCAATGTTCTTTGTTCCATTGTACCGTATCCTCTGTATCTTCACCTACCTGTTAACCGACGACTGCCCTACCTTTCACATCCGCTGCTCGAACTCTGGCCCGAATACCTGTGGTAGCGCCATCTCGCGAGTATCAATTGTGCGCTGCAGTTTTCGAGCCGGAGAGTGCAGTCGCAACCGGCTTGTTCGTGCCGCACGTCTCCGATGAAGCGTTAAGAGTACCATTCTCGACACCCGCATCGCCGCGCACCCATCGACCATCCCCTCCACCACTCACCTCATCATGGCGCAAAATGGGGCGCAACATCTCGGTGTCACGCCGCCGCTGTCGAATGATCCTCCAAAGGAGATTGATGTCAAACTCGGCGACAAGCTCATGGAGGAATTGAAGCATCAGGGCAATTACGAGCATCCCGACGAGACACAAAAGAGGTTGGCGATATGTGAGGCCAGGTTGTACATTTGGAGGGCTAACGGTTAGCAGGGCTGACGTACTAGCGAAACTCACAAGCTTGCTTCACCAACTGGTTCAGATTGTCGGCAAGCAGAAGAGGCTCCCTCAAAACATTTTGGATGAGGCGGGCGGAAAAATCTTCACATATGGAAGCTATCGCCTTGGTGTATACGGGCCGGGATCAGATATCGATACACTCATGGTAGCGCCGCGGCATGTGACGCGCGAGGACTTCTTCGAACACATGCCAGGTCTGCTCCGGAAAGCAGCCGGTCCAGACGAACTTACAGAGCTCACACCCGTGCAGGGGATTACAGTGCCCATCATCAAGCTCGAGATGAACGGCATCAGCATCGATCTGATCTTCTCGGCCCTCACACTTGCTTCTGTGCCAAAATCACTAGAACTGACGGATAACAACCTGCTTCGGGGGCTGAGCGAAACAGATCTGAGGTGTGTGAATGGGACTCGTGTGACGGACAGGATCATGCAGCTGGTACCTCAGACCAAGATTTTCCGATTGGCGCTTCGTGCGGTCAAGCTTTGGGCGCAGAGACGCGCAATCTACGGCAATGTTGTTGGGTTCCCTGGCGGTGTTGCATATGCTATGATGGTCGCTCGCATCTGTCAACTCTATCCGCGAGCTGCTGCTCCCGTCATTGTTCAGAAATTCTTCTTCGTGATCTCGAATTGGAGCTGGCCTTCGCCCATCACCCTCCAGCAAAGAGAGGTTGGTCCGCTGGCGGAGAAGGAGTGGGACCCGAGCTCGAACAAATGGGACAAGTTCCACCTGATGCCTGTCATCACCCCTGCGTACCCCTGCATGAACTCCACCGTTAGCATCATGCCGTCTACCAAGACCGTTCTGCTGGCTGAGCTCAGAAGGGGTCATCAGATCATGGAGGACATCTACTCTGGGAAGAAGGAGTGGAAAGACCTCTTTGAGCGCCACAGTTTCTTCTCGGCATCGTACCAACACTATATCTGCATCATCACCGCAGGACGAACCAAGGAAGCACAACAAGCATGGTCTGGCTTGGTCCAATCCAGACTCCGACGACTAATAACCGGCATTGAGCAGTCGGATGCTAACAGCGTAGAGCTGGTGCAGCCATTCAACAAGGGCATTGATCGCCAGCATGACTGCAAATCGGATGAGGAGCGCGAGGCCGCTCTTGGAGGGAGCTTGGAAAGCCAAGTTGGCCAAACGAAGACCGTCGACAAATCTGCCGACGTCCAAGTGCAAGCTGTGGTCCAAGGCGACAGCGCAGCGCTCGAAGCAGCAGCAGGCAGTGGGGAAGTCGAGAAGCAGCAGGACGGCATCCAAACGGTCTGGACGACGACATTCTATCTCGGCATCAAGCTTTTAGAAGGTACGTTGAAGTTCTTTGCGTTGAAAGTGAATGTATTGGCTGACACGCGGATTAGGCGCCAAAAACCTCGACATATCGTGGCCTATCCTGGAATTCCGACGATTGTGCACGGAGTGGGAGCACTATGATTCCAACATGCACTCCATTCAGATCAAGCACGTTCGAGAGTATGCTGACGTCTTTCCCCCTCATCTTCGAGACACTGACAGACGATCAGCCACTCTCTCCCGGATGATGTGTTCATTCCCGGCGAGGCGCGACCCAAGAAGAAGAAGGGGAAGAAGAACAAAACGAATGAACCCGCTCGAGCTGGGGATAACAAGCGCAGCGCAGACTCTGCCGGCCTACACGTGAGTTCAATGTTTTGGTGTGGCACGATAGCCTGCATTGTGGCCCTTCATCAATCGTCTCTATTCCTGCCAATCTTTCTAACTGCTGCGCGAATTAATAGGAGAATGAGGATCCTCGTGCTGCTAAGCGCGCACTGAATGGGCCAGGGACATCGGCCAAGGTCAACGTCTCTGCGATGCCTGTTGGCTGATGGCAGCGACAGCGACAGTGACAGTGACAGTGCAGTCAACTTTCTCTCTGCTCACTCTGAGCTATGGTGACATTACACTCTAACATGGATACCCGGCATTAGGCATCGCTAAACGCGACAGGAAGAAACGAATTCACAGGCAGCATCACGGGGCCTGCAAACCTCCAAGCCGACATGCACCTGCAAGGAGGAGATCTCAGTGGCCGCCCAGCATCGCTTGGACACCGCCGGCCTCGACATGATCCATCGACACAAAATTCGCGCCTCAACGGCTGCCGAGGTGAGTATAGTCAGTCCACGGGGGGTCCGKAAAGTTTTGCGAACCGTAAAGAAAATCAAAAGATAAAACAATGCCATGACGCCGAAAGGCAAGGGAGGTCAAAAGCGAGATGAAACGGTTATTTCATCGACTGCGGCAATCGAGAACCAGAGGGCAATGGTTCAGGATACGTTTCGAGGCGGTTGTCTATACCTCAGCTATGTAAATTGAACAATGCAAACCAAATTTAGCGGGTCTACGGACCTGAGAAAGCCATGACGCGGTTCCTTGTCTTACAATGGCGTTGTGGAACGAAACCGTTGGTCTTTTGCATGGAGACATCCCTGTGACGTTTCAGAGGAGAAGTATAGCACGACTCTGCATCAAGGTCGAGACATGCGGTGAGGTAGGCGTTGCGCCGGCTGGTCTAGGGAAACTAGTGGGGCACGGGGAGGAGTATCGTGTCTTGATTGCGCAGATCACGGGAGAGACGAGGCTGACGGCAGTTTGTGGGGCCATGACCAAAGCGGAGCACGTACGGGTGAAGCACATGCGGATGAGGTGAAGTGAGTGGGTGCACCGAGTAAATTTGTGGTGATACGGGTGTGTCGTCTCGGGCAGGGAAGGAGCCGAGATGGAAGAGCGTCAGGCTAGGCCGGATTCAGAATATTGCGCGTGATTAAGCTTTCGTCTGTTGGGATTGGGGGATTGGGCAAATGTGGAGAGCGGGACTAGCCAAACACGAGTGAGTTTGTTCGATGATTTGATGGGCAAAGTAAGAGGCCAAGGTCAAATCAGACTTCAGGCTTCGAAGAACCTCTCTCCATTCGGGCTGCGCTTCAGGCAATTCTAGATCTACTTTAGTCTTACATACTACATACCGTACAGCACCACCCCGGTCGCTTTCGCCAGAGCAGAGTCAGCGGTTGCAGCGGTCCTTGCCCGTTGATTTCCTTCGCCTCGCTTCGCTTCACCCTGCCCTTCCACTACTCAGCCCTGTCCCTCATCGCTGCTGCCCGCCCCAGCGGAGGTGACTGCCTACATGACGGCAGCTTCCAATGTCATCAACCTTCAACTCACGATTTAGACGGCTCGTCGGTTCCACTCGCCGCTCTTCCAACAACTCGCTCGCCCCGCAGCACAACAACTCGTCCACCACCACCCTCACTCCACCGCCCGCCGCCTCGACCACCAGCGTCAGCACAAGCTCCCCCTCCAACGGCGTCGGTCCCGCCGCCAGCAGCACGGGCGCCACGAGCAGTGAACGGCAAGGTCAGCTCTCTCCCGCGCCTGGCGCTGCCGCCGCCGCCGCTGCTCAAGCCCCTTCTGCGTCGGCATCGTCCACGTCGCTGAGCACCATGAACCCCAATGGCCAGCAGCCTCTTGGCCGCCCTCCGAGCTACCAGTATGCCAACAATGGGAATCCCAATCTAGGTGCGCCAGGTCATGGTCAGCAAGGACAGCGCCCAACGTCTCCCATGCCTCCGCCTCCGATCAACACGGGTGGAGGGCACGCCTACGCTCCTCAGCATCAGCAACAGCTTTACCAGCAGCCTGCGCCGCCCGGCTATAACCCAATGGCCGTCCAGCAACAGGCTGCACAGCCTCATGGATATGGATACGGCTCTGGTCCTCCGCCACAAGGCCCGCATTCGTACAATCGCATGGCTGAGGTGGAGGGTAACAACAGGAGCAAGGCTCAGCTGATTGTCGGCATTGACTTTGTAAGATTGACGGAGCAGCGTGCGCGAGTCTAACCGGACTAACATTTCCAAGGGTACGACATTCTCCGGCGTCGCTTTCGCTTTTGCGACCAACACCGAGGCCAAGGAGGATATCATCGTCGAATGGCCCGGTGCTGGAACGCAAACCAAGCAAAAGGTGTGTTTCGTCGTGTCGTGTCATGTCGCGCCAAGCCTCAGCCTCACTTACTGAACGTCTTGTCTAGATTCCGACGGTACTCTACTATGACCAGCACCAGCAGGTCGTGGGATGGGGACCTGATATTGCTGAAGCGCTCGCCCCAACCGGCTACCCGAAACCTGGTGTTCAAAAGGTGGAATGGTTCAAGCTCCAGCTGATGTTGAGTGGAAACACCTATATCGATCCAATCAACCTCCCACCGCTCCCACCAGGAAAGTCCGAGATCGACGTCGCGGCGGACTACCTGTTCAAGCTGCGTCAAGCAATGCGCAATCAGCTGCAGAAGAGTTTGGGTGAGGTCTTCAACCGAGAGGAGCGCAACATTCGATACTTCTTGACAGTCCCTGCCATTTGGAATGATGCTGGCAAGGCCGCGACAAGAGCCGCTGCCATTCAAGCAGGATTCCTTCGCGACGAGAATGACAACCGATTGACCCTCATCACCGAACCCGAAGCCGCTGCCATGTTCTGTGCGAAAACCGGCTTGCTGAACTTGAAGGTACACGACGCAATTCTGATCGTCGACTGTGGAGGCGGCACTGTGGATTTGATCGCGTACGAAGTCGAGGAAGAATCACCATTCACCGTCGCAGAGTGTACCGCTGGATCTGGAGACTCGTGTGGTTCCACCGCACTCAACCGAAACTTCTCCAACATCCTCCGCGCAAAGATCAGAAAGATGAAACTTCCGGATGGCTCCAAAACGGCAGGCAAGGTCTACGCCAAGTGCATCATGGACTTTGAGAACAGAATAAAGGCAGACTTTAGAAACAACGGACAGAAGTGGGCTGTGGACGTCGGTATTGAGGCAGAGTTTCCCGAGGCCGGCATTGAGGAAGGATACATGACTTTCACCAACGAGGAGATTCTGCAGTGTTTTGAACCGGTTGTGAACCGGATTCTGGAGTTGGTTAGGAACCAGATCATTGCGATTCAGGCGCAAAACAGAGCGCTGCAGGTGAGCATGATCTGATTTTGATTGATGAGACAGACGTGAGGACACTAACCTATTTGATACAGAACGTGCTCGTTGTGGGAGGTTTTGGTGCATCCGAGTACCTCTTCCAGCAGATCAAACTACACGTACCGCCGCAATTCCAGAACAAGGTTGTCCGGCCCATGGACTCTGTGGCTGCCATCGTCAAGGGAGCCGTCACGGCTGGTATCACCGAGCGTGTCATTACATCCCGCGTGGCGAGAAGACATTACCTGATGGCCACCCTACAGCCATTCAAGGAAGGTCACCATCCTGAGCAGTACCGTGTTCCATCTCTTGATGGCAAGGATCGTTGCAAGTATACGAGACAGATCTTTGTGCAAAAGGGCCAGAGGGTGAAGATTGGCGAGCCCGTCAAGGTTTCCTTCTTCCGACAGGTTGCGCCTGGTGCTACGCTGATGTACGAGGATGTTCTGTATGCCTGTGATGAGGACGTCTGTCCCGAGTACACCAAAGATCCACGTGAGTCGCGCTCAATTGATGAACAGAGCTTAGTTGTACTGACCAAATCTGCAGGCATTAAGGAAATTGTCACTTTGACCTCGGATCTTAGCCGGAAGAACCTCGAAAAGGATTTCGAACGTATGGATACCCCACAAGGAACCTTTTACCGAGTCTATTTTGATATTTACCTCACGCTGGATGGGTCTGAGTTTAATGCTGAGTTGGTGTGCCAGGGTGAGGTTATGGGACGGTGCTCTGCGAGATTCAGATAAAGCGTTTGTTGGTATTCGATCTTGTGCCGATTGCGGATGGAGACGGGAGGGAGGGAGATGCACGCATGCATGGTTCGCAGAGCAAAGGACATGTGCGTGTCGTCTTGGCAGAGGGAAGGGAGAAGCGAAGTCCAATGTTGATGCGCAAACCGGACTGAAAGCGAGGGAGGAAGGAAGGGAGAGAAAAACATTTGCGCCAATATCTGTTCGATCTGTACCAGCCACAGACCAGCTTTTCTTCTCCAGCGCCCGTGGGACCTTTTTTACCCCCCTTGTTATCTAATTTGTAGAGGAGTCGGACTGGTTTTCCTTGATTTTTCTAATTCGAGCGAATACCTCAAGCGAATATGTAATTGTCTTGTTTATGAAAGGGCATGGTTCTTACTTACATGGAGGGTGTAGTATGGTATGGACGGATTGGAGGCTGTTTGTATCTTGCATGTCCGGTATAGAAGTGTTGAAAAAAATGCTAGTAAATGTTGTTCTCTTCCTTTACTCGCGTTATTTCTCACGCGGAATTCCACTTCTTTGCAAGACACACAGACATGTTTGAGACACATTTAATAATATAAGTAGGATAGAGGTTTTTTGTTGAGATTGGTGGTGGCCATTACGTTGTTTATATGACATGTTATTTCATATCCTGGAGAAGGAAGGAGCCCCACCTCTTCTTCAGAGCTTGAACATCTGAATGAGAGCTTCATGGAGGATGCTAACATTATAGTCAATGAGGACTCGTTTGTCGGCCGTGCTTCCTTGGCCCATGACACAGATGAGGGAGAGATAGCTGTTTGAGAATTTGGGTCAGTGGAGTGAAAGGTTTGTGTATGTTTGGACGACAACTACTCACTCATTGATCTCTCGGGCGTAAATATAGGTGTTTCCTGTCTTGTCGTATGTGATCAGACTTTCTCCCACTGCTTCACTCTCTGTACTTCCGTCTGTTACGAGAAGACCGTCTTGTCCACGTGTTTGCCAGCCGTAAATCTGTTTGATGTCGACTATGGTATCCACGTAATCGGAACAGGCCTCGTAGTCTTTGAGAAAGGTGGGACTGGCGTCTGTGGCGATGTAAATTTTGGAGATTGTGTCGAAGAGGTATGCCTTTTGAATTCGACAGGTGGAGCAGAGTTTGTTTAGGAGAGCTTCCATTGCGGGAAGTTGAGGGAGTAATTTCTGAATGACCTTGCTCATGGCTTCGTAGACGGAGTGATCGAAGATGCTCGTTTGGTAGAATGCTACTCCTCGATTCGCGTACCCGGCATCTGCGAGTTCGTCTTGGACACGCTGGCGTACGTCGCGGAAGGTGTCGAATTTGTATTCCTCGGATAGGCCGTCGGTCTTGTGGATGAAGACTTCAAAGTTGATTCGAGGGTAGTTCTGAAGTAGAAAGACTGCTGTCTCGATCAACTGGCCGATGCTGTGAAAGTACTCGTCTTGCATGTCGAGGACCCATATTATGGAGCCTACGCTTGCGAAGATTGCGTCGCGATCAAAGTCCGGAGAGGTGTATGGGAGGTTGGAGGGTATCTCTATGCTTTCAAACTTCATAAAGGAGCTGGAGAGATTGATCAGTTGAATTCGATTGGGGGGACCGGACGTGCTCACTCCATGGTAGCAGACTCGACCTTGCTCGTGGGTTCGAGGAATAGTGTTTCTGCCGGCGAGAACTTTTCGAATATCACCTTTTGGATTGAGGATTTACCGCTTCTACAACATGTCAGTCGATCGGTGGAGAAAGATTGACAAGCAAGACCCACCTCCTGGTTCCCATAAAGATGAGTTTGGGATTTCCTTTCCGCCGTGTCTGGCCATAGCGCGCCGCAAAATCATGATCGGTAGAGTGTGTTGCATCTCCAACAGGGTCTGGTAGTCTCTGGTCGAAGTGTTGCGTTAACGTTGCGTTCTGTTCTGGCGAGCTCCCGGATGAAGCGACTGAAGACGTTGGAGCAGTATTCGATTGAAATGACAGCTCAAACGGATTCGACTTGGTTGGAGCGGGTGTAGGTGGAGGGCTCAAAATGTCCGCCGCAAACAGCGTACGCATGACGAAGACTGGATGGTAGAAAGTGTTAGAAAGCGACAGAAGTAGTTGGTTGAGTACTTTAGGTAGTCAATGGAAAGAAGGAAAGTAGTGACACAATCGCCGCCATTGCCGTCGGTGGTGGGAAGAGGGAAGGTGGCACCAGTCCCATCATTCGAGGTTTCGAAGACTTACACAGCTATCAACGCAGGTGGGATGCCGCGATGGGGAGGCCGGGAAATTCGAATCAATCACATTCCCTCATTCAGACGGCGGCAGCAGCAGCAGGTAGTTAGGTAGCAATACCTAGTACCTTACACACCCGCACCCTTCCATCAACAATCGCCCCAGCCAAGGAACGCGCGCGCCGCGAGTTGCGATCAATTCCGCAGCGTATGGAAGTTGGGGTTGGGCAACAATGGGGGGGTGGGCCGTGCGACTTCTTACATCACAACCGACAGGATGGGATGGGAATTGGGGCCTTACCTCCATGATCACTGAAATGATACCGACAAACGGCAAGGCAGGCAGGCAGGCTGCGATGGGCGATACGATGCGATGGGCGATTGATCCGACGCGTCGGCGCGCGGGTTGCGCTATCAAACTTCCCAGATCCTAGGGTCGGTCGGGTTTCCTTGCTGCGGAAAGGCACAAGCCGGGTCGTGGGTGTGTGTGGCGGCGGACTGGCGGTCTGGTCCTTTTTTTTTTGTCTTTTTTGCTCCTTCCTTTCCCACCAAAGACAAAACAAAACGCTCGACCGTCCGACGTACGACTTTCACCGGCAGATCGGTCAGGATTAGGGATTGGCGGACGGGGATGCGCGTCGTACCGAAGCCGCGGGCTGACGGACGGGGGCACGGGTCAAGCGGCGGTGTGGGAAGGAGTCCGGGTTGGCGGTTCCTTAATCACACTAGGGTCGCACAACAACAAYCGGCAGGTGTGATGTCGGTAAGGTCATGCACGTCGGAGGTTTTTCTATTTCATGCAGTGGATGAATGTGATGAGAGGTCGGCGGGCAAGCTCCCGAGTGGGGGTCATGGGCCGGGTTTCGCTTGGCCGTGTCACGGGCAAGCAACCATCCATCGACCATGATATCCTCAACAAGGTTATACAGTACTACCTCCTACAGATAAGCCCACATTCCAACGCCTTCCAATAAACAAGTGGCCCCTCACTGACAGGAGGAGATGCTCCTCGTGGTGATATCAGCCCAGAACATCTCCACCCATTGGTCTACCACCTCTTCGACTTGCGGATAAGAATCAGTGGTGGTACACACACAACCGACATTCCGATACATTACCCGCTACCTAGTTTGCAACTCCACGCCCGATGCTTTGACCAATGGCCATCCAAGCATCTCCTCCTGGCTCTCCTCAATCCCGAGAATTATCGCCTTCTCCACCATCAGTTCTCTCCCAGGRATATAGTCAAAAGTCCCGACCATGCCGAGCTTCCCATTAGCATACGTGAAATGAATCTCTGACGTCCCGTCTTGTTCCAAGCTCTCCCCGTCATCGAGATAGAGATACCCTTCCGCACGACCGTCCATGTCTGGCGCAATCAACAGCTCGAAGTTTCCCTTCCGAAGTTCGGTCGTTGTGTTGGCACTGCTGACACGCATGGGAATGATATGTCCTCCACGAATATGGACTGGTATCTCAGTAACTCCAACGTCTTGCAAAGTGATCCACTCTGCTTTCCCAAAGATTGGCTTGTGAGTTTCAAAATCGTAGAACAAGTCTTCGGGAAGGTAGATCTTGACACTTGTGGATCCTTGTTCTAGCACTGGACTGATGAGTAAAGCGGGTCCAAAGAAGAATTGATCATCAATCGCAGCGGCCTTTGCATCGCAAGGATAATGCATCCATAGCGGTACCAGAGCTGGGGTGCCGTCGACAGATTGAAGCTGAAGGTGAGAGTATAGGTAGTCAAGYAAACGATAGCGGAGGTCGATTGCCTTGCGTGCAGACTCTGCGACGATGGGCCAGCGATAGGGCTCTTGTGGGATCGAGTTCTTGGTGTAGTGATTACGCATGAATGGATACCAGGCCCCGAGACGATACCATCGAGCACAGAGCTCTTCTGTAGTACTGCCACCAAAACCACAAATATCGGCACCGGCCATGGGGATTTGGAAGATGCTTGTAAATTGGAGGAGATGGCGAATCGACTGTCGATCTACACATGTAATCGTCAGTATTGATAGGGCAGTATCCATGACAGCAAGGCTTACAGTGATGCCAAGTTGAAACATTATCTCCAAGCCAGTGCGCGACTTGAGAGCCAGTGCCGATGAACGTGCTCCTGGTAATGACCATAGCACGCTTCAATGGCCGGCGAGCGAGCATTGCTGTATGGCTAGCAATGCTCATCATGTGTCCATAGATGTTGTGGGTATCATACATCGCCATGCCGTTCTCGTGTCTGAGGGTCGTATTTGCGGTACGGTCAGAGATGATCCCTTCGGAAATGTGGATCTTGTAGGGCGGATTGTCGAGATCTCGACCGGGGAGGCCAAGCCTGTCACCAGAGAAGGAACTATGGCGTTCTAATTTAGGACTTTGCGGTAGTGGCATCGTGTTGTTGTTCCAGTTGAGCGCCTCCATCTTTGGGTTGATACAGGGGTAGCGGCAAAAGTTGGCGGGCTCGTTCATGTCAATCCATCTGAGGGATAGGAGTATCAGTATGGGGTATTGAGGGCTCGACACATCCGACTTACAACGCATCGATATCCAGCCCACTTTCAGGATCGAAGAAGCTGGCAAATTCGCTAAGTCAAGAAGTGTTAGCCAGGTGGGTTTTGTAATTGGTAGAATCAGACCTACCTGCTCCAATACTCCTGTATATTCTGACTGAACCAGTCAGGATAAGCTGTAACGCCTGGCCAGACAACGCCTTGGTAGATTTGATTACTGGAATTTTGAAGGAAGATACCAGCTTCTTTTCCGCGGTTGAAGGAAGGATAGTCTTGGTATGCAACGGCTGTAGGTGATACATGTCAGAATGCATCCCGACGGTTTTCCGTGGTATCCAGATCAAACATACCTGGATCAACCATGACGATGAAATGTTGTTGATCTCGATGAAGCTTATCAACCAACCTCCGCATTTTCGCAAGAGGAAAGTTGATGGGATCTAAAGTGAAGACTTTGTAGGCGTCCATGTAGTCCTGAAAGTATCAGCATAGATCATAAATTTCACAAGACTCACCTACGATATCTGCCCACATCGTCTCCAATGGGATACCGGCTTTGGAGTAGTTCGAGACGACCGCTCCGAGCTCTTCCACATTCTTGTACCCGTGTCTGCACTGGTGAGATCCCAGACCGAAGAATGGCATGATAGGTGGTGTCCCAGAAAGTGCGGTGTACTGCTTGGCGACATCGAATGGACTCGGCCCTGAAAATATGTAAAGATCTATGATGCCTCCAAGAATATTGTACTCAAGATATTGGTCATGTGAATCAGATCGATCGATGCGAATGTCCATRCCGTTGCTGTTCAGCAATGCTACGCCATGTGAGTTGGCGACGCCATCGATTATGCGATTCTCAAAGTACACTGGATGTGATCCGTACAGGTTTGAGCCCTCTGGTACATCGTTGGCGTCTCGATTCCAAAACGTCCTCAGATAGTCCGTAGTGTTGAGACGTAGCGGATCTGTATGCTCTCCCAGACCATAGAGATTGGGATCATGCGGGAGGGAGGTGGTGAGTTGCCAGTACTGGTCTTGGAAGATGAGGGGCGTGTTTGATGTGTTGAAGAGAACATCTTGGTTGCTTTTGCGACTGACGGCGAAAGAGAAGGGACTATCTACTACAGTGATGTCGAGATCTGATTCTGCACAAGGTGTAGAGCCTCCTGGTCGTGGCAAAACCGACTCTGGAATCTGGTAGATCTGAAGCTCAGGATCGTAGATGTGTATGTGCATGCGGTTTTCTATGGTGACAAGCATTAATGCATTYCTGTCAAAGGTCATCACAACATCAATCACCCACCACTCTGACACTGCACTTCCAGGGTCAAGTTGTGAAGGTCTTTCCCGTAAGAGTTGCACTCCGGACCGGCGAGGTGCAAGCTGGCGATGATGCCGGTTGTGGTGTGCGTGATGTTGCTGGTCAGATAGCCCGGACATGTAATTGGCGCTGACATGACTTGTTGCTGTGTCGAGCCCGGCAGCCATTTTGAGATTTCGTCCAACATTTTGCTGTCATCAATGTTGGGAACATCTCCTCACGACCGGATGTGTGAAGTAAGGTAGGGATGATCCGTGTGGTGCCCGTGGTGTGGTGGAGGGATCCACTAACACTCGTGACCTGGTCAGCCACCTGATCCTTGGCGTTTCACAAACACTGTCTCCCTAATCTAACACTGCAACGTAGCAACAACGACAACATCCATTTATACAGCGGATCAGACACCAACATGCGCGACCATCTCACGATGTCGACTCGATCCCAACGCACAAGGGCCAGGGCGTTCTACAGAGCTCTGTAGGTCAGAATGAACTTGCATTACAATGAGACGACGCTGTAGTAGACTGAATTGCAAAATCAAGAAACACTCATATATGTATACAATACCACCCAGCCTGGGGAAGGGGGCCCTTCTCTACACGGCCACGACTTCGAAATTGATACGCGGATAGTGCAGTCTCAACATGCCGTCATTCCCACCACCTGGCACCTTCATTTCGATGACAACCTCATCATCCGAAAGTCCAACAAGGATGCCCTGGTCCTTGTGATTAAAGCCAAAGTCAGATGGACTAACGCTAACCTTTTGTCCAGCTTTCAACCCATCAATCTTCACGAGTACATCAGACTCGTTAATGCCAATGTCAGCTTTCTCCGTGAGCGTGCTAGACAGGATCTTTTGTACCACTCGATCTTCTGCTTCTGACCCTTCTTCAAGCGGACCGGCCCCAAGATTCGAGGTCTCTGCTTCGTTGGCCAGTTTCCTGAACCTTTGCGTCCATTCGTGGATGGCAGGGAATGATTCCTTACTCAAGGCTCTTTGCAGATCGTCCGTGGGGTTGGAAGAGTCTTGCATATCGCCTGCTAGATTTATGGCCCAATCACACATCCTAGCGGTGTTTCTGTCAGTGATGCTCCTTCTTATCCATCGACAAGCCTGGACGTCGCCAGTAACCTACCAGCATACATGCAGCTCTGCAAGCGTGGGAGACTCTTGCCCCATGAGCCACTGCCGACCATCTTCAAGCATTCTCTCAAGTATGCCAAGATAGACTTTGAGCTGACCAATGCACCAAGATCTGTTCTCAGCTAGTGCTTCAACGTTGAACGCACCACCAGAGCCTACACAAATCAGCTTCCATCCGTAACATCTCAAGAATCCATCAAATACCTTCTTTCCTGTCCTGCACCCACACCTCATTCTGCAGTAATGGTGCGGAGAGTGGTATACTACCCGCAGTCCTCCAGAAGAACCCCCCATCAATCGTCCAACCCTGAAGTATCTCCTCAAAGCCAGCTCCCCAAGGATCCGAAGCTTTGAGCGCTCCTTCCGGAAAGAATGTCTCCAACTTCGATATAATCAGTCGTGTGTCGATGTAGATGTCCCTTCCAATCGACATGATGGGAATCCGACGATAGTTAATCCCAAGCCTTCCCTGAAGAAGAGGACGTGGCATATTGGGCGGCACACGAATCAGAGAGTATGGAAGACCACGCAGGTTGAAATATCGAATCATTCTCGTGCTGAAGATTGATTCGGGATAGCAGAAGAGTATGATTTCGCCAGGATGGCCGTTGGGAAGTGGATTTGAGTCCGTCATGATTGCACTGTAGCGCGTTCGAAGTAGGATAAAGAGCAAAATTATATCCTATTGGGATATGTATATATATAGAGGGTCTTCGCTTTATCACACTCTACCTTACCCCGATCAACATCGGTAGTGAACATGTGGTGGGGAAGCTCACCGTAAGCGTGTAGGAAGTAGTACCGCGGGTAAAAAAGCAAGCAAGCGATACTAATCCAACTATCTAGCCGACATGTGTTTTCCTTCCTTGATATAACTACGGAGTATACACCGAAAGCGGAACTCGAGGGGAACCCTGTTTGTACTTCTCCTTTCAGACTAGCGTAGTCTTCACATGCAAAATGTAGGTAAACTTCCACTACCGAGACTTGTTTTTTTTTTTTTACAGAATTGCTGCGGAATATCACAACAACTATATTACTAGCTCTGAGTATCTTCCTTGAAGCTATAAGTAGACTCACGATCTTTCAAAACTTGTGGAACGATTAATTGTACCCGCCATCAAACTCCTCATAGAACCTCCCCCTCTGTACTCCCATCCAATCATCCGCAGCATAAGTCATTTGATCCCGAACAATCCGATAGTACCGACGAGCCTCGAAATCTAGCTTCTCAGGTTCTGAATGCTTGGATCGATCCGCCGTGCTTTTCGATGAGGAAATCTCCATTGCTGCTGCGAGTCCGATTGCTCCTCCTTGTGGGTGACTTTTGAGTCTCTTAGTCAATTCGAGATATGAGATCTGCTTGGGGAGGAAGTTGTGATTGTTTGTGGAGGCTTTGGTGCTATATGTATTCCTTGCGGGATCTGTTGTCATTTTTTCTTGTTTTTGGTTGAGCGTTTGATTGAGCGCGGAGTTTTTGGTGGAGGGTTGATTATTTTTGTCTATGGGGATGGTTTGTTTTGGGGGTAGCATTTTTTGATGAGTTACAGAAGATGTTTTCGAATGTTGTGAGCGAGGTGGGGAGTAGGAATTATAGTATCGTGTGGTGATTGCTCAGGTGTGCGGGTGGCTAACGATGCTGAGCAAACAAGTTGTTCGAACAAATAGAATGGGATTGCTGTTCTTGTTCTACGAATATAGCTAGATCGGCTTGGGCCTGCGACACTGACGACAAAGTCTTATCTATTTTCCACAGACTGCGCTTGCTCGAGATGATTAAAATTTCCATGTTTAATAAACCAATGCCTTCGCACGGATCCAGCTGTCGTTATGCTCTCCACGATATCTCCACATCTAGATAGGCTACCAGAAGTCACGTATGAAGGCCTTCGTCACCGCGGCTGTCATTATGAGGGCTCCCAATAGGCTAAGAGCGGTGTAAGTGCCCTTGCACTCGTAGTGAAGTTGCTCGCCAGATCACTGAGAGACTTTATCAAGGTGCGCAATCTTTTTTTAAGAAACCTCATATCGACAGCTCTGTTCGTTACTAGTTATCCTCTAACCCGATCATCTTCACCGAATCTTTCTAAAGCTCCTACTCTCCTAGCTCGCTGTAAGCCAATTTTACATATCTATTATTACTACTAATGCCTATAAAATCTTCCGAAACAAACAGTCTCTCCTCGACGTAGTTGCTCAAGTACCTGTCCCTTTCTAATATCCCTCACAGTCGCAAAAAAACGTGTGTACCGATAGAGTACAAGCCGCGAAGTGTCTCTATGCCAATGCCAGAGGAGACTCTAGTAACGAGGAAGACTTTATCGGGTAGCTTGCCAACCAGACCTTCGTCTTCGACAATCTAGAAGGCAGTTGGGTGGGTATCGCCTAAGCCACTGGTGGTTTCGTGAGACTCAATGTATTTCGACATGGTATTTCGATTCTTGGATGTGAGTGCTATGAGCTTGTGTGGAGGATTTGATCGGCGTTGAACGGGCTGTGATCTCTAACAAATTGAACTCCAATGGAGAGTATGTAGTCCATATACCACGAGGGGCGTCAAAGGGAGACTCATAAGCTGGCACGCTACCCCTATTCGGACCCCTGAAGATAGAGCGGAGAATAGATGAGGTAAGTCTTAGAGACGCCTTTACCGTGGGGTTGGGCTCAGAGTTATGATCTGTAGATCTAACTGCAGATGCGACCCGTAGTCTTAAGTTGCTTTTCGTAAGATAGTGCAGCGGACTAGAGCTGTCGATTCGAGGATCATTCACAGGGACAAGACATCATTACTTATTGTAATATTGTCCCAAGGCCTTACTATCTGCGAACTCGACGATCGTAAGCATAATAGAGCCCTTGATATTAGGGAACTATCCTATAGATCAATCGGGAAAGCAGTCCCGGGCGCTGCTTCTATTGATTATTTTCACGCCGATAGCTCTGTAGCTAACCTCGCAAAGATGACAGTGGTCATGTCCATATTCGAGCATAATTTATTACAAGCTTGGGAACTTTTCATTTCCAATACAGGCAGCTAGCCAAGGCTCTTGAAGCTTTGGCAAATCGTGCAGAGAGCGAGTGAAATACATTTCATGTAATCGTAGGATGGCCTATGGGGATCTTGATGATGGGCTTGCGATTTTCCATCCCATGTCAAAACATTGGCTCGGGGCTGAGCAGTCACTGTGTTGGATCGCCTTGATCATTGTATCACAATCGACAGATTGTTTGACGAATTTCAGAACCAATCACTCCTCTATCTCGATTCTTAAATACACTCCTATTGAACCGCCTCGTTGCTCAAAAACGCCTTCACACTTCCACCCCACAGATATCAGCTCAATCCATCCCCCAAAGACCATCAAGCGCTCCCCTTAACATAATCGCCGACAGCAGACAAATACTGCTCCGCCCGACAAATCTGCGTTCCAGCCCGTCCCACCAAAACCCCCCTAAAAGCAGCCATAGCAATCTCCTCCGTCTTTACAACATATTCTTCAGCTTGCTCCTTTGTCTCAACAGCAGAAATCGGGACAGCTGGACAAGGATGGTTCGGGGTATCTCCAGTTGCGATCTGGAATTTCTGAAGGTCCGAGTATGCTTTCTTGTAAGCTGCTGCTGAAGAGGAGCTTGGTCCTGTGAGGGCTATGTCGTTGGAGAGAATGATCAGGTCTGCGGAGACGGCGCCGTAGGAGAGGGTGAGGTGAGGTGGAGTTGTGGCTGCGGTGGTGAGAGCTGCGAGGGCTGCGAGGAGGAGAGGCTGGTATTGCATTTTGAAGGGTCTGGTTTGAGGAGTGCGATTGATCGATATTGATTGCTGTGGTATGAGTCGACGTTTGAGAGGTAGAATGTGTTTGAGATCTTGTTTTTGCTGTGTTGTGATGCAGTTGAACATTGAGGTGGACTTTCATTCTTTATATGCTGTTCAGCAAGCCACAGAATCTATCTCGCGTATGGAGAGAGAGCATCATCAACTATTTTGGGCATGCACATCGTCGTCGTATCGTAACTTCGACGATCAGTGCTAAAGAAGGTAATTCGATTATCAATGGAAGCATTTCCCACGTTCTTGTCTGTGATGTGGAAGCTTAATTTGACTTGCCGCTGATTTCTTACCGCTTTGGGAAATTTTTGCGAAAATGTCACTGAGATAGTTCATAACGTGGAGGAGGCAAAGGATTCAGTATGACGTCCGGTACGCCTGATCAGCGGAAGGACGTCTTGTCACTACCACTTCAAAGTGAGGCCACCATCAGTATTTTCAAATCAGAAGTATCTTACGGTTGTCCAGCAAAGACCAGTAACTCGAACGAATCTTCTTCTCGCCCGCTGAATCAACTTTTTCAGCATTTTCCAGAAGCTAAAATTATCGTCATGGATCGATCCGATACGAATCGGTATGTAGTCCCGCCCATTTCTAGTCAAGAGTTATGCTGGCGAGCAAAATGGATGAGGGCTACGACGATGTCGCACTCTCTTTCTTTTTACCAGCTAGAAAATCATAAACTCATGCAATGTATGAGAATTAGTACGTCGAGTTTCTTAAATTATCTGCTGAAAGACGGTTCTGAAAGCTTACGGTTGAGACATAGGTTGTGCTCAACTTGCTACCATCATCGCCTGTAGTCAGTGTGGTTCGCTTTTGTAAAGTATCATCTGCAGAGAGTCCGACAAGACTAACGGGGAATTCCCCTGTATTCCTTCCCTTTTTTTTTTTTTTGTTCATCGCTTGGGATCCCCGTGACGCTATCTTTAAGGTCAGATCCGAGGCTCTTCCCCCTCTGTTTTACCCTCCTTAATTCAAAACGACGCCAATCCCATCTCTCTAGGTCTAGCATATGCTGGATATGTAAGATTCCCCAGTAATCCCGATCGAAAGCTATGTCCTAGGGGTAAGCACGCTCCTCATAGAAGCATATCATCCTAGCAATGTCCGTTAAGATGCCCGTAAAGTCCGACACTAGAAGATCACTAATGAAGCTCATCCCACATCATCATCATCATCATCATCAGACAGCGGTAAGAGTCTCGCAGCCTTCCTAGAATCATAAACAGGCCTCGTAATCAAATGCAGAAGCTCTCGCTGTGCGTCGCGCTGGAATCCATCTATACCCGCAACGCCACATAACCTACCTTCCCAGGATCTCTCCTCCCAAACGCCACTGAAAAACAGCAGTAGATCCTCACAAGTGGCACTCAACTCCAAACTTGCTTGAAAGATCTCCAGAGCAGGGACCTGCTCGCTTTTCCATCGTAGGTGCCACGATCCCGGACAACGAAGCAATCGTCCCTACTTCCCCAAACCCTTGAAGTCCTACAAACAAAACGCTCGTACCGACAACGTCCAAGAAACTCTCTCCCGCAGGACGAAGCATCAGACCTTTTAATCCCATCCCTAGAGTTGTTGGAGAGAAGACGAGTATGTCGCCTGAGACAGTGGAACTGCTTACAAGAGCCACGGGTTGATGATTGTAGAAGACTGTTTTAGGCTTGCTGTATTTTTGTCCGTACCACTCTGGAGGTGTCGTGTGGAGAGGTGCCAAAAGCCTCCATTCGTCCCAATAAGAGTCCTCATTACACCTCACCAATCCGCATTGAAGCTTCCCACTTTCGTTCTCCCACAGACGCACAGCAAGGACGTTCAAGAACTTGAAATCACGAGTCTTAGTCGGCCGGGGAGTGGCTAGGGATGTAGAGCCCGCCAAACAAAGACTTCGTTGCTGAATCATTGTCCGCAATTCAGGGATCCTCGAGTCGATGCGTAGGAGTTCCAAGATATCTGGACATGATGTAGGGCCGAACCGAGCCACAAGCTCCATCGCTAAATTCCAGGTAGATTGGGAGTAATCTGCTAGAATGGGACTCATTCCATGCGCATTCCAGTCAATAAGAGCTGTCAGACCATAGACTMGATCGCGAGGATCATGGCAGTCGAGCACTCTTCTGACAARATGCAGCTTCAATACTTCGTTTATGAAAATTGAGTCCCGGGAAAGGACTGATCCATTGGGAGATTTTGCTCAAATGGTTTTGGTATAGAGCTTCTGGTGTAAGGTCCCCGGCCGTCATGGTATTGAGCATACCGTTGAGGACGTCCAGATCTCTCCATGATATGCATCCTTTCCCACAGAGGAATACCGTTTCCATTCCGCCCGCAATCATCTCTTGTACAATCCACAGCCTCTCAAAGTGTGGACGATTTCCAAACGATACGAGACTTCGTCGGGTACGCTGTGCAAAAGTACGACTTCCAGTATTGGGTATGTGCTTTGACAGAAGACCGAAGATTCCATCGACCCACGTACTGTCCAAAACGAGTCCACCATATTCTACAACATCCCCACGACGGGAAGTGAGGGTTTTAAAGACATTGCAAAGCCCGTATAACCACTCGCTATCCTCATCGTGATCCCCAACACATGCAAGCACCTTGCCGGCAATTTTGTACAGGCCATACATTCTGCGGACCTGATAGCTTTTTTCATGGTCGTCGCTCTGGTTGATACAAACGGAATCGATCCACAAGCAGCTTATGCGATCGTATTCATGAGCCTGGATCAGGGCGTCGTAGCAGTTCTGTCGGACTTGCATTACCAGTCCGTTAATCCAGATCCTCTGGTACACAGGTTCGCCCCAGGTATACGAGATGGCATTGTATGTAGGAGCGTCATCGATACGCCATGTAAAGAGGCGGAAAGCGGGTGTCTGATGCGATCCAACAAATGGCAATGCGGTTAGAAGGCGTATGTACGCTGCAGGATCTGGTAGAGAGTCATAACGAAAACTTTCCATTGATGTAGCAAAAAACCTCCCAACTTCTGTAAAGGTTTGAATTTAGAGAGGAGAGAATATAGTGTTCCAAAATGGTGCAGAAGTTCTGAGTCTGCTTTCTTGCACAGCCACAATTATGTTGTTGTCGCAGTTTTATATATACAAGGCGCTAAATCACCTCATCGTACCTATTTACACTCTTTATAAAGTAGAGACATACATCGTATAGTTAAAAAAAGTGAAAGATCGTCGAGGTCCGGCGAGGGGAGAACCGACTTAATAAATAGTATAACGTTTAATCCTTTCCTGACTTACGCATATATACCATCTATAACTTCACTAGTAGCTATATAGGATACAGAGGTAGATATCAAGGAAAGATAACAACAGCCTTCCATACTACGCCTTACAACAGAGCTAAAAGGAAACAAGGGTATCGAACACAAAGAACCACCACGTAAAAAAAAAAACTCGAAACCCATCCCATCAACCCTCAAGACCTTCTCCCCAGTCCCAAAATATCCCCATCCCTCCATTCCTCATGAAACAAGAAAAGAAAGCAAGCCACTCAACCCTGCAATTCCAATCGATTGACATCAACAGGAAGTTCCTTGGCCATATACCTCCCTTTCTCATTCCCCCCCTCGGCTTCAGCAAGAGGAGTCGTTTCGCCCGTCGTACCTCGAAACCAATCCACGGAATGTGTATGTCTGTGTTGTTCCATCCCGTATGCAATCCCATTCCCACTTCCACTTCCGTATCCTCCTCCATTACTGTTGTTGTTGTTGTTGTTGTTATTCCATGCCATGCTAGGAGAAGAGGCATCATGGTGATGCGAGAACGAAGCTTCCTTCCGCAACGTCGCGAGATCTTTTTGTAGCGCGCGAGCTCGTCTCCATTGCCAGAGTAATAGCGCAGAAACGATCAAAAGACAGACGCCTAGAGCGACTCCCACAGCGATTGGAGCTGTGGTGGTGTTGTTGTTCGAATCGGTGACGGCGGCGCTGCTCGCTGTAGATCTTGCGGACTCTCCCAAATTCGGATTGCTATCCAAAGCAGTGGTGGTGGTGTTGTTGTTGTTGTTTTTCTTGTTGTTGTCATTGTCTTCCGCCACGGAAAGCGCGTATTGACTTAATGTCAAACTGGTATTTGGGAACAAAACCAGGCCTCTTTCCAATGTAATCGGAACATTTGAATTTTTCGTCGTGGTAGGACAAGCGGTTCCATTATACATTCCTCCACAACAAAAGTAGCCATCAGGAGAGTCTGGTTCGACAAGATACATGGAAATGGGGACATTTGTGAAGACTAAGATGGACGTCAGGGCTCTCCTTTCTTTTCCTTCTTTCCTTCTTCCAGGGGATTAATTCACAACTCACCATCCGTACACACACTGGCGCAAGAAGGATCCTTCCAAGAAGAATCTGTACATGCACTTCTCGCGACTCGATTTCCCCAGGCATTCTGTTGAAAACAGAGACCGTTGGAAAGACAGACGGAATCTGCTGGACAGCAAGCACTATGTTCCGAGGAAGTGGGATTGCAGGGTGTGATTGTTGATTCTTGCGCATCTACTTCGCTTTCGTCGGGGAAATAACACTTTTTCTCGTTGGCCATGGTTGAGTTTTTTTGGGCGTGGGGAGGGAGGGATTGATGAGATTTGGGAGGGAGGGGAGAGATGGGAGGGAATATTATTTCGCGACGCGCTGGATTGAGTCTCTATCTATCTATCTAAGCGTAGGATCGCGATCCTTTGGATCCTTCGACACACAATCACCAACCTCTTCAAAACTCTCCAACAGAGATAAAGTCCTAGGTTTTTTACTCCGCCTTGCAGAATGCATATTTTAGCGCCGAATCCTTCGCGAGCTGGGCTGTGTAGGGTTGGTTTCGGATAAACACAAACCAACGACACTGCCCCTTTTCTTCCATTTCAAAGACACCATCATAAGTAATCCATCTTACTATCAAACAAAAACATATCCCGACTTCTCTCCAAATAGCTAAAGAGACATTATTCCATCATCCAAACCCACAAAGTCACCTTGCCAGAAAAAAAAAAAAGATGGGAGCTCAACCCCCATCTCAATCCAATCCAATCATCAAACTTCTAAGCGCCGTTGACACGTTTTTCAGCCACGCGACTAGCACATGGAATTCTCCGCAATGCACATGCGTAGCATAAACTCTATATCCTTCACAACGTCGATCATTCGGTGCCCACCGCCTAGGCTATTACCATTGGAGTTGTTGCTCGGGAACGTGATACCGATGATGCCGTGCAGGTCAAATCCTGCAGGAAGAGGGGTAGTGATGTTCTCAAAGTTAGTTATGTAGGTAGTTAGTCTGATGGTATGTATATGTTTCTGACTCTGTCTACCCAAAGGAGCCCGTCGTTTGTGCTGGATCCCGAATCCCATTACATTACAGCTCTTCCCATTCTCTTTCTACTGTACACATCTTCCCTTCTTAGTTCCATCTACCAAGAACACCCGATTAGTCCTCCGAACATCCCCTCCCTCTATGCAAATCCTCCCCTTCTAACCCTGCAACTCCCCCCTCCTCCTCTCATCCGACAACTCCCCCAAACCCCCAATCAACCCCCTCTCACTCCCCATCTCACTCCTCAAATCACTCGAAGGCAACGAACTCCACCCCTCAGACATCCCATTCCCATTCCCACTCCCATTCCCATTCCATCCCGGGGAATGTTGTAGTTGTTGTTGTTGCTGTGTAATCGCACTCCACCCCGCCACACCGCCTCCATCATGAGATTGTGAAGGCGGAGGGGGAAAATAACTCGTCTCTGAAACAAGAGGGGTGGTTGTAGTGCTTAATTTCACTTGCTCGAGTTGTTTTTGGAGGGAGTTTGCTTTGCGCCATTGGAAGAATAGAAGCGCTGTGGTGATGAGGAGGAGCATTCCGAGGGAGATTCCGAGGGCTATTATGGGGGGGGTGTTGTTATTTGACGTTGTTGTCGCTTCGAGCGTCGGAGGGGAAGATGTCGAGGGGTTGGTTGTATTCGCGGGGTCTGTTGGTGTTGATGATGGTGTTGTTGTCGCTCCATTTCCATTCCCTCCACCAACCACCGCTTCCTCCTCCTCCTCCTCATTATCAACCCTCGCACTGCTATTCCTCTGCACTTCCATCGCATATTCCTCCAACGTCAAACTCGTATTAGGAAATAACGCCAATCCCTTTTCCAATTCAAAAGGTTCATAACTACCTTTACTCCTCGCCGGACAGGAAGTCCCATTATACATTCCTCCACAGCAGAAATTGCCCCGTTCGGAATCCGGCTGGACGAGATATAGGGAAATCGGATCGCGGGTCCATACTATTTTTTCACCTCTTCTCATCAGCAAACAAAACAAACCATTTTTCCTCCCAGTCATCTTCTCGCATCCAATCCAATCCAATCCAATCCAATCCTCATCTTCTCAGGTATCTTCCCGCATCAACCCCCAAGAGAATCATCAGGAAGAAAAGTCACTCACCATCAGTACAAACCCCAGCACACCTTTCACTCTCCCACTCCTCATCCGTACACGCACTCCTCGACACGCGATTTCCCCACGCGACTTGTTGAAAACACAATCCATTGGATAAACAGACGCTATCGGCAGGACAACAGGCCGAATGGGAGGAAGTTGGGTCTGGATCGCAGGGGGCGATGGTATCCTTTTTGAAATTCGTGGGCGTGCCGTCGGGGAAGTAACATTGTTTCTGCGGGGAGTTCGCTGCCGCCATTGAGTAGTAGTAGTAGTAGTTTTGGAGGGGAGGATTCCTTTGAGGGGAGGGATGGATTAGGAGGGATGGAGTATATTGTAGGTAAAGAATGAACGAGAGAGCGAGGAGTCCAAGATTTTCTGGGGATAGTAGCAAGAGCAAGAGCAAGAGCAAAAGAAAGAAGCGAAACGAAACGAAATAGATCGCGATCGAAAACCCCGTCCCCACCAACCAACCAACCGCCATCATTCTCACGCGCGCGCGCCTTGACTTGATTACAGTGTCCATTCCACCCAGGGATCCGAATCCTTCGCCTCTTAGACTCCTAGGGCGCAATCGCAATCCGGCTCCGTTCTTCACAGAAATGGGGCATTGCGTACAGTTTAGTTCCATTAACCCCTGCTGAGATCCAACCCATATGAATCCTTAGTCCCGTCCCTAGTTTCTAAGAGACATTTTCCCGAAGATATGCCTGCTCTTTAGCTTGGAGCTCGAACATACTGCCCCACAACAGGATGAGGGTTTCGCTTGTGTGTGTGAGAGAGAGGGGCGAGAGTACTATACTCATCAGTCGGATTGTGATTGTTATCGTGGAGATATGCTGGTTTGGGGATTCTCTTTGTTTTGTGCGGCGTGGGGAGAGGGACGGACGGGRAAGGTGTGAAAGATGGATCGATGGATGGATAAATAAATGGATGGATGGAGGGATTAAGTGAGTGAGTGAGGGTGATTCTGATGACCTCAAGGTATTTTACTTATTCATTCCTTCATTCATTCATTCCAAGTATACACACACATGATGTTGACATGCGTGCTTTTTTCTTCGTCGATGCCAAGGTTAAGATGATGTGTGCGACGTCCTGCTCTGGGGAACGTCGTGTTTAGTACAATAAACTGATAGGGAACCGGCGCGGTTGTTCTGATAGTCTTGATGATGCACGTTGTGATGGTCGTTTCCGCCCCGCTGGCTTACAGGACTCGACATGATTTCCTGCTCCAAGTGTAAAGGGTGAGGAGAATATCGCCTTTCATCAAGCGTGAGGATATAGGTCATCACTACTTCGCCTTCGCCCGGACTCTCGCCTTACTTCTCGTTCCACCCTTGGCAGTAGCACCGCCTTTGGATCGGGTACTCCTCGTAGCAGGTGTACTGGCACGACTCTCTTTATCCTCACTCTCGTCCACGCCTTCCTCCTCCTCAGCACCTTCCTCCTCTTCCTCGGCCTCCTCCCCTCTGCCATCAACACTCTGTTCATCCGCCGTACTCTCCGCCTGCCTCGCACTCCTCCGACTCGGCGCACCGAGCAAACTCGTTCTTCCCCCAACACTCCCTTCCTCCCCTTTCCTCCCCTTCCCTTTACCTCTCCTCCTCTTCCTCGGGGAAGGTTCCACCCCAGTCCTCAAATCCAAGACCCTCGGCGGCGTCTTCCTCAAATTCAACCCGACAATCTCCACCTCACTCTCACTCCCCTCATCATCAATATCACCCCGTAACCTCCTCCTCCACACCTCCCTCCTAACCCCCTCATCCTCACTAACCGGCAACCCAAACTCCCCCACCTCCACCAAACCTTCCACATCACTCCACTCCCCATCCAACACTACACCTCCTTCCTCCACGCCCTCAATCCTCTCCAATTGTCTCGCATCCTCCCGCGCATCCAAAGCTTTCAAATCATACAGGCCGTTCAATTTCTTCCAGATTCCTGGGGGTCGAGTGTGGGGATTGCGAGGATGGATGTGGTGGTTGTCGAGGAGCCAGGAGTGGAGGGCCAGCATGCGGTGATGTTTGTGGATTCCGGTCGGTTTGTAGCGGAGCAGGGCGCGGAAGAGGGCGGTTTCTTCTGCGTCTGTCCAGGCGTCGGAGGATGATGGTGAGGATGGTGATGGGGGATCCTGTTCGTCGGGTTGTTGTTGTTGTTGTTGTTGGGGAGAGGGGGAGGGAGAGGGAGAGGCGGTTGCTGTTGTTGTTCGCGAGTGTCGGGCGCGTTTTCGAGGCGGCATGGTGGGCATGTTTTGGGTGATGGTGATGTTCAATGGTGGCTACCTAGGTACATATTTGACAAGGTAGATACCTCTTACTTTAGGTAGAGCGGACGTTATGCTATTTTTGGGCCATGACGTAGATTTTGAGACGACCCTCCACGGAGGACCTCCGAGCAGCTTCCAAGCTTTCCCAAGAAGCTGACCACCTGGGCAGACTTCACAAAAGCTGCTCTCTTCCACCTCATTCACCACCCTCACTCTCCGAGGAAACGTCGAGATGAAGTGGCCCAGGTAGGTGATGAATCAATCCCATTCATCCATCCCATCCATCCCATCCATCCATCCATCAATCAACCATATCAACCCCATCAATGCTAATCAACTTCCAGCTTCTTCTCCTCATCCTCCTCCCGTAACCACCACACGCTCCATGGCGAACTCTCCCGCCTCCTCCCCTCTCACCGCGATGAAATGCACTCGGCCGTGCCCGCCAAATCCGTGACCCTCACAGCACTCCGACTCAAACATCAAATCGAATGCGTGATTCCCTGTGAATTGGAAGAAGAGCGGATCACTCGCCCACATTCCGATGTCATCACTCCCGCCGTCGTGGCCACGTCCAAATCCGCCGGCAAAATTGGGGAAGAAGACTATGCATCCTGTGTCGTCTTTTGTCTGTTGATCTGCAAGAATTGGTTTAGAAGACAGGCCATGTTGGAGCTGTGGGATGCGGATCTACACGAACTACGAGCCGTGGCGTGTGAGGTCATCGCCAAACAGCTGATTGAAGGGGAAGAGGACGKCAATTACCTGATGCGCGATGTCTTGTTGAAGCGATATTCCATCATCGTCGACGGAGAAGACACCAAACCCGCCAACGCCATTGAAAAGGCGGTGGATTTGCATGCCGTACGTGTGATTGGATCCTCGGGATATCAAAAGTGCATTTCGTATCTGTGGAGGGGATGGTTGGTGCAGGATGAAGACGATCCCTCCCGCTTCACCGATTATCAACTCAAGACCAGCACCAATTATTGGGATCATTTCGATCCCGACCGCATGCGTGTCCCACAATACCAGAATGCGGTGCAGGTCATGGTCAGCGTCGCCTATCTGGCCCTCTACACCGGAGCCATCAACACCATCAATCCCACCGGTGATGTGGATATCGTTGAAGGATTGCTGTACATCTTCACCCTCGGCTTCATCTGTGACGAGGCGACCAAATTCTTCAAAATCGGCAGATATTACTTTGGATTCTGGAACATTTTCAACTCCACCCTCTACGCCTTGCTTGTCATCTCCTTTATCCTGCGCATCATCGCCCTGGCCCATCCGTTGGGAGAGGAGAAGCGGGGATACTACAACACCCTCTCCTACAACTTCCTCGCTTTCTCCGCCCCCATGTTCTGGATGCGTCTGATGCTCTACCTCGACTCCCTGCGCTTCTTCGGCGCCATGCTGGTTGTGCTCAAGGTCATGATGAAGGAATCCCTCATCTTCTTTGCCCTCCTCATCGTCGTCTTGATCGGTTTCTTCCAGGCTTTCGTCGGCTTCGATCAGGTTGATAATCAAGTCACCGCGACCGAATTCATCGCCAAGATGATGTTGAATGCCATTATGGGTTCTCCTGAATTCGATGGCTGGGGTCGTTTCGCCTCGCCTTTTGGGTCAGTCTTCCCTTTCATCTCATCTCATCTTCATCACATACATATTGACACACCACAGATTAATCCTTTACTACATCTACAACTTCGTCATCGCCGTCATCCTGTTGAACGTCCTCATCGCCCTCTACAATTCCGCCTACGAAGACATTACGGAAAATGCAATCGACGAATACCTCGCCCTCTTCGCCCAAAAGACCATGCAATTCGTCCGCGCACCGGACGAGAATGTCTACATCGCCCCATTCAACCTCGTGGAAATCCTCTTCCTCGCCCTACCTTTCGAATGGTGGCTCAGCAGACCCTACTACGAGAAATTAAACGACCTCGTCATGGGGATCGTATACTCCCCCGTTTTAACCCTCACGGCCGCTTTGGAGGCTCGTACGGCGCGCATGGTGAGATTTAATCGTAGTCGAGGAGAAAGTGATGAGGATACGGTCGAGGAGTGGGAGGAATTGGAAGGCGAGTGTGATTTTGAAGGAAGTGGATGGGGGAAGAGGGTGGAGGAGAGTTGTCCMGATGTTGTTGTTGATGGCACGCTGAAGGCTGTGAGGGAATTGAGGGAGGAGGTTAGGGAGTTGAAGGATATGTTGAGGGAATTGAAGGTTTTTCAGGATGGAGGGGCGCCTGTTGAGGCGAAGTAAGTGATGGGATGGGGATTGAGGAGGGAGGGAGGGATCATTATGTGATGATTATGCTGTCTGTTGAGCGTATGTTGAGCGTATGTTGAGCGTCTGTGTGTATGGCTTTGGTGGGCATGTGTCTAGGAGTGAGTGGGTTTTGTATAGAATGAATGAACAGTACGTAGGATGGATACCTTTATGGATGGCAGCGTGATGAATTAAGATGGGATTCCTTTACAATCTCAATCGAGGATCGAAAGGTAAGAATGAAAGATACCACCTATCTTATCTTTTCTGTTCTTGTCTTCCTTTCCCCTGAATCGATCGGCCAATAAGCACTAGAGTTGCTTTTTTCGATATTATGTGATTATTATTATCTAGGAGACTGGAGTCTGTTTTGAGATATTATCTTCTTGGATTTTTTTTATGTTACCTCGACTCGAGATAGAGGATTTTTGGTTTAAGTAGTAGGGACTAGTCTATAGAATCCGATATTAAGACCTTAGCACTGCCTATAATGGAACAATAAAGTAAATGTAGATGTTAAAAAAGTCTGTCTTGTGGAAGTCTTAGCGGCTTATAATAGTATCCTACTGAATTTGAATCTTAGGCGTCATTGCAGGTGTTTCTTGCGTCAGTCGATCCTCCTGCCCGAAACTTGTATTCCGGGTGCATGATGGCGAGCTATAGCGTGATTACTGCCAAGTGGGGGAAGCGGGCCGTGCTTCCTGAATAGGCAACTTCTGCCTCATGGGTTAACACGCTTGCAAAGAGTTACAGTGCAAGGCAGAGATTATTCATGAATGTGAAGTGTAGAAAGATGGACTTACGAGAATATCTTGAAGTGTGGAATGTATATTCTAGAATTCCATCATGCAAGGGGTGAGTAATAACCAAAACCATGAAAATTTCCCACAACTTTGCAAACACGTCTTTCCCTCCAAAACGACAATGCTCGCCCCATCGCATCGTATCCCAGCAGCAGTGCTCCTAACAATCCTCCTCCTAAGCATCTTCATCTTCAAAGATAATCCCCTCATCCAAAGCGAAGGAAGAAAACTTCTCCTCCCCAACAGACCCACCCACAAACAATCCTCCCTCGCGAGCATCGGGGAAGAACTAGCCTACATAACCTTCTTCACCGGCACCCAAGCCAATAAATCCGACCCAGACATCAGTRAAGACGTCTACTTCACCGCAACTCGAATTCTCGGCTACCAATTAATGCACGCCCCAACCACTCGCACCCGCCGGGCCATCCCTTTCGTCGTCCTCGTCCCCCCAGACGTCGTCCCCGCCAAACGAGAGCGTTTTGAAAAAGACGGGGCGGTGGTGATAGAAGTCCCATATCTTGAGCTTCCGGAATGGGTTATTCCCGCAGAAGCGCGTTGGAAAGACGTGATGAGTAAACTTCGAGCGTGGCAGCAGACGCAATTTTCTCGTTGTTTGTTGCTGGATGGGGATATGATTCTTAATGCTCCTTTGGATGGGGTTTTTGATGATGATGCTGCTGCGAGATTCACCAGCACGCGTCGTGCATCATTGATGAATGATGATGATTCGGGGGATAATGACACCGATTCTTCCCCCCTCCTCCTCCTCCTCCCGGATCAATATCTCTTCGCTTCCATACCCGAAGCCACGGCACATCATACGCAAATTGGAGAATTCAGCGACATCAATTATTTCAATGCAGGATTCTTCCTCTTCGGGCCCTCGATTCCTGTGTTTGAATACTACACTTTCAAACTCCAGGAACAAGGGACTTGGGATCCTAAATACCCGGAACAGAATCTTTTGAATTATATTCATAGTCAGTCCGGGAGGATGCCTTGGACGAGACTCGACACGAAATGGAATGTCAAATTTCCGACGGTGGGGGATAAGGAGGAGGAGGGAGTGGTTAGTATGCATGATAAATTCTGGAGGGCGGATGTGGATGCGGGCTTGCAGGATTATTATAATTCGTTGAGGTGGAAGATGGAGGGGTTTTATGAGGGGTTGGATGTGGGGAGGAAGAGTGGGTGGAGGGGATGAAGATGAGATGATATTCATGATGTGATATGATATGAACGGGCTATTTGGAGTCTTCCCAGATCTTCAGACATTCCTCCTACCCATCACAGAAATTCAAGCCGAAGCGTTGGATACCCTTTACTTACTCGCTGAGAAGCATGCCATATCTAGATTTTTCGTTGGGGAGATGTTCAATATGTCAACAACCTTTCCATTTTTCATGCTTGGGATGCTTTGAAGGGCTCGGCAGAACAGCAGTTACAGAGAGAGAGCTCCAATTCCTAGATTTTGTTGATATTCGGTTTTCCCAAGTTGATGTTTTTTTTTTTTTTTTTTGCATAGGCGACATCTTGTGGGATTGTGGCTTCGGGATATTGAGTATGCTTGGAAGATTCCGGGGGTTTTGGAGCAGAGAAAAGCTGGTGTTTGTCATGGAGTGGTGCCGGAGAGGTCTGTATTTCTACTTGAACCTCGGATTAGGACGACTAGTAGTGGTGGTAGTGGTGGTAGTGGTGGTAGTGGTGGTAGTGGTAGTGGTAGGAAAGCTGAGTAGGTATAGTAGTAATGTGTGAGATAGGGATCAGCTTGTCGATATGAGAATTGTATAGGACGTTGTGTCTATCTTGAAAGTTTCCATCAGTCGATTATATCTTGGGAGAGCTTTTCTCGATGTTTGTACAATCGACCTTTTGCTGCACCCCTCGCATCTACAAGATGGACTTCTCGCCGATACATGGAACCCGCAATCCAGGTCAACGGAATGTTGCGATTACTGCTGCAATGGCATCAATCGGAAATTTATCCATAAGCGGATCTTGCATGGTGTACCAAAGTCCCAACATATCCACTCAGCTACGCTCGGGCCATTTCGATATGGATAAGGTATGTAAGACGTGCTTTGGTTCGGCTGTGAGCAGGGAAGYAGCTCTCGCTTCACCATGGATAAATCCGATGTCCCGATATCCTGGGAGACTGCGAGGTTTCAGAGATGCCATCTCTAAATGTGAGGTCTATCTCTCCTTAATGCGAAAAGCGTAGGAGTCGTGGTTCCCATAGTAGTAGCAGTCTTGGCACTATGATCGATCAAAACAGTGACATTCAAATGCCTCATTTCTGAAAGCCATAACACCCCCCCCCTACGCGTTAAATAAATGCCAGGATGTGGCGTTGCAGGGAAGTGTGTGGACCTTGGGGGGTAAACATGTGCATGGTGTGCGATGGTGCAATGTCAGCCAAGCCAGGRCCAAGAGACATGGATGGGGCTGTATTATTCAACAATTGAATAAGTCAAGAACCTCGCTCCTTGTATTACATTACACCAGCAACTCTTCATTCTTTCGGCTCAAAATCTACAAACCTGTTCTTTTGCGAAGATGACGACACTTTTTCGACGATTCGTGAGAGGAAATGGAAATCTCAACAACGACGATACTGCTCGGACTACTTCACATATTGCCAATGTTACCGCAGGCGGAAACGAGACTGTCGTTGCGGGAGACTTGCAATATGTTGGAGAGCAGGGAGGGAATGATGCTCCTCTTGCATATCAAGAGGCGAGTGGAGCTCCTGTTGAGACTCAGTCTCCACTGGGTTACTCTGTTGGTCCTATAACGATTATGTTTTTGAATATCAGCAAGATGTAAGATCAATCCCTTGCAGTATTTGCTTCGCATGCTAATTATAGACTTCAGGATTGGGACTGGGATTTTCTCGACTCGTGAGTCTGGAGTTTCATGTAGGATGAATATTTGCTGACAATATCAAAAAAGCATCTTCTATCTTGACGGGAACGGGATCTGTTGGAACAAGTTTACTCTTCTGGATTCTCGGCTACGTATTATCACTATCATCACTATCCGTTTACCTAGAATACGCGGCATACTTCCCCAGTCGAAGTGGAAGTGAAGTCGTAAGCACACCCCGAACCTAGCCACCATCATCTACGTGAAAAAGTACAGCAAAGACTAACAAACCTTCCAGGCATATCTCGAACAAGCATACCCCCGACCAAAATGGTTCATGCCCACAACCTTCGCAATCCAATCCGTCCTCCTCTCCTTCAGCAGCAGCAACGCAATCGTAATGGCACGATATCTCTTCGCAATCGCAGATTACAATTCCACCCCCTGGGAACAAAAAGGCCTTGCAGTAGCATGCTACACTCTCGCTGTTCTATTCGTGCTCTTCAATACGAGATTCTCCTACTTCACATCCAATGTAATTGGTGTTGTTAAAGTACTCACTCTAGTCTTCATTTCTATTCTTGGACTCGTGGTTCTGGGAGGATATACACGGGTACAACGACCAAGTACAAATTTTCGGAATCTTTTTGAGGGAGATATTTCTCCCTGGGGAGTCACGAATGCGTTGTATCGTATTATTTTCTCGTATGCTGGGTTTGAGAATGCTTTTAATGTTGTTAATGAAGTCAAGGTATGTTTGCTGTTGTTGTCATGATAGTGATGAATGCTGATATTTCTTAGAACCCTGTGAAAAGTATCCGGAATAATGGATTTGGGGCTTTGACTATTGTTGCTACACTTTATATGCTTTGCAACGTCGCCTTTTTCGCAGCTAGTACGTATCATACGTAGTCAAGAGACCATATGTGTATTGCTGACATGTTCCAGTTCCGAGAAAAGACATGGAAGAAGGTCGAGTCATTGCAGCATCCTACCTTTTCACAAACGTCTTCGGGGAGACGAATGCCGTTCGAGGTTTGAACTTCTTGATTGCCTTGTCATCTTTTGGCAATCTGATCGCTGTTCTGCTTGGCTCCTCTCGTATGCTGCGAGAGTGTGGCCGTCAAGGGGTTCTGCCATTTCCCAAATTCTGGGCCAGTACGAAACCATTCGGGACTCCTGCTGGACCTTATCTCCTGAAATGGTTCACCACGATCCTCGTCATTTTGGCTGTTCCATCAGGAGATGCTTTCAGTTTTAGTAAGATGTCACTTGCCTATTGCTGGGGAAGTTGCTAATCATGCAAAACAGTGGCCGATCTGAATAMCTACCCAGCGTCGGTATTTACCTTTYTCATGGCAATAGGACTTGTTCTCCTCCGTTGGAAGCGCCGAGACTTGGGACTTCCTCGTCCTACATTCAAAGCCTGGAATATCGGTCTCATATTCAACATCATCGTTCAAGTATACCTTCTTGTCATGCCCTGGTATCCTCCAGATGGGGGTGCGACTGGTGGAGATGTGAGCTTCTGGTACGCAACATACATTGTTGTCAGTCTTGCAATTCTATTCATTTGCGGGCTATATTACTACGTCTACGTCAAACTTCTGCCAAAGTGGAAGAAGTATGAGTTACGGCAGGAGGTTATCCAGCTTGGGGATGGAGCTCAGACACATGCTTTGGTCAAGGTTCCATATGGAGAGGTGGATGAATGGGATAGAACTCATGATGCATATGGAGCCAAGTACGGGCAAGAAAGTGGGTTCAGCTCGGCTGAGAAGGTTGATGTTGATGTGAGCGTCAAGTCGAAGGCGCTTGAAGGGTGAATATGGAGCTGTTGCTCTTTAGGATAGATGCTCTGTAGAAGCTATGCGGATAATTTCAGCACATTCAGCTCCAATTTTATCATTGAAAATGCAGTACATTCACAACCAGTGACATTCTGGTTACCATTCACTCACCCGATACTTGTTTCAATGACGTTACTTGGCGTTTCAGCTCGCCGCAAATAATATCCTTATTGTTTGCTAGACTACAAGAACAACACATCTTCTCACCACCAATCAACCTTTGAGAAGAAACACCACTCATCTTCTCCCAACCATGGATCTACCACAACACCCCGAGAAGCGTCGTTCAAGTCGAGCAGGCAACAGAGGCTCAAAGCGCTCGCGCACACCTTCCGAACCCCATGCTATCAGCTCACACGACCGAGATCGCACAGAGCACACAAGGAAGGAGACACCCACTAATACAACCAAATCACCGCAACAGCTGGAAGAGCCCGTGAGACCCCAACCGCGGCAATATCTACGCAAATACGAAGAAGAGTACCTCCCCTTTAACAAAGAAGAGCGCGCTTTCCCTTCCGGAGTAGCATATGCCCACGGCTCTCTGATCATCGGCTCAGCTCTCCCCGACCATGGACTCATGACCGCCAAAACGAAACTACTACATCGCGGAGAGAATCTCAACACGGGGGAGAAGACTCTAGTCACTCTCACTACACCCGATACGCGCGAAGTGGATTTTGAGGAATTGGTGGCTGTACATCAAGCTGGTTTGGCTGTGGATGAGGAGGGTCGGGCTCGAACTGGGCTTGTTGTACCACCGAAATTCTTCTCGAGGTCTAGGCATGAGGGTCGACGGAGAAGTTTCTCTGAGGGGGATCGAGCGCCGAGAGTTGAGGGATCGATTCGAGCGAAGAAATCTAAGGGGAAGCGAGCGCAGTCTAGCGGACCGGAAGCTTAGGGTCGAGGTACTGCAGCTTTCTCGGGCGGGAGATCTATTTGGCGTGTTGCAGGGACGGAGACAGTGGTAACAACGGAGGGAAGATGCATGGATATTGGACGGGTCGAGGAGAGTGGGTTCTGAGAGCGGATACCTTGGGAGGCGGATGGGCCCGAGAAAAGTTAGGAGTGGTTAATGAGGGAGTTAGATACATACCGGAGAATGTATGGCATGTGTTCCATAGCAAATTCCACGGTCTCTCTTCACGCGGTACACAGAACTCAGCCGGTTTTGTTTCTGAAAATGTTCATAAAGTTCAGTTGTCATTGTCTCCATATTTGAAATATTGTAGAGGACAAATCTCCGATTACCAAGACGTGATTCTTCCAGCACTTGCAATGTAACTTTGTCAGTTGTCTCCGCGTAGTCGAATCCCAAGTACATTCACTTCTGTGTAATTTCTGGACATAAATCACGTTATCTCGACTTGCCACTGTCCGGCGTGTTAGACTAATTAACAGCTCTTCGCCGCGAATACTGACGATTGTGAACTACTCTACCCATTCCAAGCCCTTTACTTTATAATCAGCGATCCACGGGTGTCAGTCAAAATAAAAAGGGGCATAATTCCGCCAAGGATATCATCCTCGTCACCACAAAAGTGGAGCCGAACCGGAGTGGCGGAACCTTTTCCGAACCTCACTCACTCACTAGAAATGCTGAAGTGACGGCAATAGCGCATTGGGGCAGCACACAAAACTTCAAAAATGCCGGATTCACTCGAAAGTGAGAAATTCCCATGGGATCTGGGTGTCTTCGACGCACATTGCCATCCAACTGATACTTTGGCCACATTATGCGAGATTCCGGAAATGAAGGCGAGAGTGCTCACGGTTATGGCAACTCGAGCGCAGGACCAGGAACTTGTGGCAAAAGCAGCGGATGAGCTGGGTTTCACTGCGGACGATGTATCGAGTCTCCCCACTCATACAGTAGGCGAGCATAAAGTCCTTCCAGCATTTGGTTGGCATCCGTGGTTCTCCCATCAGATGTTTGATGAGGCGGAGTATGATGGCTCGAGTTCTCTCAGCCCTGAACAAAAGGTCTCACATTACCAGAACGTCCTCAATCCCAAGTCAGAGGATCTGTCGTTCCTGCAGACTCTTCCTGACCCGAGACCCTTTGGCCATTTCATCGGACAGACTAGAGATTACCTACTCAAGTACCCGCTGGCTCTAGTCGGAGAGGTGGGTCTGGACAAGTCTTTCCGGATTCCAGAAAACTGGCTACCGGATGATAGCTGCCAATGTGGAGAGCAGAGGGACAACGGCTTAACGCCAGGAGGCCGGGAGGGACGACGACTAAGCCCATATCGTGTGAGCATGGACCACCAGAAGAAAGTGCTGCTTGCGCAATTGGCTCTCGCTGGCGAGCTWCAGCGCGCTGTCTCGGTCCATGGAGTCCAAGCGCATGGTATCCTGTATGAGACTCTTGCACAAACTTGGAAGGGACATGAGAAAAAGAAGGCTTCCAGGAAAGACCGACGGAAAGCAGGCAGTGCACCCTCCACAGAATCAGACAATGAACCGGACCAGATCGGAGCAAAGCCAYACCCTCCACGAATATGTCTTCATTCTTTCTCTGGACCCGCGGAAACAGTAAAGCAGTACACTGCAAGCGCAGTTCCTTGTGAAGTCTTCTTCAGCTTCAGCACCACCATCAATGCTTGGGCGGAGCAGGGTGAAGGAAAAGTCGAAGCTGCGCTCAAGATGGTGCCGGATGATAAAGTCCTTGTGGAGAGCGACCTTCATACTGCTGGACCCCGGATGGATGCCTACCTGGAAGAGGGCGTTCGAAAGATCTGTGAGGTTAAAGGCTGGTCGTTGTACGAAGGCATTACACAGCTGRCCAAGAACTGGAGACATTTCGCTTTGGGTATAATTGAACCATGATGAGATTAATCAGAGATGTCTTGTCTTTTGCCCTGGTCCAATCCTGACCGCCCGAGGAGGGACGAGCTACATGGCATCGGTTGATGGCTTGTCGTTTCTCTTTCCAGTCAGTTGCGATGGGTCTCCATCACGGTGGTCCTAGAGGCTTACTCTTCTGGATAATCATGTTATCGTTGAGCGCTCAACAGGCAGACGAGACATATGAGTGGCCATCGGCGAATCCGACCTCACCGCGCGCCACTGAAGAATCGCCGTCTCCTCAAGGCTGGAGTGGCGGCTCTCTACCTGGTAAAGACGCCGCAATGTCGGTTGAGCTCTGCTTGGTGTACTCGGATGCGGGCACTCACAAGTCAGAAGATGGGCTGCAAGCCAGGCATCTGGCTCAAGATCTCAGGACGGCCATCGCCTACTTCTCTATGGCGCTGCTGATTGTCAAAGCTACCATCCCGAAAGCGGAATCCGTTCTTCGAAGCATCGAGGTCATGGCTGGGAATCAACGTGAGCGCTGTATGATTGTCCAGCCTGGATGCTGAGCTTCCCGAAACACTCTGTTCCTCCCATTCTACAGTCCGCCCAGCATTCCTCGTCGCTGATCGATGTGTGTACTGTGTCCGACGGAATCGCAACATAACAACCTCCGCTCCGCTGTACGAGTGAAAATCGCTCTTTGTTCTCTTCGGAAGCCGGATGTCGCTCGCTTGTCGCCGCCAGTCTCCCCTTTGATGCTGGCCTTTGTTGTCAATCCCGCCTGAGCGCTATGCAGGAAGCAAAGGTTTGCGACATCTGAGGTTATAAGACGGACATGAGACGCATTATATCTGGCATGTCGGACTCTGCAGCTCCCCTCAGCCTGGAGCTGGGAGGGGTGGGCTGTTGGTGTCATTCCCGTACACGATTTAAGCTTCACGTATACTACGCTAGCTTCCCACCCCTGTCACTTTGGTTGCCCTCTTCTCAGGACTTCCGCGATTCTACACCACGAATACATACGCTGCAAAGACAACATCGCGTCTGTACGACTTCAGCCGGACCGCCACCGTCGCCTCAGCGAACGTATTCTCAGTCCTAGATCACCCTTCAATCAGTCCCAGCCCGATCCTGCACCACGGCAACATCGAGGCATCGCGCATGTTCCTCGCTACGATACACTCGGCAGCTCTGCCTTTACATCTTCATTATGGCACCTGAACGAGCTCCGTTACAAGCGGACGACGACTACCAGGACCTGCTGTCCTTTGCCGGAGTATTAAGCGCAGGTAGCCGCGAAGTCAATGGATCTCCGCAATCATTCCGCGGAGGTGATGGTACTCAAATGAGAGGTCTAACAACATCACCCAATCGAGGCTGTGACTCTACCAACAGAACGCTCATCCCGCCAGGACTTTTTAATGCAGCGCACTTTGGTGCGGAATTTCGAGGCTCTGCACCTTCGCTGTCGTTCTTCGAGGAAGAGTCTATGGCTGCTTTCTTCGGGTTCGGCACAGAGTCGGACACTGATAATACTGCATCAGCTTTAGACCCAGCGATTGATGCAATCGATGGGTCCAAGCCAGTTCTGGATCAGAATCCGGCCATTGCGGCAGTCGTGTTGTCCGCAACTCAACATACAAAATTTGCCCGTGATGACCCTATGGATGCCAGTACGCCAAGTGCGGGATGCTCTGCTGGTTCGCCTCCATTAGGCTCGTTCGATCGGCAGAGCGGCCGTGTCTCTTCTTCTCGCCTTGGTCTCCAGGCCTCTTCACATCCACCCAGACAGACCAAAGTAGCACTGGACGCTGCTACTTCCACGGGAAGTCTTCATCTACCATCCCATGCCACCACGGTAACTCCACGCAATGTCCAGAGTACGGCACCTCCGAAATATGTGCCCCTAATGCCCACGCGTCCACCTGTCTCCACGCAGGGGCTCGTGAGTATGCCGCCCACTTACCCACCACCAACGTTGCAGAATGGAACGTTGGGAACCGCGTCTCACCCTCTGTCACAGCAGGCTCAGGGTTCTTCGGCTCAGGTATGGACTTTCCTCCCGCCACAGACCGCAACGTCCATGGCGCCCATCAATCCAGCCGCTCAACTTGCGCAAACTATCAGCCTGCCGAACCCCGGAGTATCGTCCGCGCCAGCTGCTTCATCTCTACCTCCGCTCACGGCCGAGCAGCAACAGATTCTTTCCCAGCCACATGACAAAATTGTCGGAGACAACGCTCGGCGGCTCGCTTTGACTATGAGAACCGAGCACATGAAGCATCATATCGACGCAAAGCGTGCTGCAGCTGGCTTGGGTCCCCTTAAATTGAATGTCTACACCAAACGTGTCACGAACGCCATCAAGGGGTACGCCAAGAAACAAGGTCGCGACGAGGTGGAGGTCCGAGATGAGTTCAATCAACAGCGCATTGCAAACGGTATTACGATTAATACTGCCGCCGCGAAAAAGGTCCTAGATACTGTCAATGGACGTCGCGGTCCATTCAATGCAACCAACTCTGCCTCTGTCGGAAGTGTTGCTGCTGCCGCTCAGAATTCTGTCACTGCGATAGGATCCACTCCTGCGCTCAGCTCCAGCCCGCAAGCTCTAGCTCCCGTCGCCACTGCTACACAGACCTACATCCCAGCCACAGCTACGAACGCGGCGAGAAATGTGTTCACCCAACCCCCCGCTTCTTCACCAAGCTCATCATTCACCATCTCGTCTATCGGTTCTGCTGTTGCTACAGGAGTCGCTGGACCCACAAACACTGCCAATGGTCATATCATCGACTCTGAGCCAGCACTGAGCGCCATCATTATCAGCACAGAAGGCGCGTCTTATCTTGAGGACTTTCATGCATCGAGGGTTGGGAAGCTCAAGCGTATCTTTGACTCCGGCAACTTGGTACGTGATGGTGGAGTGACCGATGCCGGTGCTGAGCGCCCTTGGAAGAGGCGCGACAACGACACGGAGTGAGAAGTCGGGAGACAGTCATTGGGTGGAAAGTGGCGTTTGACTACTGGCGTGAAATGGACCAGGAAGCTGGGGTTCAGGAACGCATGAAAACCACGGCACATGGACGCAAAAAAATGTTTGTCCGCTGTGACTGAGAAACTACAAATGTAAGCTTCATTGCTTTCATCATCATCCCTCCTTATCTTCAAAATGTTCAGTGTGAGTTCTTCATTCCCGATCCCCCAATTAGCAGACGAACGCAAGAAATCAATTGCCTTGCTATCGTTTTGAACGCTCTGCTTGTATGTTTGACAATCGTAAATGCCAATTGAACTTCCTTCATTACTTCATTACCACTTCGTCTTTCTCTACCTCTTCTCTCTACCAATAAACAGACACAAGCTCTTCATATAAGAAGTCAATTCTTCCAACTAGAGTGCCTACTACGTGTAATGTTTTTCAAATCACGTATATCGCCGCGGTAGACTCCGCTAGACACTTCGTACCATGGACACACCGCCTACTTTCTTTTAACTCAATCACCATCGAGACAGCGATAGCCACCTTCTCYGAGCCAGTAGACAGCACTGCGAAACTTGCGCGCCTCTATTATCCGCAAATTGCTCCTCGCGTCCATGTCTTTGACCAACCATCGACAACTTCTGCGTGTAATGGCCGTCTATCCATCGCTTTGAACCTGGACATCGCCGCCGCTCTTTCAATCACGGCCGTATAACTACCGCAGATTCCTCACCACGACAGCGTTTCAACAACGCACAGCATCGAAGACTCAGCGACCCGAGCCTTCATCTCCCCACTCAATATAGGGAGGACCAGCCTTGATGCTACCTGGCAGCTCGAAGTTTGCCATGTCCGACCCCAACAGTATGGCCGGCATCCTTGCGAAATGCACAGGATCTTTCGCGCAGAGACGGCTCGAAGACGATGTCCATGACGAGAAGCTGCAGCCAGAAGTAAACCAGCCACCACACATTATTGCTTCCACTAGCTTGGGCTCCATGAAGTCCTCTAACTCCCCGGTAATACAACACGACTCTACCATTGCAGAGCCGCTTGGATTTCTGGAGGCAACAGGAGGCAGACTGGTCTTGGAGCTGCTGCCAATCTCGATATCTACACGATGAACGACGTCGCTGCGCGGGATCTGCTATCATCAGACTCACTTCCTCTGGTCGACGAAAATTTCAACTCGCTGTATGATGCGCTCTTTGCCAACGACAACAATGATTCGGACAACAGCTTCAGCCTTGAAGAGCCAGCACCAGAGCGAGGCGCGGCTGCTGATTTAACCCTCTATCGGTGAAACTTGTGCGACACGAGTGTAACGAGCTGCGGAAGGCAAATGACATTTCTACCAACGCTTCGGCTGCTGGAAAAGCTGCCGATTTCGCTGGCGGCATCTATGCCCTGATGAACGCTATCGCCTCTCGCAGTAATGTCGCAGCCAGAACTCGGCCTGTCGTTTCTACCTCTCAACCTGTGTCAGCACTTGCTACGTCGTCTGGCTCGGTTCAACAGTCTCTAGGGCCACAGCTCACCTTCACGGTGTCTCAGACACCAGCTATGGCTGCAAATACTGCGAATGGTCACACAAGTAACATGGGCCCAGCATTGGCCAGCAGCTCTTCCAGCACGGGAGATTCTGCTCATCCGGGACGCTTTTCAGCCAACGTAAGCGAGAAGCGTAAGCGCGACATTGATCCAGACAACTTGCCGGAAAATGACAAGTCCGATGGCTATGGTGGACGTTCTCGGAAGAGGCGCGACAATTCCATGCATTGATCAAGCAGCAGATAGTCCGGCTTGTCAGATATATTCAAGGTTCGTCAGATGTATCAGGTGGATCACGGCTTTTGAAAATTATCGCTGATGATTTCCAGCACGCTTCGGTTACTTCAGGTGTGGATTCGCTGAGAGCGAGTGGGCCAGATGCATACCAACATGTTGCCCAGCCGCTATCTACCGGTGACAGTCTCCAAAACTCCATCTCGCCGTACCGAATCATCGCTCCCGCAGCCTCAGCCTCTGTTAAGCACACAGCATCAGTGCAACGGCCAGTGGTACCCAATGGGTCAACAATCGGGCCTTCGTTATCCCCAGTTGGCCCGCCACTACCTTAATACACGGTGCTCACGCCGGAGACGTTTAGACGCATCAATAATCGAGCACCAACATTTCAACACTCCAGCTCTTTGAATACAACAACAGCGTCCACGATCAGACTTTCCAACCAGCCGGTCCGCCAATCGATACAACCAGCGCCTGTGCCTGCTCTCACAGACGCGCAGAAACAGATTCTGAGCACAACGCCGTATGCGGGAGAGGTTCTCCTGGAGCTCGGTGAGGGGATGAGAAATGAGCACATTCTGATGCACTTGAATGTGCTACGTGCTGCAGACGGCAAACCTTCGACAAAGCTGAACAACGTCATAAAGAACCTGACCAATGCYTTGAAGAGGCGTGCAGCCACCCAGGGCCGCGAGTACGATGGGACTAGACACAAATACGATCAGTTGCGCACCAGCAATGGAATGGCAGTGCATGCTGGCAACGCGCAGAGGGTTGCGGACGTTGTTAACAGCGGCTCAGGTCTTCTCGTCCCCGCAGACGCAGCGATGATGAGGTTCTGACACGGAGGGCCACAACGGCAAGACTGTAAATTACGGTGGTAGGGGAAGTAGGAAGTAGCGTGACAACAGTACTGAGTAGGCAGGCGATGCGTGATGGAGTGGAGGGGCGTGCAGCGCCCTGGCATTGAAGACTACGGGATCTAGACGGAGTCTATGTTGTGGCAAACGTGAAAATAGCTGAGGACATGGAACATAGGAGATGGAAAATCGGCAAGCGCAAAGCTCATCGCTGTTACGTGAATGATCTCTCTTTCTACAAAATACGAAATCTTCAACATTCATTCTGCTTCCTCTTGACTAACGCACGAAGAAAGTCAAACATCTATGCTATCTTTGGCTTGTWCAGTCAGCTTCCATCTTTGCTGATCGCAACTACAAGCTAGCCGTTTCTTATTAAATCAACATGTCTGTTCCCATCTTCATTCTCTACGATATTCCAAAGATTTTTGTACGCAGAGACACACACAGACCCTTTAACTTGTAACTCCAGCCGTCCCTCTAATTTCGCAGCGAAAATTTCATACTTGTAGGTCTCGCTCCCACTAGGAACAGCTCCAAACGATGAGCTCTATCAGACCACCCTCAACACTCTGGAGAAGTTCCTCGCCCAAATCGAGGACAAACTGAGCTATGGCGAGAAAGTCTTCTAAGCTCGCCAACCTATCTCATTCATAACAATGCTTGCCTGGTCCTTGACCTGACATCAGAAGCGACGCAAGGCCTTGACACTATCAATTCTCTGGTTTGATGGATCATGGAGATGTACTCCCGAGGAACCTGGTACGCTGGATATGCTTCGCCGCTTGATATCTCCTGCCGCACAGCGTGATAATGGTAGTAGACGCCTGCCAGCAGACCAAACAGCATCCGCTCAGCAACTCCAAACGTAGGCATAACAGAGATTATACCCATGAAGCCTCTCTGATTACCAGATATTCGACGCTCGTTCTTTGTTTAAACTGTCCTCTATTATTACACAAAGGAGAAAAATCCAAGCTTGTGGTCACCCTCCTTTCACACGCCGCTTCCATCCTAGGCTAGCGCGTCACTAGCTCGACTTCCTCCACTCCCGTCCTCGCCGAAGTTTGCGAGACGCGCGTTTGTCCCATAACAACCAACTTCATTCCTTCGCAATGACAACACCAAACATGCCCAACGTGCAGCTTCCCTTCAGGACTCTAAACAGCGCACCCGCCACAATGGCACAACCTCAACCAGCCCCAGATGCCGAACTCGTCTTCACAACAACCCACGACTACGTCTTCGCGCAGCCCGGACCACTAATCCAGATTTTCGGACGAAAAGTAGCAATCGATGAGCTCCACAAGGGTATTGAGGGCGAAGGACTTGCTGTTCGACCGGATCAGCCAGACCATGCGAGCACTGCACTCGAGCAATCACTCGATCTCCTGCGCGCGAAGAACGCCTTTCCTGATAACGAAGCCCTCCTTCGTTTCACCGCGCAGTCGCCAGAACTGCAGCTCGCCGGCGGTATCACTCCAGAAGACTGGGTCATCAGGGAAACTGTCCTCAACTGCGTCTACCCACCATTCCATTTCCAGCAGCTCAATGTGGATTTCGTCCTCGCTTTCCTTCGAGTCGCGCAAAAGTGCCATAGCGAAGAGCGAGTCTATCAATTGGTTATCTTGACTCAGACAACACAAGTGCAATACCGCGTCGACAAACTTCTCACGATCTTCGATGCTCCAGCCACGCACTCAGTCTACCTATACAGACACTTCGTGAGGGGACAGGATGGAGCGATTGTTGAGAATTGGAAGGGCTTCATGCTACGTCCTGGAGCAAGGGAACCCACGCCTGAAGTCGCGCCTCCACTGAGATTCCGTCCTGACTTGCTGCTGCGATTGAAGCGCCTTCGTGCGAAGCAGGAGGAGATGCGTAAGCGAGCTGCTAGCGATTCCTGATGTTGAATTTGATACATCATGAGTCCCTAGGAGCGCGCACAGAAGCGCTGATGACCAGACGGCCTGTAGCGATTCCACAAATCTACCCTGCCGGCGAAGGACTGTTGAGGAGACAATGCTGCGGCAGGAGACATGGAATGGCAATTAGTGTGAGACCACTTTGAGGCGGAAGTTGGCGTGGAGGAGGGCATCTTGCAGTCGATGCCATGCTTTGTGATCTGAACGAAGGGAACGAAAATGGGGGGAAAGGATTGRAATACTTTCTGCGTTTGCGCCATGCTCTACGCGAAGACATGCACAAATGAGATGTTGAACATTGCTGAATTGCCTCTCAACCCTCAAACTTGTAGATCGTCCGACCCTGAATCTTTCGATGTATTTCGAATCGTATCATCCATCGCCGTATCTGTACTCCACCTCTGTTCGGTGGATCTAGCCTTGTGGTCTATATCTTTCCCAACTAGATCCTCTTCCACCTTCATCATCTTCTCCTGTACACCAGACATACTCCGAACCTGTCAGACAGAAGCTTGCATTCACGAACATATCTCCGCGTCCTGCTAATCTCGCCGTTTGGTCTTTGAGAGTTTTAGATACCTCTCGCTGGTCTTCTAGTCTCGACAGGGTAAACTGAAGCTTTGTATGCGCACTAGAGAATTTCCCTTGATGGAAACGGGCGAGATTTCGTTTGCAACGTTTGACGGTTGCAGTTGTGTGGCTTATGATTCTGCATTGCAAATCGAGTGATTTGATGGAGAGCCTATGGGCCATGATCTATGTAGTGAAGTATCAACTCTCTCTTAGCAACTCGAGTGGCAAAATATGTCGAATAATGAGCAGCATTCCGGCAAGATTTCTTTGTGTGCTGCTTTCAGACTCTTGCACCTTTGTTCCGATGTGGTTTACTTTGTCAAAGCAAGCTACAGTTCCAGACACGCTCGAGTTCAGTATGAGTTGATATAACTTGATGGCTTTGAATGAGTGGTCGGAAAGTGGCCGCTCGTCTTCGGTACCAATATTCGCGGTGGTACGTAGGGGTCAAGCATAAGTCTCGTCAGCGCTCTCCCAATGCTGCTCGAGATGCCACACAAGGCATTATCTGGTATTGGTTCTCCTCCAACTGGTATCAGCGGTCTTGGAAAATTCTCAGATGCACGGGTCGCTGTAGCATAGCGCTATCACTTATCATCTCACACCAAGCTTGCGGTCTTTTCTTGAAGCGACCCTGAGTTAGCCTCGCGATGTATTGTGCTGTTAAAGAACTTGGTCGAGCCTTCTAGTGCTATGATGTGTTAGTACGTCCAGGAGGTTCTTCTGTGTTGACAAACAGGCAACGGGATGCGGTAAGTTTACATAAACATCTTCTATACAGCTGGTTTGACGCCTATATATCGATAGACTCCCAGCTCTTCCACCTTATACATCACGAATGAGCTCCTTCAGACGATGACTTAATGTAAGTTCAACGTAGAGAAATACCCAGCCTCGCACGGGAATTGTGGGGCGCGCTAGTGTATTAATCCCCAAGGCCTACCGCATCAGTTTCCGAACACTTCAATTTTTCCCTCCAAAATCTCAGGACTCTTCAAGTTAACAACGTCTCAGAACCAAAACCTCACAAATCACATCGACACACACCCTACGCGCAACTCTAACCATGTCCGCATCGCAGCAAAACCCCACCTGGTGGGCGAGCGAGGCAGAGGAGCGCTTCGAGCGGGCTTTTGGCCTATCCACAGCACCACGCGGCGACTCGCCTCCTTCGTATGAGAGTACCATAACCTTATACCCGCCCTGCAACATGTTATCGGCCCCTGGTTCATCACGGCAACTCGAGGACCTCGAGCAATGGCGGTGGCCTGACGCGCGTCACCAAAGTCGAGTCGGACTCGAGGACGTCGATACTGAAGGCGTGCGCTCAACGCATGATTTCGTAGGCAGTCATGTCCAACGTAAGACTCGTCATCGCGCACTGGCCCGATCATTCCACTAACCTTGCCTAGGCGTACCTTTACTTGCCGCTCCGATAGGAGAAGATCCTTTCATGGCAGCCCCTGGAGCCGCATATCGACAACCAGTCCGCAGTACGTCTCCCATCTTGATATCTTTATGTCTCATAGCTGACTCCATTACAAAGATGTACATCCAAAGCAAAGCAGAGGAGGGCGTCGCCCACCCATAATGGGACGGCTCCAGCATCATACATTACCGCAACGTCCAGTAGCGCCATCCAACGGCACGATCCAACAGCTACATCTCGCGCCGAACACAATGCCACCCATCAGAACCCAATCCCTCGCCCAGTCACTGCTGACTAGACCAGCGACAGCAAAGTCACTCCTTTCAGTCAAAAAAGGACGCAGGGGATCATCAAAAGCAACCGGGATTCCATTCGGCAACTTCCAGCAAGATAGACCACCATTCAACGTCCAGCCTCCCCTCGACGTGGAAATTGGCATGTGTGAGATATGTATCTTCATGCCGAACTGGCTACACATTGTAGAAGTGGTAGTCCGCCTCATGCGAAATGGAGCAAGCCGCGGAATCCTCGCCAAAATGCAACTGCTCGCTACAGGAGAGCTCACTCAAGAGAACTTTATCCGCTGTAAAAATAAAATCCAGCAGCAGTTTGGAGAGTGCGGGAGACTTTACTACGGGACTAATAGCTGGGATATAAATCTCGCTAGGAATGATGGCGTGGAGGATGATTTGACTGCGAATAGCTGGGCCACGCATCGGAGAGGCTCGGCTGTTAAGTTTGAGCATATGAAATTGGCAGACATCTACTCCGCGGTGCCCACTGCCAATTTTCCCACTGGGAGAGACCGGCTGCTGTTCACGCAGTGTCTGGAGTTTGCTCGGAGCAATCCACAGCTGGACCTTGATACTTCGCATTTCGATTGGATTATTCAAAGTCAAGGCTTACAAGCTCCTCTTGTGCCGGTGGGTCGGAATCGTGACGAGGAGGCTATCATAGGGTTCGATGAACCGGATCCGTGATGATGTTAATGGGACATGGACATGGACATGGCTGTGACTGAAGGAGCAAGCGGATGAAAGGAATGAGCTGTGCTCGGCAGACTGAAGAAAGAGATGGTTTTCAATAGCGCCTTCAAACTTCGAACATATGCCTGAACAGATGTTACGCACCTTCATTCCCTACACAGCGGAGTTTGTGAGGCATTGAGAAGGTGATGTCGAGCAGACGAAAGTTCGATGCGGTAGGTCACTTGAAGGGCCTCGCTTCAATATTTGATGGATATCCGTATCAGGACTAGCGCAGTAACAAGTCCCGACGGCTTTCCACTCCGCCTCACGTCTGGAAGGCACCAACCATCAACAATGGGCGCATCGATTCGGGCCTCTACGCTCTCGCTACTCTCCCTCCAGACTCCTTGAGAACGGTCCCGAGGATTTTCATCCAAAGGAAACCCATCGCGCGTACGCTCTGAGACATGCATCATCCTGCCGACCAAGGACTGTATGGAAGCCATGAAGGCTGTAAGGATGTAAAGAAGCACTGATCAAGAAGGTCATATCACGGTGCCCTTCCGCTTTGGAAGACCTTCATCGACCGCTGAACCGCAAAGGTATTTGCAATGAACCATACGGTCAAAGTCGCCATCTGGACAAACGCTGCCACGAGGGACGGGATGGTGCATTGTCGAACTCGGTCTGATGCCTTCCTTCTATCAACCTAGTCCAAAGATGTCCCAAACACTTCTACTGGCCCTATGGTTTGCACTGCCTCGTGGGTACGAATAGAGATTATAATCCGGTACAGCGGTCAACGGCTTCCAGCCGTGAAATTGAAGACAACCTTTCATTTTTAGGGCACGTTACCTTGACAAGAATTGGAAGTTAGCCGTTGAGGTTGTTGCTATATGCTAGCCCAGGAACCGGCCACATGATACTGCGACGACGTGGCAAACCCTCGGCCACGCAACACGACTAGGTAGGCCCTCTCCGTCCAGCCACGATCAAATTTGCCACGCCAGTACGGAAGACAGCCATGCAGCGAATATCATCGTTCGATTCTTGATGCTGTAGCTGTTTACTGTATTGACTTCCGCGGTCACAGGGCAACAAGGTAGAGCCGTCGACATGCAGTGCAGAATATCAAGCCCAGCGCAACCTAGGCGATGTCCCAAATCATCTATACACCTCGCACGCAGACCGCTGTACGATCGTACCTGCATGAGTGGCCTAACGTGCAGTTTCAGTGACAGGATTAGCCACCGCAGGCGGAGCTTCGTAACGGTTGATGTTTGGTACGCAGCGTCCGAGCCAAACATCGACGGGCCTAGTCCACCCGCACAGAGCCGCAATGCCTTCGCGTAGGCATATTCGCTGGCACCAGGTTAGTAATAATCTCGGTGCCATTGTGCATGTCATCGCATGGACCCGCTCCAACTGGTTGCCAAGCTGGAACATCTCCAGAGCGACATCTGCATGAACTGCGTATGCATTGACATCTCGGAATAGCAACGCATCCAGGGACACCTTTAAGATCCCGCCTCTCATTTATAACCACCACTGAGTATCTTGCTACTTTGTTTCAATAAGCAGAAGTCGTTATTCCTGGCCTTTTTTCATTCGTCGTTCTAGTGCGAAACATATTCCTGCCTCTGCCTATACCCGCCATTTTTCCTCAACGGTCACTCGCCACACCGCCCACCACTGCACATTACTATCAAGCTTGACATATAAGGAACAACACTTTGAGCTCCACAGTCAGTCAGTACACACAAACAATATTCTCAACAACCATTCGAGAACATTGCTAACCATGCATACATCAATCTCACTTCCGCTGCTCTTTCTTCCCTCGCTCCTAGCTCCAGCCTTTGCCATTCCACTCGAGCTTCGCACTGGATCGAGCGCAACTGAACGATGGGTACGAGTAGAGAACACACTCAACGCAACAACTTGGAACGGGGTCAACAACAAGGCCTCTGCACCTGAATCTGAATCTGAATCAGCATCGGAGACGGTCACAACCACTACCCTGACAGCGAGTTCAACACACCATAATCGCCCAAGCAGAACAGCTCAATACATTTACACACCCACAATCATCAATGCACCTTTGCAGCCCAAGGGTAACGCCACCAACAATTGGAATGGAACTACGTCGGCTGCCAACTCTACCTCTAGCGCTTCTTCCAACTCCACATTGGATGCGTCTTCCAATGCACCATCTTCGAATGGAACAACATCATCCAACGCAACATTAACCAACGCAACATTAGCCAACGCCACATCATCCAACGCCACATCATCCAACACAACATCATCCAACGCAGCATTATCCAGCAGCACATCMCCCGATCGATCATCACCCACTCCAACGTACCCTAACGCAACATCATCCGATGATGCTTCAGGACGGGGAATGACACACGGAACGGACGGTTCCTTCACCACCACCACTACTACCACCACCACCAACACTACCGCTCTCATCAAGACCTTCAACACGACCGTGGAAACTAGAGTCGAGAGTCGGGATCTTAACAGCACTCTCCGCTCCGGCGATGACGACAAGGATATTGACTACATCGTCACAAGAGGCAACACCTTCACCGACATTCAGGGAGCCCTTTATCGATCAAGACATGACATTGTGGCTGCCAATGGTTCTCGGACTCACGCAGGACCAGTCGCCAAGGGTCCGGAAGGCAGCATCTCTCGCGGTGTATTCACCCTCGAACTTGTCAACAGAATGCCGACCGACAACGTCAGAGCCTACATTTCCGGTCTGGACCCGAAGGGTGCTCTCGTCATGCTCGGTCAGGATGGTCAATGGGTCTACCCATCAACAACCTCAGAGACTCCCGAGGCAGTCAAGGGCAACATTCGCATTCCAATGGGAAAGGCCAACAGCACCACTCCGGTGGCACTTCCTGGCTTCATTTCTAGCGCTCGTGTATGGATCGCCGACGGTAACTTGGACTTTTACGTCGTTGCCACTCCCAACGGGCCTGGTCTGGTTGAGCCCTCCATCGCAAACTCCAAAGATCCCAACTCAGAAGTCAACTACTCTTTCGCCGAGTTCTCCTGGGCGGCGGATTATGGTATCTTCGTCAACATCTCTTACGTTGACTTCGTCGGTCTCCCTCTCGGCATGGAGCTTTCCGACTACGACAACGCGAACCACTCCGTCCTTGGTGTTCCATCCAACGCCGCCCAGGTTCTCTGCGAGCAACTCAAAACCCAAGCAGCCCAGGATGGCCAGCCATGGGACCAGCTCTGCGCTTACGACAGCTCCGACAAGATCCGCAGAGTGATGGCTCCCCACATCCTAATCACCCAAAATGAAACGGCATTCAAAGGCTACTTTGACAAATACGTCGATGATGTCTGGTCATGGTACAGCTCCAACAAACTCACCATCAACACTCAAAACGACGGCGGCAACGTCACCTGCTCCGTCCAAGGCGACGAAATCAAGTGCGAAGGCGATAACCGCGGCTACGCGAAACCCAACGCCAAAGACATTTTCGGCTGCAACGACGGACCCTTTGCCATAGCCGCCGGCGACAACGCCGTCCATCTCGCAGTCGTCCCTCGTCTCTGTGCCGCTTTCAACCGTGCTACCTTCTTGCTCGATGGCGGTGATGTCCAGCCCGGTGTGTCCACGGAAATGTACTACCCGGAAGACGTCTCCAGGAACCTCTACAGTGACTTTGTCAAGCAGATGCAGGTTGAAGAGAGGGGATACGCTTTCTCTTACGACGATGTAACTCCTCCTGGTGATGGCAAGGATCAATCTGGATTGGTCTCTTCTACGAGTCCCAAGGTTTTGAGACTTATTGTTGGCGGCTCTTGAGGAGTTGGCGGCAATGCTCTTGAAGAGTTGGCAATTATCATTCGATTCGATTCGGTTTGATTTTTATGGAATAGCGTTTCATGGGCATGAATGAATGGGATGGGATGGGAAATGCATTGTAAAGGATACCATTGCATTGGGCTGGAACCCACACATTTATGACGAGAATTCTCACTTCACTTCGTTGAATAGCCTTTGCAGTAGACCATGGATTGGTCATTTAGTTCAAACTTGAATATTTAAACACCCTTCATTTATAAACACAGATGCAACATCTACCTTACATTTCAAGATCTTTCTTCTCCCCTCCATCCTCTCAACTTGAAAATTGTATCCACGTACTTTGCAACGAATTTATCTAAAATAACCACCTTAAAACTTTCGCAAATTCTCGCAAAAAGTAGCCACTTGAACCCCCCAAGCCTCCTCCCTCTCAATCCCCGTCATAAGTCCAAAAACAGGACTAATATGATTATGCCCCTTCATCATATCAACAGCCAACGAATTCCGACTCTCAGGCGTCCCAATTTCCATCCACTCCCTAACCAACTCATCCCGAGATTGATTAATTTCATCTTCGGGATCGAGTTCTGCGTTTAGGAGCAGGGCTCTCACTCCACTTGCTAGGAAATCTAGAGAACCGTTTTTGCGGGCGGCTTTGAAGAGTCCGAGGGGACTGAGATCGATGTGTGCGGAGGGGGAACCGTAGTAGGTGGTTATGACTTCTTCTCGATAGGGTTCCATTGTTTTGAAATGGAAGGGTGCGGAGAGGGGGATTATTCCTCGGAGCTGTGTCTTKCTTTCGTTGGAGAGGACTTTTGCCCTTGTAGATGCGAATGTGGGGTGGAGGAGAAATGTCATGAGGTTCGCTGCAAGTTAAAGGAAGATTAGCGAACGACTCTTCAGGGAAGAATGATGAAGATTGTCAAAGACGTAGTAAAGTAGCTCGAGAGTCCATCTGCGAGCTCCTCACCAGTACCGCTTCAGTCTCACGGCAAAGAAAACTTACTACCACCAGCCGAATTCCCCATAATAAAAAGATCAGAAGGCTCCTCCGATCCAGAAAATTTACTCATAATCCACTCCACAACCAAAGCAACATCCTCCCCTCCACTCGGAAACACAGCATCAGAATGCTTAAAAACCAGCCTATAATCCGGTATCACCACCGTATACCCATACTTCAGCGCGAAAAACGCCGCGACATTCGAGTGTACGAGATTATCAGCGATGCCTTCCAAGGTCTTGGAACCTTGGACGAATCCACCACCGTGGACAAAGACTAGGATTGCTTTGCGGCCGTTGATGATGCTGGGGTTTGGAGGGGTGTATATGTCTAGTTTTTGTCGTTCTTGAGGTCCGTAGGAATGGGTCGCTTTGGGTACGGAGCGGATTAGGGGGGCGTTTTTTTGGATTAGAGGGGCGTAGATTTGTATTGTAGGTCCGATGATCGCGCGGATGGAGGTCCCGAGTGGTGGTAGTTTGTTCATGATTTCAAGTCAATTTTTCTTCGTTCGTTGTTGTTGTGTTGTGAGATGGTATTATTGATGTTTATGGAGCTTTCTTATAATGACTGTAACTCGGGCAGTCGGGTCGTCGGAAGGCCGGTGTACATACATCATGCCACATGGCTGCCGCGAAGTTCGGGCTTTGAGGTGGTATATTCCAAAACTCACGGACAGGATAGCCTATGAGTGTTTCCGAGAAGCTTAATGTAATGGTATAGTGTCGGGGTTTCGCCTTCTTTAAATGTCCGAGTCTAGTTGGATTGCTAGAGCTTATGTAAATTAGGCATTCGATAATGTTCTCACGTTACTTGTCGCTAGAAACATTATGATTCATGCCTCAGGCTCACTTGATCACGTGTCTCAAGTGAGCCCTATGTAGTGAGGATCTTTCGAACCATCAAATTTCGCACTTTTACTAGAGAAACGATAACAAGGTACAACTAACTTGTAATAAGATCTGCCTTAGTACGGAAAGTTCCCTCGAACTATACTACGAGATGCGCTTTTCCTAATGAAGACTAGCACCGGTGCACCGAGACTCACTCCTAGCGCTAAGAGATCGTGTAGTCTTAGCCATACAGACCATATTGTCTCGTTAGCCAATTGACAGCAGGTTTACTCTAGTCGAAGAGGAATAGTGTGTGCTCTTGGCGGTCTGCGCTGAGACTAGAGATCGTCAATGTTCCAAGACTCCAAGAGAAGATCACCTCCTCGCCTATGATCCTACTCATCTCACCGTACTCCAACGACATCGATTCCCACGATACTAACCGACGACAGATGAACGACTTCATCCACTCTTTCACAAATCCTTGGGGCTATCTATCAAGTCGAGCAACTCTGACGGCATTCTCTCGATCCTAGGTAACCCTGATTACTCCCTAATCGCCATCCAAGGGGTGCGGAGTGATAGATCTACACGTTGATTCGAATCAGCCTACAAACCTTGACGCTGAAACGCAGACTTGGCAATGCGGAGAAGGCGACGACCCGGTTTCCGCGGACTCCATCTAGGCACATCGAATGTAAAGATATCAAACATTCTCTCCGTCTCAAATGTAAGTTGTCAGAAAGCTGGGTAWCTCTTTCCCCTCCCTCTCACAATCTCATCCCACGAGACACCTCCCGTCAGACCTTCGCCATGATGTCGACCGATTCTCCCACGTTAAAGCACTTGACCAAACCTCCGGGAACCACAACACCCTACGTGATCTCATCTCAAGAAGGAGAGATTCTGCACGTCCCCCTCACCAAATCCGCCACCAGACTCCTCGTCACAGGTCTGGAGACGGAAGATAGTTATGGACTCGTGGGCTGGTGTGGAAGCCAGAGCGATCCCATCGGATTCCATTATCACAAGCACACCCATGAGGTATTGCTTTGTCTCAAAGGTAGCGTGAACGTCTGGATAGATGATGAGTTTCGGACCATGGCTCCGGGAGATTTTGCTGATATTCCACCGGTATGCTCTTTCTTTCGTCGTTCCGCATAAGTGTGTGTCATGGTAAACACTGCTAACTTCTCGCGAGAACACCATTCATCGATATCAAATTCTGGGAAACCACAGCGAGATGATCGGCTTGACTGTTCCCGGCGGTTTGGAGGACTTCTTCCGGGTCATCGGGGAGCCATACAATGGTCCATTGTGGCCGATGAATGACCAAAGGAATGTCTTCGAGTTCCTGGTGCCCGAGCTAAAGGCTGCCGCCGAACACTTCGACATCATCCCTCTACCACATCACAAACCATCAGTAACTTGGCCCTGGGAGAATTCAGGCAGTATTTCGCCAGGCAAAAAGGAGTCCTACTTCCTCCAATGCGGATCTGGTCCCGCGTGGCTCGCCGGTGGCACACTCGTCCGGCCTTTAATCACCACCGCGGAAAGTGACGGGAACTTCGCAATTGCCAGTATTGAAGGCTCCTCACACCACGCGCCTTCCGATCTCCTAGCTGCACCCCAGCGCATCTCCTTTCCCAAAACGCATCATGCGTTCCTGATCAGTGAGGGAAGAGTCGAGTTTTCTCTGGAAGAGTCGTCATATACACTCCTGCATGCGGGTGACATCATCTATGTGCCACGAGGCACGGTATTCAGATACCAGATCCGTTCGCGGTATGCGAAAATGTATGTGTTTGCGAGCGGGAAGGGGATTGTAGAGCTGTTGATTGGCGTCGGGGAAGAATGTTACAGTCCAATACTGCCGGAAACGGCCGAGAAGCGTATTGATCCCGCGATGCTGAGCAAAGTGGCCAGAAATTGAGAATTTTACCCGGGATTTACTAGACTGTATTAATGTCCACGTCATATCTTCAACACATTGTATTGGCTTCATTGATATGCACACGCTTTGAGCCGTACTTGACGACGACGACATCGTTGACAGACACTTCGGTATGTTCTCGCGAATTAGAGGCTCATGTTTGAGAGGGAACCAGTGTAATTCTTCATGAGCTTCCTGCGTATTGTTGCCATACTGTTGTGTGTTGCCAGGCTGGGATGGAATCTCTGGCTCAGAGGAAGCTTCAGGAATGCTGGAGGGAAGTTGAACGAAGACTTCGGTGTTGGAAAAGCCTGTTGACTTAAATGGAGGGAGACCAGTAGGCCGCGAGAGCTCTGGGGATTTCCATGCACGCGCCGGAAATGACTCTGGGGGTTCAACTGCAGCTGACTCACCCCTTAAGTGACTGCGGTATGATCATTTCGAGAGGCTTTGGGGGGCCTTGTTGACGCCCCCATTTGCTTTTCAACTATCGTAACTTGAGCTCACCTTTCTCCTCGGTTCTGCCAATCTCAATCAGAYAGGCATCTTGAGCCTACCGTTTATGGCACGGCGCAGTCCTCGCTCAGGAATGAAAAAGGGACGAGACTTCGACAACCGAAGAATAGAAGAATGTCCTGGCTCGCACGTTGATGGTATCGTGTGATGAAGACCAGAGGAAGGAGGCGAGCGAAGCTGCAGTCGCAGCAAGTTCCGGCATGCCAATCCGCCGAGATTTTGCCGGTGACAGCCCGTTCCTGCACCATCTCTTCTTCAACATCAAGCATCAGAGCAACATCAACTATGAATTGGAAGTCATCACCAATGCAACGGTGAATCTCACTGCATTCCATCAAATCGAGAACAAATCCCGAAAATATCTCATCTTGCCCCTACTCCATCCATCTCTTCCTATCTCTCCATCAAACGAAACAATTATCCTTTCAATCTCACATCTGCAACATGCCCTCCCTCCCCACCCTCCTCTTCCTCACAGCCCCAATCTCATACTTCACCCTCGAATACCTCACCTCCCGCGCCACGGCTCAGCCCTACAGCTACATCCGACATCACACAAGTCTCCTTGCCTACCCCTACCCTTTCAAAGACAAAGACACACATCTCCCCACCCGTTCTCCCCGAGCATACTGGATGAAAGCAAACTTCATCCTCAACGGTCTCTTTCATCTCACAGGTCAACTGCACTTTATCAATGGTCAATTCCTCCTCACGCGGAAGATCCTCGCATGGATGTATTGCATCGGCATCACTCTCGTCGCCGTGGACTCTGGAGATGCCAGTACGCCGAGGGGGGAGAAGAAGCAATCTCCATGGCATGGTCTAGGGGCTGTTATGGCGATTCTCGCAGGGAATTTAGGGAGTGTTTTAGCTGGGTTGGGGAGTGGAGAGGAAGGAGGGGTGTATCGCGGGTTAAGCATGGGATTGGGAGGGGTGGGACTCGTGGGAGCGGTGCTTTCGGGGGTGTTTGTTGATGGGAGGTGGAGGGGGATGTGGCAGAGGAGTGCGATTTATCCCATTGCGATGTGGATGGGTGTTACTGGGGTAACGTTGATGGGGAGGATCTAGGGATGGATCAATGAGAAGCCTATAGCATGAAAAGATCCCATGCTATAGGCTTCCYATCCATCCATCTCGACACTCGAGCATCCCAGCGCTGGTACATTGGCAGCGAATGAGCCCTCGCAGAATGATGGCAAAAGCGGGCTTTTGGCCATGCGAGAACGACTTTCAGAATACGCCGTAGAATCGTATGCCGATTGCTATCAGTAGTGAGGCCATCATTTTCGAATTTCATAGAACACAATGTAATACACAAAATCCATCTTGTCGCCGGGAACTCCCGTGCCTGCGGAGAAGAAGTGAAGACCTCCGACGCCAAATCCAAATCCATCCCAACTCCAACTCCACCTCACGATTCGAACATTAACTCCAGGATCCGCCTCCTCATCCCAAAAGATGGCGTCCAAACGCGCCGCCATCCCGGCCAAACACCTCTTCACTAACTTCCAAGCGACCCAACATCCCGCCGCACGTCTCACACGATCAATGGCAACCGAAGCGCCCCTCTCCACAACCTCCACCCACGCCGCTCCACCCTCAATAACATCAACATCAACATCCTCCTCGTCAAAGCCAACACTAGTTGCCGGCAAAATCCCCAATCCCTTCCTCTCAAAAGTACCCTGCACCCTCTACACTTTCCCCTCCCTCACACCCACCTCTCTCACAAGCTACCCAAGCCAACACCTCCTCCTACCCCTCCGCCGCGACATCCTCCACCGCGCCGTGATTTTCGAAGGCGACGCCACGCGCCAAGGAACCGCATCCACCAAACACCGTTCCGAAGTGCACGGTTCCGGCCGCAAAATCCGACCACAAAAGGGCTCGGGAAGCGCACGATTGGGGGATAAAAAATCTCCCATGTTACGCGGGGGTGGAGTGGCTTTTGGACCCAAACCGAGGGATTTCAGTACGGCGTTTAATAAGAAGGATTATTGCTTGGCGGTTAGGACGGCGTTGAGTGCGAGGTATCGGAGAGGGGAGATGATGGTTGTGGAGGGGGAAATGCGGATTGAGGGGGTTGGGGAGTGGGGGATGGAGAGGTATGTTAGGGAGATGGTGGATTGGAATGGATTGCAGGGGAGTTTGTTTGTGAAGAGGTTTGTCGGGGAGGAGGATGGATTTATTGGGGCGTTGCAGAGTTCCAAGGCGGGCAAGGGGTTGTCGGTGGACGAGGTGGATGTCAAGGATTTGTTGAGTGGGAAGAGGGTGGTGATTGAGAGGAGGGCGTTGGAGATGTTGTTTGGGAGTTTCCAGGCGGATCTGGTCGAGAGTATGAGGTGGAAGAGCTCTTTCGGGGGAGATTTGTTGGAGTGGAGTGCATGAGCTATGCGGGTGCGATGCTTGTGTGTGTGTTTGTTCATGTACAGTGTATGATACTGTTGTACCACGGATAGAAGAGTCATCATATCATTCGAGCAAGGTCTAGGATAGACAGGCTTTGGAGCAGCTCCGTTTCAGATGATGGCTTCGTTGAAGACTTGTATGTACACTATACAACATTCCAGATTGTCTCATCCGTCTTGAGTGACATTCACCTCTTCTCAACCACCACGTCTCCATCGTCGCCATCATCTCCATGCTCATCATCCTCCTCATCATCATCCTCCTCCCTCCCTTTCGATCCTCCACCCTTGGCTCCACCACCACCACCCTTGACAAAAAACTCCACACTCGCCACCCCACCAATCTTCCCCTCCAAACCCTTCTCCCTAACCCCATCCACCCCCTGCGCAACCTCTCTCACCTGCTCCAAAACCTTCTCACACTCCTCCAAACTCGCCTTCCTCCCCCTCTTCTTCCCCCGGAAACACACCTCCACCCTCCTCCCCTCCTCCAAAAACCCCCTCAACTTCTCCAACCGATGTGCCAAATCCCCCGTATCAATCGCCCAGTTCAATTCCAACGTCTTCATCCCCGCCTCACTGCCTCGCGCATTGACTTTCTTGGCCTCCTTCGCCGCCAATTTCTTCTTCTGTTCGGAGATATATGCTTCTTTCTTGGAGATGATTTTGCAGACGGGGATGAAAGAAGGATTGTTCGGTTCATCTGGACTCAATTGGACGAGACGATGGGTGCGGGTGTCGAGGGTTTTGAGGGTGTCGTAGCGGGTTACGGGGGTGGGGGGGAGGGCGTTGGTTTCTGGGTCTATGAGGTAGATTCGGAGCGAGGTGATTTCCGAGTCCCATTTTTGCCGGCGTTGTTCGGCTGGGCGGGTTTTGGCTGAGAGGAGGGGAGTGTGGGAGTATGGGCGGGTTGTTGATGATGATGGGTGGACTGTTGGGATTAGGCGGGCGCGAGTTGTTGTTGCGGATTGAGAGAGCGCGGGGAGTACAAAGACTCGGTAGAGGGCGCGGAGTGGAGAGGCGGTGTGGTGCGCCATCCTGTCGTCCTCAATGGATGTTTTGGTGGGATGTAGAACACAGGTAGTGTGAAAGGCGTACAAAGTTGTGCAGTTGGAGCTCGAGGACACACATGTGGGGATCACTTCCTGAAGTAGACTAGCGGTCGGCGCAGACGACATGCATGTCACTTCCACCATTGTTGGAGTAGTAGTCTCGCTCTTACAACTTCCACCAACAACATGCTATTTACTGCTGGTAAGGCCCTAAGGATATCTCGACATTAAAACCGTCAGGTTTGACAGATCGACTCTTTGGGCTCTCATTCTCTCGACATACAAATGAAAAGACTACACTGGTCCTTTGATGTTCAGCAGTCGACCCTTCACAGCTACTTTCACCTCCATTCATTCAGAGATGCGGCATGGAACGATGTTTTTACTGGTACTATATACCCCAGGTCTACACTTGCCAACCAATGAAGGGTGACGTTGAAAACGCCTGGCAAAATGTGACCGAGATTATCAAAAGCCCTTGATGGACCACAGCCTGGGTCYACCATGTCTCGATTCATGCTGTTGCCCATGTCTCCTTTTCAACATGTTTGTGGGGCGATTGCGACGACAGCTGAAAGGCAGCGGGCAGCATTGAGGGATGGGCACCACACGCAACACGGTGGTGTTGGAGGATATCGAGATCGCTCTCCGAGAAGACATCGCTCACAACATCAGACAGAGGTCGAGAAACAAGGCAGGCGAAATGAAGGACACCACCCTTTAAGCGAGCTATCCCGCTCGCAATGCTATGTCGAGGCTCACGTCGACCGAGGCCGAGGTGACAGAGGCCGCTCCTCGAACGGTCTATCTCCCTCGCTATGCTACGTCGAGGATCACGTCGACGGCCGGGGTGACAGAGACCGCTCTCCATTGCACCTTGAGGATCATAATGGCGGCCTGGCGATCCCTCGGAAGCCAACTGGTGTATCTGAGCTATCCGACATAGTCAATGTCAGCCACCTCCCCTAGAATTCAACTCGTTCTCTACCGGCCTTTTTTACGCTATCCATCGCTGCTAGTCGGCCTATCCTTAAGCAACATGCCATCTAGCAACATATATCAGGGCAGCCTACGTCAAAGCAACCCATATCGAAGGAGTCTTCACTTCCATAGCTCAGATTCAAGCCATATTTTTCCAAGTCAGGTCAATTCAAGCCGCTCACAGTCGATCGAACTGCTCACAACCCTTTGCCGATTCCGCCAACACCCGAGAGATGTTAGATTCTTGGAAGTTCTACTACTTACCCGTACAGAGCTTCACATTCAACTCTTCGGGAATAATGCGTCGCGGGCTCCATCTCGCTGATTGACCCATGTCCAGACCGGACAGCTTTGTTGGTGAGCTACGCTGTTACGAACTGCTTCTGCGGGGAGCGGAGGATAAGTATGAGTCTGTGCGGGTTGGGTTTTATCAAGTCGCGGGTGTTGAACAAACGAACTTTGTCCTTGGCAATGAGACTCGTCGTATACGAACCATCTGACATTTTCAGACGTTTAAGGAGAAGGCGTGATGTCGTGACATACGCCGAGGATGGGGTTTGGAGAATGGGGTTTGGAGGATGGATGCCTAAAATGGTAGGGCTGTTGGAGGTTGGTATGAACATGGGCTTGGTGATACTTTACCTTTTTCCTCCTGGATTGCACCATGATGGAGCAACAAGTTAACAGTGCTGCTTGCCAACAGCAGACTTCATGTCGCATTCAGGAATCTTRCCCCCCATTCTTCTATTCTCCGTCTTCCTCTTCTACTTTTGCTTTTGCATCACCATCAGAATCGTCGTCGTCGTCCTCTTCATCTTTCTCTACCCCGTCAACTTCTTCCTCCTCTCCCTCTMCTCCTCCATCTTCCTGATCATACTTCGGCCTCGCTAACTGCAATCCCTTCCCCTTCAACTGCCTCTCAATCTCAGGCAAAAGCCGCACAATCGTATCAAACTGCTCCACCGTCATCGATATGCCCTTTTGATCATCGTTAGTACTTCACACCATCCCATCATATCCTGATACTGCAAGAGAAAAACACAAAACAAACCTTCTTCCCCGGCAGTGCTTCCCCATCTTTCTCATAAAATTCCCTCACACCAATCATCGTCGTACCCTTGAATTCGCTCAACTGCAATCTCCTCTTGCCAGAAATCTCCCAAAAAGGTTGGTCTTCTTTATCCCTCTCCATCTCAGGCAAACTGCTAGTCTTGGCTTTCTTGCTACTCGTGGCTTTGGCATCGGAGGAGTCTGTAGCAGCCGCGCGTTTCGACATTTTCGCAGCAGATGTCTTGGATTTCCGCTTGGCTTGAGATGCAAGTCTCTTCTTCTTCGCCTTGTTCTTTTTGCCAGGAGGAGCGAGAGTTTTGGCGAGCTGGCGTTGGAATGATTTGGAGAGTTTTTTGGGCGGTTCTGTGGGAGTTGAAGTGGATTGTTTGGGAGGAGATTTACGATCTGCGGAGACGGTGGAGAAGTAGGAATTGTAGAGGTTGTTGGTGCTCATTGAAAGGTTGTACGAGAAGAATGGAAGAATTGCAAACACTTTATTACGTCAATGGGAAGACGCGGTCCATCGCGTCATGAAATGGGTGAGATGAATGAAAGCGGAAGGGATCTGCAATGCTTGCTTGGACTTCATTGTTTCGCGCTTCTTTCGTGGTTCTGCATGTATAATTAATCGATGCGATGTTATGGATAGTGTACAATGTAGGAGATAATACAAAGGTGACTTCTAATGAAAGGCGAAACTTTCAAGCGAGAACATTCGAGGACGGGCAACATATGCCTAGTACTTCTTCAGTTCAGCAGGTCTCAACATGTCAATGCAGTATCTCTCTAGTTCCTGTGTCCTTCCACATGTGCGTGAAAAAGGTCTAACTTCCGTTTTGAAGAATAAGAGAAAGATCATAGATGTGATCCAACAAATACTCCTGATCATCGCTCTTTGACTGTGGTGGAGGTCTGATCAATGCATGATTATGTTCATCCGATTGCCGGTCAGCAACAGCTGACGTGAAGGGGTTTTGTGTTCTGCCGAGGATTAACCGCCTGGCGCTGTTTGAAACGACGATCTCTTCTTTGCTTGTTGATACCATCTCCTTAACTATCTGTTGTATACACTCAGGTCGTTATGCGTGGACTGTGAGCAGAAAGATCACACGCAACCAATGTTCATTCACTTAGTTTTTCTGCTGGCGAATTCGGCAGGCACGGGTCAGGCCGACTGCCGACACGTACCCTAACGCCAGCATTAAACCAGGAGGTAAGGTTACCACTATGTTTGGTACGCACTGGCCATTCCCGCATGTTCATCACCATGCCTCTCACTACTACCAACCATGGCATGGCATCATCAGTCTGTTCCATGGCAAAAGGTCACAATTACCCTCGCAATACTCTACTTTCTAGCATTCCACGTACATCCGGCCATCCGGAACTTCCACACTACCATAGTACAACAATATCCACTCCCTGATATACTCGATCCAAGAAAACATGCACCCGTAAACAGCTACGCCACGACYCTCACGACAAATTTGATAATAGCCAGCACTGTCGAAGATAACATCACCTGGACTTCTGATCTCTTCCCACACCTCCCAAACCTCCGCATACTACGATACATCAGCGACTCTTCCACCGCAGAATTCCATCCTCCTGTCTACAACAAAGGCAGAGAGGCATTGATGTACCTAACCTTTATGCGAGACCATCACCACCTCACCCGCACCCCAGATTCCCAAGACGACGGACTAGCCGACGTCAACATTTTCATTCACGCCGAGGAGTTCCCATGGCACGCCGAACCCGCGCTCATGAAATCCATGCTCTTCACGCTCGCTCATCTCGATCTCCAACATGTGGTGGAGAATGGCTACGTTAATCTTCGATACACTTGGGGCGGTCCCGGAGAGCATAATTGTCCGGATGGCGGCTTCAACACTTCTACCACATTCGAGGAGAATCCGCTTGGAGAGGAATACTTCATGCGAGAGGCCTTTGAGACGAACTTCCCGGGAGAAGAGGTACCTGAGCTTCTGGCGGGTCCTTGCTGCTCTCAATTTGCAGTGAGTCGGGAGACGATTCGGGGGCGGGAGAGAGGAGTGTATGAGAGAGCTGTGGATTGGCTGGTGGAGACTAGTTGGCCAGACCAGTTGGTTGGAAGGGTGTGGGAGCACATGTGGATCTGGCTCTTCAAGGGTGTTGCTAGGGATTGTGGGAGCGAGGAGTGGCGAACACTCTGTGCCATGTACAAGGTCTGTTTTGAAGGAAGCATAGAATTGCGGCAATTTGAGGAGGCGTGGGTCGAAAGGGAGAGGTTGATAGAGTACGAATTTGGCTTTTGGCGAGAGCTGGTCAGGCCTGCAAGGGTTGCATGGGCGAGAAACGTAGTGCAAGTTATTGCCTCGAAGCTAGATGCGTTGATGGCTGAGGCTGTGGACAGGGGCGGTAGTCGAATACTTACAGCGATACCGGCGTAGCAGCTTGGGTAACATAACGCCAGAAGCAAGTCATTGCGACCACAGAACAAGTCGGCCTCATCATCTTCGTTGCCACGCGAAGCGCTGTAGAGCATCCATCAACTGTCGGCTCCACCTCACCAGCAAATGCAAATGGCAAGCCAAAGCCCAAAACGTATGGCAATCGGCCTGAGAACAAGAAGAGCAAACACCGTGTCCCCGCATGCACCAGCCCACCACGCAACTGATCTCGCACCTGACTGGAAGGATAACCGAGTAACGCAGCGTCATCTTACAAAGTTCCTCCAGCCTCGAACTACCTCGACGACAAGGAGGCCGGAGACGTGGATCCCGAAGCTGAAAATGAGAATTCCGACGTCTATGAGAATCCCGCTGCTGTCGAGATGGAAATCTCTGATGACGGCGAGTGGGAGGAGGCCGGTCTATGACCAACGTCGACTTTGCTACCCGTCCCAAGGTGGTGAAGAAGAATCCAACGACGCTGAATGGTCTGCAGCTGGCGAACAGACCGAGATACTTGGGCGAAGCAAGTCTYGCGGGTGGCCCGACCGATCTTGCAGCGCACGATGAAAGTGAGCTCCGTCCAAGAAATCACTTGTGTTGGGTGTGGGAGCCGTATCGTCGCGTGCGACGTCGCCTTCGCACCTAGAGGCGATTAAAATTACAGTTTCTGTGAATCTGTCATCCTATGATTTCTATTGCTCGATTAGCTCATTGCTGAGGTCATTCCTCAGCAGTCCATCACAATGTATATCGGAAATGCACGTTCTCCAGGTCTGTGCAGTTACTCTCTCCCATCTCGCGTCCCATCCTTTCCTGCTCCTCCTTGCTGAGTCCACTGGCAGCGGCAGCCTTGTCACGCTTGTTGTTCTGCCACATGTAGTATCCTCTCCAAGCACAAATCAAGACGAATTCCATTCCGAGACAGATGCAAGCTGCAATCGTTCCTGGAATGTATCGTGGTTTATCTTCTGTTTTGAAGATTTGACTGCCTGCCATGTTGCCGACACAGTAGCCCACAAAGGTAGCGGAGCTAATGACGGTTTTCTTTGTTCGTCCTGCAACGTTCRACGGAACTTGGATTGTCAGTGATGGTCTGAAAGGGTACTGGGGAACAACTTACTCAAAGTCCATCCCAAAAACAGAGCCAATACATATGGTACGGTGGTGAAGTGCATTCCCCACTTGACCCAGCGATACTCAGGGGTGTTTGGAAGCATAGACATGGCGAGTAGTCCAGCTGATGCTTGTCAGTGAACCGAGTTCGAAATTGACAAGGATTGTACTCACCAAATGGCGGCAGACAAGCCGCAGCCATGATGTACATCCTTCTGTTCTGCACTTTTCGCGTGTAAATCCCAACGACAATGAAAATGATGACAGACATTACTAGATGATAGTCAGTATAGTGAGGATGAGCAGTACAGATTGACAAACCGGATCTAGGGATCTCCACCARAAGAACTTGCAACTCTGTGAAGCCGAAGCTGTTGAGGATAATTGAGCCAAACGTGGTGAGCCCGCCGTTGGGGACGGAGGAAAGGAAGGCATTGACCATGCAGAAGTACAACTGCGGATCCTTGAATGCTTCGGCCGCTTRGTCCCAATTCCATTTTACACCATGCACGTCTCGGCCAGCTTTGTTCTGAACGATTCGTGCTTGACTGGGAAATATCAGCCATCAAGTCGTCAAGTAGAGGGTATGAAGATTACCCACGCAATCTTCCGCTCTTCTTCAGTCAACCATCGGACTTCCTTGGGACTTCCTAGTAACCCGTAGCAAATGAGTGATAGGAGGATTGTTATGGATCCGAGGAACAGCGAGATGGATCGCCACGGGGCGAGACCGCCATGCTTAAGAGCATGTGATCCGATGCCGTACATACTCAAGTTGCCTATGATCCCGAAGCCCGCATTGGCAGATTGGAAGAATAATGATCGGGATGAGTGTTCATCAGTCTGATACCAGCTGCCAATGACAAGAACGAATCCGGGTGAGATTGTACATTCGAACAGACCTTGCAAGGCGCGGAGAACCATCAGGTGAGTCCAGTTCTGAGCCGCACCGATGCAAGTGACGCAGATTCCCCAGCAAAACATGTAGATACTGAGAGCTCGACCTAGAGACCAGCGCTGGAGGAGGAAGTTGGATGGGAACTCTCCACACATGTACGCTATGTAGAATATCGTGGTGAGCCATTGGTATTGCTGCCCAACGAGTTTAGTGTCCTCTGGCAGTCCAAAGATGGCTTGAATTCCGAGCGAGGTCTTGTCGGTTTGTTGCACGCCACTGGCGATGGGGAGTCCGAGATCAGCTACAAGTCTGGTATCCGAGTCACATACTCACTAGCAGAACCACATGAGTGGGAGCAAGAATCGATCCACCTTTCGCAGGACAGCTTTGTACTGCTCTGGTGTGTACTCGGGCTCTGTGATGATAATCTCGCCTTCCTTTTGCGACGGTGCTAGCTCGACATCTCCAGCAGTGGTAGACTTCTTTTCGTCAACGGACAGGTCCATTGTATCGATGGAGGGCAATTTTGCGCAATGTCTGATGATTATGGCTGGACTGGATAATGTCAATATCAACACAAACAATCCGTGGTTGCCGACCTATATGATGAGTATATGGAGGTTGCATCCATCAAGCCTTGGTGTTACAACTGCCGATTGTCTGATAGGCCGCGATGCCAAGCAGATAGGTCAGGCATTTGATAGACTTCAGACCCTCGAAGTGGAGGAGGAGATCTGGGGTCTGCTGCCAACACTTCCCAATCCAGTTCACTACGCGCTTCGGTAAAGCAGGTGAGAGACTCCATAGATAAGGATAAAGGCGAGTCTCTTGGCAGATGGGTATTGCAACAAGCAAATCACAGCAACTCACAATGCTTTGAATTAAGGATGGCCCACCCACCTGTGAGTTAGGCTAAGCTGTGAGGTAGTTTATGATCGTAGCCTACGGTCTCCAAGTAGGAGAACAACCGTACGCCTTGGCGGATGACAGGCCCGGGATCGCACAGTAAGGTAGCACGATTCTCACGTCACCAACMTCACAATTGAGACAGCAGATGTGTATTGTTATGCGGTTGACTTGGGAAAATCGAGAGCTTTTCAGCCCAGGTGCGAAGGAGTGTGGTCATGTCATGGGATGGAGAAATGATGATGGAAGCAGAAGGGTGAAGCACTTCCCATCTCGGTGTAGCGTGCGCACGTGCTCGGGGTCTCGGAGAGTTCACCCCCGACTGTTTTGGACATCCAACTCCAGCAGCATTCTTGCTCCCTTCCATCTCACAATCACATCTTAGGTTACATTCACACTGGCCAGACAAGGCAATCCAAGAACGATGCGAATATCGGCAGGCAAGCGAAGAAATGGAGCTGGTATCGCGAGGATACACTCTGAATAACATAGACTTGGAGAGTGAAAGTCTTCTGCGAAGCGTGCGGGACGAAGACGTGGAATCTTGGCGAGCAAACCTTCATGAGGTCAATCAATTCATGACATACCCGCGCAAAAAAGGATCTTGCAAGGTAAGTAATGGGACTGCTCAGCCAGTGGAAATACGCATACGCGTTGTTCAGCATTGATAATGGCGCCTGACTGCAAGCCCTATCCTCCTCCCTTTCTTTTCGCTCTCTTCTTCTCTGATTCGTTTCTCTCCGCTTTTGATACATTCCTTTCACTCATCTCCCCAAGCTCCTGCCAGTCCTAAAGCCACAGCATCGCTCTGCATCGGAGGCTATCGCCGTGCCGAGGGTCTGCTTCCCTTTGCGTGGAAATGGCCGCGATTCCTGCACGTGGTTGGCGAGGTTTTCAATCCACACAGAAGGCGTTTTGAAAAATGGCTCAATCATCAGAAGCGTCTTATCACATACAGCTTGCCTTTGCATGAAAGGCGGTTGGGTCGCTAGCAGACCGCTTTCCTCTGCAAGTCGATTGGCTGTACCATGCTGTACCGGGGAAGTACAGCAGCTTCCGTTCCACAGGAAAGCCATGCTCTGACGGCCTGGATTGTTTTAGGTAAATGCAGTCCCAGAGCTTTGAGTGATCAACGCGATCGAGATTCTTCACCGAAAAGAGAGTACATCGCACTTCTCAATCATCATCTTTGACTCCATCTCCCTTCAAAACAGTCAAACCAATTGTTCCTGAAACAATATGTCCCAAAAAGTTTATGTAGGGTAAGGCTGTCCATACCAATCTTACTCGTACTCATACAAACTGCTCACTGACTTGTGAATCCCTAGAAACCTGGCATGGACCACGACCGATGATTCGCTGCGAGAAGCCTTCTCGCAGTTTGGGCAAGTCCTGGATACCGTACGCACACATGACGCCTACCAACCTACGTGCCGACGTCACTGACGAGTACAGATTGTAATGAGGGACCGCGAGACTGGGCGAAGCCGTGGATTCGGTTTCGTCACGTATGGCAGCGCGGCTGAAGCCAATGCAGCTATTGAAGGCTTGAACGAACGAGAGTAAGCGGAGTTGGGTGTAAATTCATCATGACTTCCAACTATACTAATTACATATAGACTCGAAGGGCGAAGGGTCAAGCTCAGTCTCGCCAACGCCAGGCCAAGTGGTGGTGATGGTGGGGGCATCTCGCACGGGGGATCTGGCGGATGGTAGTGCCGGCGGAAATCAGCAGTCCTCGCCTGTACCTAGGTAGCTTGTTGTCAGCGACAGGAATCTCACGGCCCGCACTTAGAGCGAGCAGCGCCATACGTTCTCCACATGTACTGCGCTGCTTTACAGTCATGGCAATCACGTTCCACGGCTTCAACAGCGAAGAGGCTTCCGTTTACCGCTTTGCACTCTTTTCAATTGTAGGGCCTAAATGTTGAGATTGGAGGCTGCCGCTGTGTATTCTCAACTTGGCCGCTCCACCTGTTCTCACTATCCACCATTGGATATCATTTCTTTCGATTTCAAGGCTTTCTGATTCTTCCTGCTTCTTCAACCATCAGACTCTCGACTGGCCTTCCACTCCTTGGCTCATTTCATGTGTCTAAAGGGGTTGCCAATGCTTTCGGAACGATCCCTTCTGGGCCGTCGAAAATCACGTTCATTGCGTTTGGTAGTTCCGGTATAAGGAGAGTGGGTGTGATGTTATCAAAAACGATTACAGGGTTATATGGCATGAGAATGCTGATGGGTTGTGAGGATGGATGTTGTTGCTTGATGTCATCGGTACACGATGTCAATAAGCTGAAGAGGTAAGTATCAATGTATTTCGGGAGATTACGTTTGGCTTGATATGATTCCATCACAGTGTGATTAGCATTGCATCCATCGAAAGGCACTGACCCTGATTGACGGGTCGGATAAAAGATTAAAGCAGAAGGAAGGAACGATGGAAGCACAGCCTCACTCAGCCTCAACGCGCTAAAATCGATTCTCCAGCAGCACGGCACAGCTCATCAGCTCACGAAACTTGTTTACAACATCCTCTTTTCCTCTCACAACAATACATCCAGACATCTTGTCAAGGCATAGCCCGAACAAGTGCAACAACTTCCTCTTCCAAGCCACACAATACCGGAYCGTCAACAAACAAAGACACGACCAAGAAAGATGGGTGTAAGTTGCGTCATCGTCCGAGAAGTTGCCCGCAATGCAGCGCAAAACTGACCGATTCCCCATGAACAGCTTGCCTCGAAACTTGCAGCGGCTCAAGGTCAGTTCCGTGTTGAGATGCCTACGATCTTGTGCTCGAATCAATGACTGACGACGTATAGGCGGTGCTGCTGCCATTAGCAATTACGGGGCGCAGCAGCCAGGTCAAGGTCAGCCGCCAGGACAGTACCAAGCGTATGCTGGTGGAGCTCAGGTCAGTGGTTACGCAATCCCATCCTGCTTCCCTTCATCTTCCCTCTTTGTTTGCGACTGCATCATCACTTCCACAAAACACTCTCCACCTTCGACTACGCCTGAGAAATCTACCCTCCAACATACACCATGCCTCTTGCGTCACGTTTAGCCGCTGGTGGACAAGGCCTTGCGCCAGGAATGGTCCCATCCGCGCTACAGCCCGGCGGATATCCTCAACAACAGCCACCAAATGCGGGATATCAATCACCTGCGCCGGGCGCATACGGCTCACAACAATATTCTCGCCCTCCTCCACCGCCACCTCAAGGCGGAAGCCCATACCCACAAGCCACCGCTCCCTATCAGCAGCCCTCATACCAACCACCCCAGCAACAGCAACCAGGCGGAGGCTATGGCTACGTTCGTGATGACATGTGAAATGTGCGACACGCGCGTACTGAGCTGACATGTGATTGTTTACAGGGCGGCCCACCCCCYCCTCAAGGCCAGCAACAGTACGGCGGTCCTCCTCCACCTCAAGGCCAGCAGTATGGTGGCCCACCCCGTCCTCCGGGTCAACAGCAGTACGGTGCCCCCGGCGGCGCTCCCATGAGTGGACCCCATGATGTGGCCGGCTACCAGCGAGAGTTGGAGAGAGCCATTCAAGAGAAACAGCTGCACAGATTCTACGGACCCGGCACACCTGGAGCACAAGCTCTTCCTCAAATCGCCGCACGTGCTGCCCAGCAGGTCGATCGCCTTTGCCAGGCCTGGCGCATCCAGAAGGAGATTGCCAATGATATCGTCCGGCTGGCCCTTTACGATRTGATCATTTACGTCGACGACAGCGGCTCAATGTCATTCGAGGAGAATGGCGAGCGAATCAAGGACCTGCAGCTTATTCTCCAGAGGTCTGTCTTCGCAGCCACACTCTTCGACGACGACGGAATTGAGTTGCGCTTCATGAACGAGGACATGCCACCACAGGACATCTCGGGCATCCGAAGCGAGCAGCAGGTTGAGCAGATTCTGTCGCGGAAGAGGTACAAGGGATTAACACCATTCGGCACAGGTAGGACCGTATCGCTCTGACACGTTAACTTGGTACTAACMCATGGGCAGAACTGCGCAAGAAGGTCATCGATCCGATCCTCGTCCAAAAGCTCAACAGCGGCCAAATGCGCAAGCCACTCCTCATCATCAGCATCACCGACGGACAGCCAGCCGGCGAGAGCGCAAACGCACTGATAGAAACAGTGCAGTACGCCGTTCAAGCAGCACAGCGATCCCAGTACGGCAAGGGTGCCGTTGCATTCCAATTCGCACAGGTCGGCAACGATCAGAAAGCCACGGAGTTCCTCGCTAAGCTCGACAACGATCCAACGGTTGGAAGCGAAGGTATGTCGCTGGAAATCATTACGTTTGATGGAGGCATGCGCTAATTTCCTGTGAAGTGGACTGCACATCAAATTACGAGAACGAGTCGGCTGAGATGGCCAAAGCCCATCCACCTGTCGATTTGACTCCCGATCTCTGGATGATCAAGTTGATCCTCGGGGCGATCGATCCGAGTTACGATACCAAGGATGAAAAGTCCGGCATGGCTGGTGGTCCTCCTGGTGGCTACGGCGGTCCTCAGGGAGGCTATGGGGGCCCACCGCAGCAGCAGGGCGGTTACGGAGCTCCTCCACCGCAGCAAGGTGGTTATGGCGGTCCCCCTCAGGGCGGATATGGTGGTCCGCCACAACAGCAAGGCGGGTACGGAGCTCCTCCGCCTCCTCAGTACGGACAACCTCCACAGCAATATGGACAGCCGCCACAGGGTCAACGTCCACCACAAGGCCAATACCCTGGCCAGAGCCAGTACGGTGCGCCTCCACCTCCTCGGTACTAGGGGTATTGAATATGCGATCGGCCTGTGTAAGAAACCGCAAGGCCGAAAGGGATGCCAGAATTATGTTGATGTCCTGAGAGGCGTTTGCAGCGTGACATGTCAAGATGCGACATGAAATACAGTTTGAGGCAGCTAGTTAGCTGATGATTATATGGTGAATGATAGCTTCTCTCCACAGTATGGAAACTTTCACAGGACGTTGAGCATCTAATTGTGCCACTTTGTGAGAATACTGATTGTGTCGGGCAATGGCATGTTGGTGATCTCTAGCTTAGAAGCGCATCACAGCTCGATGGCAAACCGTTCACGTATCGCGGCGCCATATCTATAGAAGATCAGGGGAGCGGGTGCAATTGCGAGCGCCAGAAATCCAAAGACGCTGATGCCCCTGAGAAATCGTCAGTACGGCATTGTCTCGGGTGTCAAGTAATACTTACCATCCATATCCCAGCTTTTCGAAAAGCCCAGGTGCGAACAAAGGCACTATACCGCCGACAAGACTCCTCAAGACTGCGCCCGCAGCGATTGCAGAAGCGGCATATTCTTCAAAGCAGTCGATGTAGTAATTAGTAGTCGTGTTAAGAATGATGACTTGTCCTATGCCCTATAATGAATGCCGGTCAGATCGAATCAGTACCTTAGTAGATGATATGGAAGAAGACAAACTTACGTAGAAGAAAGTCGAAGCAATCGAAACCCACCACGCAGCACGATACTCCACCGTCCAAGCAAACCAAAACAAACTGATGGGCACAAAGACCGAACCGATATTCGCCAGGGGAAGACGATATTCTGGACGACCTTTCCCTTCGTTCCGCGCGGACAGGGTGTTGTATACGGTATCGATTCTGGGAACGATGAACCATACGCAAAAGATGAAACCTAGGCCGGGTCCGAGGTAGAGGAGGCCGACTTGTTCCGTGTTGAAGCCGTATTCACCTTGGTAGATTGGTTGCATGTTCGTGTAAATGCTGTAGGTTGTTGCGAAGAGGATTGCCTAATGAAAAAAAAATGGTGAGATTTGTTTATTAGCTAGGTATGTGAATAATGGTGCCTTACTTGGTATGTGGACATTGTTAGGACGATTGGCTGGACGAGGATTCGAAGGGGTCGGGTGAGTGAGTATCTCAATTTGATGTATAGTGGACGGTAATCCTCGCCTACGAAGCGGTATTTGTTAGGGGCATTCTGTTCTTTTTCTAATTCCGCTTTTCGACGGGCTAGTAAGACGGGCGCGTAGGTTTCCTTCAGCAAGAAGAAGGCGCCCAGAGTGGTCAGTGTGCAGATGATTGTGAGGACCCAGAAGATCCAGCGCCAGGCTAATCGCTCAACCACCACACCGCCGACCAGTGGACCAAGAGTTGGTCCCAGCAAGGGACCCAGCAGGTAATATCCGAAGACACCTGCACGCTCACCGGGCTCGAACATATCGCTGAGGGAACCTCCGCCGTTTGCTATTCCCACGGAACCAAAGAATCCAGCAAGAGTTCGCATTGCTATCAAGGTCTCTATGTTTGGGCTAACGGCGCAGGGAATCTGGAGAAGAGAGAACAGACCAAAGCATGTCAGATACATCACTCTCCTGCCGAAAGTCTCAGATAGAGGTGCTATTATGAGCGGTCCAATTCCTGGAACAACGTTAGTGTATGAAAAGCTCGATGAGATTGCACGACCCACCGAGCATGATCAAGAAGCCTGTCGTACATGCTATGACAGCACCCGTAGTGGTGTCCAAGCCATCGGCTATCTGGTCGATTCCGGGTGTGAACATGCTCGAGGCGAGAGGGCTCAGGAGTGCCATCGAAGCAATAACAGCCACGTTCAACATCTTGGTTCTTCTGCTCCATATCCGGGGATTTCCAGAGTCTTCTTCGTTGAATGCAAGAATTTCTCGGCTGTCACCGCCCTCTCCGGCGTCGACGGAGCCGCGTTGAAGCAGCGGCTGCCGCTCGTTCTCCTGCTGGTGCGCGGACATGGTGGAGGAGCGTGTGGGTATACTAACAGCGACGCAGCTGGTCTATGCTATCATCGTTCCTGGATGTTCATTCTGCTGTAATCGAGAATGTAAAAGGCAAGAGCGCGATATCTCCAATCACTAGTCCTGCCCATGCGTCTCAACATCTCCGAGGGTTGTGGTGCGTGCCATGACGCGTTGTGACTTGTGAGGCGCGTGAAAGGCGAATCGGCAATCTGAGGCGATCGTTCCGAGTCCTAGCGCTGCCGAATGCCGATCTGGGAATGTGGAGATGCGGTGAGTGAGGACTGTGAGGGAAAACACAGTGATACCTAGGTAGTGCGGTGTAAAACAAAAGTCAATGGCTACTAGTTAGTGGAGCATAACGCGAGAGAATGTTCCAGTTGAGAATGTTAACTTTATAGATGGAGCGATAGCTACATCCGCTCGCGAATGCTGAAGAACTCGCCTCTCCTGCAGAACGAGGCAGATGTTCCTCTGACGGCGCTCTATTATTGGCAGGTCAGTGTTCAGTAATGGAGAGACGAAACAAGAACAGAACMCGTTCCTTCGGGGCGCATTACGGCGCGACTCGATGCGTCCACGCAAGCAGATATTAATTTGCAACACCCCTGATGTTGCAAGACAATGAGGGCACCTGGAGTCGCTCGATCATTGCTTCGATAGGAGTGCGGCATGCCAGTACGCAGAAGCAATTCTTCAATACTCTTAACCCAGAGAGCCGCAGTTGCGAAAGAGAAGCACACTCGGTCCGGTCAGTCTTCGTCCAGCTTTGAGTGGCTTAAGCAGGCCCATGATGCTCTCAACTAGACAGGTCACCGAGCAGGGCTGTCATGTGCATCTGAACACCACACCTCGTCTTGCCGATCGTACGCTGCGGTGTAAGGCAAATTCGAAACAGATGTGTGTTTTCGTGAATGGAGGAAGCGAAGATCCAAGGAAAGTAAGGTCAGGGTGAGGTCTTCCGGAGCTCGGAACGTCTTTCATTGGTAATCTCTCGTCACGCGAAATCGTCACCAGAGGCAGCAACAACATTTCCACTTGGTCATCCATCAATACCTACCTTCTTGCTTTGCATCCGTCTTTGCCGCACTCTTGACAGCGATTCCTTCCATCCCCTTCTGATACCCTTCGAGCGACCTTCACCTGCTGCGACACCTCAACCATGCCCTCCGCTTCCGCCCTAACTTCCTTTCTCCTGCTCCCTGCAGCGATACTAGCGAGCTACGATTGCAGTCATGTGCGGGTCGACCAGCAGTCATGGAACCTCGAAAAGCTCGGAGGACCCAAAGATGTTCACTTCCTGCAGCACAAGTATCCCACGATCCGCAACACCACATATACCATCGACATTTGCAAAGCTCTCACCTACCCGTCCGGCACGAAAAAGTTGGACAAGTGTCCGGGAGGTACTCGAGTATGCGGCATCGAGCGATCCTACGACTCGGATCACGAAGAAGGCGTCCTGGTCCAGGTGATACCAATCGCTGGCGAGTATCACCTCTCCGAGGGCCGCAAATTGGATCCCAAGTTCACACGCATCAAGGATGGGAAGAGCAATTCGGAGTCGGAAAAGGAAGGCGTTATCATTGAATACCACGGAGGCTTGCACGATACAGTCAAGCAGAAGGCCATTGTCGWATTTCAGTGCGATAGAGACATGGAAGGCACGGAAGGGTTTGAAGACAAGACCAAATCGTTTGATGCAACGAGTTTCGATGACTATGGACGCATGGGCAAGAGAGAGGCTGCTGATGATGACGACGAARGCGACGGTGATGAGGATGAAGGACCGCTGCCCGATCTGGACGAAGGCAAGGCGTTGCAGTACGTCAGCTACAAGTCGGAGAAGTCCGACAAAGACGACGTAATGGTGCTTCGCCTGAACTGGAAGACGAAGTATGCCTGCGAAGGGGAAGCAGCCAAGGTGCCCGGGAAGACGACTGCTGGATGGGGTTTCTTCACCTGGTTCTTGATCATCGTGTTCCTCCTCATCGCTGCTTATATCATCTTCGGCTCCTGGTTGAACTACAATCGGTATGGCGCGCGCGGTTGGGACCTCCTACCGCACGGAGATGCGATTCGCGACCTGCCATATCTGGTTAAGGACTGGAGTGGGAACGTGGTGGACAAGTTGAAAGGCAGCGGTAGTAACCGAGGAGGATACAGTGCAGTCTGAGAATGATGCTTTGCTTTGAGATCTTGCGGCGATGGTCAGTTGTTTATCCAGAAATTAAGGCCTTTCGATGCAGACTGACGGTGCGTAGTACATTGGGATAGAGGTTACTCACTGAAGCCAAGCACGCGCCTCGCTAGAGGTTATGTTCTTGTCCCAGGACATGTGTTTCCACAAACTTATTCGACAGCGTCCATGCGTGCGTGACTGTGCTATACATGAATGAGCCTAGCAAGCTTGAAGCCATCCAGAACTCATCAAGGGCATGGCTCTTTAAGATGCCCAGACTGTGCTCCGTTGGGTGAGGGTGAAGCAACTCTGAACGAAATGGTGTCACAATGCATGGACTCTTTTAGTGTGCTGTACATGATGCTTGTGGATGGATGTATGAGTACCTTACTCTTTGCTTGCGTTTGCTAAAGTCGCAAATGTCCCGTCAACTTCGAAGCTCACCCCAGGGCATGCTTGTTGCTGTTGCTGCCCCACACTGTGATCCTTGACGTCGTTCGGCACAAGCTTTTGTTTGCCAAAGTCGCCGAACTGAGCTCTCCAGGAGAGTTTGTAGCCCTCCAGACTGGTCGGCAATGGTGGTGCTTTGGTCCAGACGGTTGAAATGATTGCGCCTCGTACGATGCACGTTGGCTAGCGCCTTGGATCGCGCCTGTCACAATGCCACAGTGGACACGTCTCGCGAATCGCAGCATCTCCCACTGTCCACATCGTCAGGTGTTCAACTACCTACTTTGTCCCTCCGCAACTGCCTGTTTTCCCAGCAAGCTTTCCCTTTAGATTTGCTTTCTTGGCTTTCTTTATAGGGGGCTTCCAATCTCTCTCAACAAGCGATCCCTCACCTCTCCAACTTCACACATCCTCCACGACTTCCAGCCAATCACACCCATCATGTCGGTAATGGAGAACGTCGCGTCCAATGCCACCAAGATGGCACAGGTCGTTGCCGACAACCCATACTATCCCATTGGAAGCTACATTGCTGGATATGCCGCAAACGAATGGGGCGTTCCGGCCCTGCTCAGCGTCTTCTTCGGAGCCTGCTTCGTCCTCTTCTCGGCAACCTACTTCGTGGCCAAGCGGGTGCAACCAAACTTGACCAAAAAGGAACTGTTCACGACCATGTGGTTTGTGCTCTCTGGAGCCATCCACATCTTCTTCGAGGGCTACTACGCCCGTCACTACGCAACTCTCGGCGCAAAGCAGTCGCTCATCGGTCAAATGTGGAAGGAGTATGCCTTTTCGGACTCGCGATACCTCACCAATGATGCCTTCGTCCTGTGCATGGAAACGGTCACTGCAACATGCTGGGGCCCCGGATGTATCATTGTGGCCGGTTTGATCATTCTGCGACACCCAATGCGGTACCCACTGCAGTTGATTGTGTCCTTGGGACAGTTCTATGGCGACATCCTCTACTACGCTACGAGCTTCTTTGATCACCACATGCTGGGAATCACATATTACCGACCGGAGGCCTTCTACTTCTGGGTAAGCAAATGGTTGTCCATCGTTTCTGTGTGAGTGTGGCTAACGTCTTGGCCAGTTTTACTTCTTCTTCATGAACTTCATCTGGATCGTTATCCCAGGCAGTAAGTTCCTTAATCCATTTTCATACCATTGGATATTAACTTTCATGACAGTGTTGATCTACCAAAGCGTGGTGCACTCTGCTGCTGCCATTGGCACGGTTCAGAAGATGCAGTCCACGATTGTCAAGAAGGGTCAATAGAAGATCGATATGGAAGGAATTGTCGGGAGGAATTCGAGTCAACTTCAGCGGCGGCGTTGGCGGTAGAGGCGGAGAATTTGCAATATCATCGTTGACATGTGTAGAATAGACAGGACTACATGTATAATTAGATTGAGGCATTGAAACTCTGCTTCAATACCTACCGAACATTGATCCTTTTTTCACGCCGAGGTGTCCCCAAAAATCCCACCTGAGGCGACCCAAATTTGTGGGGTTGTTTTCCGACGCGACGCGTCTCTTTCCACCGCGACGCTTTGCGCCGGCAGACATCACTCCACCTCGACATCCATCCAACATATTTTCCATGGCGGCCACCAGCCATACGACCACCGCCCTCCTGACCGAACACTTCCGATACACGCCTCTCACCCTGCTAGACGACATCATCAACACGGTCAACGAATTGGTCTTTCGCGCGGTCAATGCCATTGAAGATGGATTTGGGGGAACTACAGCAGAGCAGCTAGGATTTACTCTGGACAGCGCCGTCTCCAAGTCCCTGCCAACCGATCAAGCGCGACGAGATGCGCTGGCAGAACTCAAGCAAAATGAAATCGACAACGGCATCGTCAAGCTCGAGAGCTTGCTGAACGCGACCGTGGACAAGGACTTTGACAAGTTTGAAATCTWCACGCTACGAAACATCCTCGCCGTCGGACACGATGAGGAAGATGTCGCCAATTGGGTGCGTTTGGATCACTACCGGGGCGTGGACGTCGCGGACGCCGAAAAAGTGCCCTYTCCCGAACAAGTCCAATTGCAGCGGCGGAGATTGAGCGAGACGGCGAAATTGAACACCTTGCTGAAAGCGGAGGAAGCGAAGAATGCTGCCGTGCTTGCACAATTGAGTGCGTTGATTGGCGCCGAGACGAAAGTCGATGGGGTAGAGAGCGCGTCGCCGTTTGCGTTTTTGAATCCTTCTGCGAATTCTGCGCAGTCGCAACAATTGACGCAGGATACGAAATATGCAGTTAATCAGATCCCGGCGTTGCGGAGATTGCTRGCGCAGTTGAAGGATGCTATGCAGACTATCCCCAAAACTCGGAATATGCGGCTTGATGAGGAGGAGTCTGTTGAGGGGAGGAGGAGGCGCTATCTGGATCATCAGAGTCGACGTGCGCTGGAGAGGAAGGGGATTGATGTGGAGAGTTCGGCGGGTGCGTCCTTTGCGGCTGGAAGACGGATGGGAAAAGACGAGTTGGAAGGAATTGAAAAGGTTGCTCAGGCACTTGGTGGTGCGGAGGCAAAGCCTTCGGGTAGCTCTTGATATCTCTGTGGGGGGGTTGATTGGTTGATTTCTTGTGCGATTTAGCGTGGTGTTGGTTAGGGCTTGAATGTGTTCTCCGTGGGGAGCGATGCGACTTGGTGGAGCTGTCACTTCTGGATGGGTCGGGAGCGATGAATGTTGAAGTCATTGCTTTCAGTTGGATTGTTTTGGAAGACTCTCTCGAAATGATGTCGCGTGTTCCAGATTCTTCTTCGTAGGCAGCGTGGTTCGCAGGATGGAGAAGATCTTGACAACCATCCGATTTTTGACAAATTCAATGTCTTATCTGGGTGAACATCTCAGAGTACTGCAACTTTATGTTCTGATCTCGTGTTCTTGGTCTTGCCGCCCGGTGGTGTGCCTTCCATAGACACTGTTTTGAGCAGACTCTATGATTCCAGATGTGGGACGAGAAGAAGTAGAATTACCCCCGAGACGTCCAAGCGCCAACAAATGCCACTCCACGAATTGTCCCAATAGTACCAATAACGAGAGATACTGTTGTAATCACTCTCAAGAGCGTAGGAGATTGATACACTTCGAATGCGACGTCTTTGCTGCTGTGACCACTACCCCAACCCTAACCCTCCCACTGCTGTACTCGAGCTAATACCCTCTCTCGAAAAGACACTGATACGTAGGTAATAGGTTCTCTTGCATATCTACATAAGGTATTCAACAAGTCAACGCCCGCCATGCAAATGCAAATGCTGCTGTTCCGCGCAAAAGGAAGTGCCCACCCGCACGAGACCTCAGTCAGGGGTATCAAGAAGAAGAGAAACGCAAAAGGCACACGGGAAAAGAAAATCACTAATCTCTCAACCTTCCCAACAACTTCTGCCCTCCAAGCAAAAGCTGCCGCTTCCTACTCACCTCCTCCGGATCCTCAACCACCGACTCTGCGGCATGTTGACTGCTCGCACTTGCTCCGCCACCCTTCTGTCTCTTCTTAACTCGATCGCTGAAGCCAGAGAGATGTCTTGTTATCGAAGTTGCTCGATGACGTGGGGATGTGGATGGATCGGATGCCTCTGCCGCCGATGGGGACAATCGAGATTGCGGTCTCGCTTGCGGCTGCGGTGTGGCATGCCCGTTTGAAGTGGCGGCATCTTCCGATGAGATCCTCCGCACATCGAACGTCGACTCCGATATGCTTGGAGCCACTCTCGAGCTGGTGGGTCTGCCTTCCCGACTGGGTCGCCCGGCAGACGAGGACAGAAGCGAATCCCCTAGACTGGCCGTCTCCACCACCGAATAGGCGTCACTATCGTCATCCATGAGAGCAGTTGAACTCGAGCTAGGACTCATAAAGGTGTTTTTGCTGACAATTTCCCGCAACTTGRCCTGCTGGAGCCGACTTGGTTTGTAGTGATTGAACTTGTTCCCAATAATAGCTCCAGCGTGCGTGACCAGCGCGCGAATGACGTCCTTCTTCAGCTGCAGCGCAAGATCCAAGTTTGACCATGTCTTGTTCCTGTACTCCAGTGTTGGCATTGTGAAGACAAGATCATGGACATCCTCAAGATTGCGTTTGCCTTGTCCTTGGTATGACAGACACAGCACCATGCTGGGAATCTTGACATATGCGAGCGTCATGTAGTTTGAGGCGCGGTTCATCATTTGTGTCAGGTCATCCGAGGCCTTCTGCTCGTCTGCCTTGTCTGACTTCTTTTTCTTGTCGTCATTACGGCCGCGATGCACGAGAAGCATGTTGCGCTTCGATCTGTCATCTGCATCGAGGCTGCTGCGTGCGAGCGAGTGTTCGCTGGGAGAGCGCGTGAGAGGCGATGCGGGTTGCCGTATGGGTGGTGGCCGAGTGCTGGACAGCGAAGAGCGCGACTTATCTCCATGTTGGAAAATTGCAAAGCCGTGCAAGCCATGGTTCGAACCGGCGACGCCTGCACCCTTCTGATCTGCTTTCTTCTTCCCATTTGCGAGATTCAAAGTGGGTCTTAGGCGCTGCTCGAGGGCGCCTGGTCCGCTGGTGTTCATGTTCTTTTGCTCGGCGACGAATTCTGTGGTGTCGACGCTGAGAACAGGCTTTGAGTCTGTAGCATCGCCCGTTTCGTCCTCCTCTTCCTGCGTTGGTAGCATGTTCTTCACCATGAAAGGAGAGAATCCGCTGCCTTCAAATGCGTTACCATCTGCGCCTGGGAAGATGTATTCAAACAGCTTCTTGGCCACTTCTCGCTCCAGCTGCAGTTTCAGCGGCACAAGATCCACCTCAAAATAGTCCACGACAGGAATGCCAGCAATGGCTTCAAGCATCAGCCAGTGCACCCTGAGCATTTTTGTACTGCCAAGCTGCCGCCCACCCTTCGAGACATCGGTGAAGGGCGATATGATCTCGGGATAGAGCGCGTCACTGAGAAGGTTGAAGCCGTTGATTCGCCCAATCTCCATGCTGTTGTAATTGGAGCCATCGTAGTTCTCGGTGCGATCGAAWGAGGCATTCTTGAGCTGGACCTCCATCAACGATTCCCCCTTCGACTCTCCTTTATCGCGAATCAAGTGCCACGCAATCTCCTTGGCGGCGATGTGCAAATGCATATACCCGCCAGTAGCATTCTGCTCTCCACGGTCCTCAATATGTTGTTGAGACGTGGTAATGGCTTTCATCATGAAGAAGAGCTCATCCTCGCAGCTGGCGAGGTCTTGCTCCATCGCGATTCGATCTCTCCAACCCTGTTGGTCCAGGAACTGTTCATTTACCTGGAAGTGCATCTTGATTTCTTCAAGCTGTCGGATTCGCTCCTGTAGCATCTGCACCGTTTCRGGAGCTCCTGTCAGGTCGCTAAAGTCCGATGCCAACATGATCTTTTCAAGACGCTCACTACGCGTCTTTTCTAGAGGTTCGTTGTACAAGAGCAAGTCCATCACGATGATGTACAGTGCAAAGTATTGTCTTGAATCGCAGATTGCGCGAAATCGAGGAAATTCCAGCCAGACGTGGTCCATGCGATTCTCGTCCTGAGAATTATCTGGCTGATTATGATCGTTGCTGGAGACGCCGTCATGTTGTTTCAATCTCAAAGTGTTGTACTTGTCATATCTCAAGCTGGCGGATGTGCGGTGCACAATGCGGTGAAAGCCGTAAGGGTTGGTATGGAACTGGAACATTATCTCCATGGGGACCCAGGGCGGCCAGTAAGTCCCAGCCTTGACACCATATCTGTTGGCAGAGTAGAAGTGCAGGTATTCAGTGGTGAATGTCTTGGAGCTACTCACGAACATCTGCACACTGTCTGCAGCGGCACTGAATCGCCGCTGCACCAAGCCGCTGACATCGTCGTCAATCTTGTCCTTCTCCATGATCTGAACGACCTTGAGCTGCATGCCCTTGGCAGTAACAAGTACAGCGGCGCTCGGATTCTTCTCGCTCTGCAACTGGACCTGAGGAGCGATAAGTCGGAAGTGATATGTGTTGAGTGGAGTGAACTCGACAGAGATATCGTCGTGAGCACCTTCACCTCCTTTGCCAGAGGCCCAAGTCTCGTTTGGCGGCTCGTCAGCACTGACGAAAGCGCGTCCGTCCTTTAACAATTCTTCAATCCGGTCTTGAATAGTCGCTTCGTCATCTGCGTCTGGGGAAGTTGCGCTAAACTGGGTGGAATGGGACTTCTGCCGCGTTGGAGAGGTTCCTTCGGTGTCGTTGTTCCTCTCCTCGAGCACATCCAGAATGAACTTGACTGCCCGACGAGACATGTAGTAGACAAAACCTCGGCGCTGGCTGTTCTGATGGATGTATCGCAGGATGATGTTGCGCAGAGAGTTGTTCCATTTAATCTGGGCATTGTGTACAATGAATCGGTTGTTAAAGTCGCTGGTGTAGTCCGCCAGAGGAGCTGTGTCCAAGTAGGCCGCGTTTCCATCAGGACGTCGTGCAGATTCGTGAGCCTCGAAGAACTTCTCACTTGTCTCCAAGTCAGGTACAGTCGAAGGATCGTCTTGTTCAAGCCGTTGTAACAACTCGTTGAGCATCGATCGCAGGAAGTCGTGCTTTTCTTGCAAATGCTCTGTATGGCTCCGCAAGGTGGCTAGGTTGGCCTCAAGCCCTGATCTTTCGCCCGATGTTGAGCGCACGATTTTTACTTCCTGTTCTCCAACGGCTCGCACGTTTTGATCTTGTTTCTCCTTGAGTAGTGCCAATCGACGCTCAATCAGCTCAGATTGGACTCTTCGCGGGTCATTCTTCGCTGACATGACGCAGTGGTGCGTAGGCTCATCGCCGAACGGACTTGTACGTGAAGCGTCTCCTGCAATGGTTCCATGGTGGTCTGTTTCTCGGAAGTAGGTAAATCTTGGAGCGTAGCCGAGTGGGAGGATCTTCGTGGCAGGGTCTGCTTCTGCTGGCAGAATCCAGTCGAGTTCGACGTAATCATCTGCATCAATCCACGAGTAGTCCGCATCAGGGATCGTAAATTTCGACAAGTCAACAGTGTGGTTCATGTCGGCACCTGCATTCTCGAGATCCTCAGCGGCTGTACCCTCGATATTCGCAGAAAGCGCTCGTAGATCGGCCGAAATAAAGTCGAGCTGAGCCTGGTTGATCTTCATGCCACTTGTAGTTTTGGCTCTCTCGCCTTCCCGACCTTTCAAATCGAAGTGCTCTCTGCGTTGATGCAAGTCGAGCATGAAGCTGTCGAGCCTCATCTTGAGTCCAGTGACGGACACAGAATTGGCAGCGTAGTCCTCCGCGTCTTTGTGTTTGTACACATGACTGATGTACAACGGGGACAACAGTAGATTGTACTTGATCGTCGCCATGTGCCGTCCGAACTTTTTGCTCTTCTTCTCTGTGATTCCCCAAAGTGGCCCTTGACGGATAGGCAAAGACATGACTCCCGAGAACATTGACCACCAGCTGAAGAAGTGGGAGAAGAAGCGAGGCGTCAAGTGCACAGAGTTGTAGTTGTCGGACGGCTTGATGTTATTCACCGACCAGTCGCGGTCGTGTGGCGCAGCGATGGCGATCGAGAGATGAATATGATGGCTTCTGAATCCGCGATAGGCATCGTATTGCAGCCCGTCTGGGGCTTTGGAAAAGTCTGGGTGTTTCAATACGACGTCGTAATGAGGTTTGAAGTCGAATGTGCGCTTGCCATCCCCAATATCGCGCTCAAACATCAACCCAGCGAGCCACGTCACTCTTCCGGAAAGCTTCATTATGACCTTTTTGAATAATGCATCTCGCTTGGAGGTGCCGGATCCAATTGTGCTGGTGTCATCACTGTGCTCCATGTCGTGCGTTGTGCGAGCGTATCCGTTGAAGTCTGGTATGGCTAGAATATACTCCCCGCTGTTCACGGCCATGAATCGTCGTGGATCGTCTTCTTGAGCGACATTGAGTGTGACATCATTCCTCCAAACCATTACGAGACCGGCGCCTTGACCGGTGACCACATATGGGTCGCGAGATCCTTTGAGGACGAGATGAACATCGCCATCGCCTTTCCATGACACGTTGATTCGCGAGTGAAAGGACAAGCGTATCTTGTCCCAGAAGCCAACTCGATCCGAAAGATCCACAGGAGGCTTCGTGAAGCTTTCCACAATCTGCATGGTGTCTTGGATAGCGGGCTGGTATGAGGTGGACCAGGTAAGTCGGGTAGCATTGCTGGTGTGAATCTCGAACTTCATGTCCGAATAGGTTTTGACAGCTGAAATGGTCCGGCGCACATCGATGTTGAAGCCCGAGGAGCCCGAACTCATTTTTTCAGGCGGCACAACCTGTACACTGACGCTTCTCTGAGATTCGACATCTCTGAATTCCTCAGCAATGACAAAATCTGTACGCATCGACAGGGCCGGCAGCCGCACGGGTTGTGCGCTTGCTAGCGCAGGCACATGCAGCAGAGGCAGGGGGTAATCACGCAGATGGACCCGTGCTTCTCCCATGGTTATGTGGAGATTCATAGGCAGAAGCAGTCCGTACTTCATATTCTTTGGCATGCCCTTGCCAACGTCATGCATGAACGTTGCGTACTGTTCAGTCGGGAATGATGGCTTGTCGATGACCACGTTCAGATCGCTGATAGCAATAACCATAAGACCAGGCCGAGAACTGCGGGCAAGGATAGGCTCATGCTGCTCCACGTCGTCGATGTCATCCGATACCCCAAACAGCTTTCTCATATCGCGGATTGCCTTGCTCTGATAGCTCTTAATTCTGTCAATTCGAGTCTTCCACGATTGCGCATTGAGACGATGAAGCTTCTCTCTTGCCTGATCGATGCTGAGGGATGCAGCATCACTCAACCCACATTTCGCGGAAGCATCGTAGCGTATGGTCGGTCTAGCGCCATGCTGCTGAGTGCTCCGACTCCGTCGATTAGCGGTGGTGGTATCTTGCTTGTCGCGAGTTCTTGACCGGACATCATTTGGCACGGAATGTCCGCGTACATGTGAGGTTCCTCGATGAGCGTTTCTCGAGACRCGCTTCTCCTTCAGCTTGAAGGCTTCTTCTCGAGCCAGTCTTTGTTTCTGCTCGCTCAACCCTGCTCTGTAGATGGCGCCAAGTTTCCATTCAAAGTGGCTGTCTTCCACATCGAACAGCAAATACTGAGTCCGGAACGTTATTCGCGGAACGTTCTTCGGCCCCTCGGGTTCTTTGGTCAGAATGTAGTCATTGGTACCTGTCATGAAATGGTGCTGTAGCTGCTTCGTTGTCTTGACCACATTCGTGATGTTGTCAAATATAGTATGGACCACGWGAGAGTGTGGGATTGTGATCCGGATTGCCTGGGATGCGACATCGACAGTCTTCTCCACGATTTGCTGCCTGCCCGCCTTACGCCTCAAGTCGCGCAAATCGAGCCGGAGACTTTTGATGCTGACGAGTCGACTCCAAGCGGATTTTGTCGCAGGTGCTTTCACATACATGCGAGCCAGTTTGCTACGTAAGAACGGCGACGACCATCGATGACGACCCACCTCGACATGGTACATTTGTAACATCATTGGCGGATCGGCGGGCATGCGAGCCTTGATTTGGATCAGGTTCGACTTGAAGTCGATGGCAGTTATTTCCCGGAGGGCAATCTCATCCAGGACGGGGTCCGACATGCCTAGACTTGACTGTCTCCGCAAGGGTGGAGGGCGTTCATCTTTCTCGTGCTCCATGAAAGTCTTCCTAATGACCATGGCTGCGACACCAATAGCAAAGTGGTTGTACAGCGAATACTGCAGGAGGATGCTCTTGGCAAAAGAGTTGACGTGGAAAATAGGTCCGTGAGAGTCGCTCAGTGTCGTAAAGGCCACTTCGAAGCGAGGCAACGACATGAATGATTCTTGCTCTGACGAGTCCACGCCGTCCACGATCAGACCCTCCAGATTCTGAATGTGGAACGTCAGTCGCCGCCCATCCGCGAGTGTGTAGTTTCGTTTTCGAGGTACTGTCTCAGCAGACTTGTGCCGTCTATGTTCGCGGACGGGAGTATGCGTAGAGAGCGACTTTCGACGTAGAGCAACGTTGGCGTCGTGGCCGTCGTCTCGCTGTGCCTTGTACTCAGTCGTCCAGGATTCCAATTGTACAGCAAATCCTCGAGGATCTTGAGATACCTGCTTGTCGACACCTGCGAGCTGCAGTCCAAAATCAGAGCCCTCAAAGTGGAATGACTGGAGCCAGGCAGGTATTGTACGTAAGAAGCTGGCGCGAGGTTTCCGTGCGCCATCATGCGACGCCAACATGTTCCTCCGAAGCTGCTTGACGACTTGACGAACCCCTTCACAAATGTCAGGTCGAATCAGGAACACGGTGAAAGTTTGGGCGCGTCCTGAAGCCACGACCGTCACTTCAGGAATTGCATTGACGTCGACTTGTACTTCAACGTATTCACTCTGCAGCAGATCGTGCCGATCGCCTGCTGCTGTCTGATAATAAAAACGGTGCCTTGAATGGCGATAGAAGGACTTCAGGCTGTAGTGGGTCTGACCGTCGGTAGCATGGGACGACTCGCACTCCAAGGCAACGGAAGAAACTGAAGATATAAGCAGGTCAAAATCATCCTCCGCAGCGTCGGCATCCAAAGGTGGAAGCGATATTCGAAGGACAGGCTCCTGGATGGAAAGCTTCAGATGCGCTTTAGGCAAAAGCTGCGATATCAAGTTGTGATGACCCGTCGCAGTTTGGGGATCTCGTCGATTTCGTCTTTTCAACAATTCCTGAACCAGCGGTAGATGCTTCGGGTCCAGATCCACAGAGGGAGACGTGCACACGAAATTTGCGTACAAAATGTTCGTGTTCCGATCACTGGGATTGTCGGCCTTTGAGTAATGGATTGTCCTCGAGGGCAATGTAGTTTTGATGGTGGCTGTGATCATAGGGATATAAACCATCCTCTCTGGATGCTCGTGACCATCGTCAATGCCCGCAGATATAGCTATGCCCGTCACCAAAGCTTGATGAGCAACGTCCTTGCTCGAAAAGTACATCTTATGAGCTGGACTTTTCGGATCCAAACGTAGAACATCCAGTCCGAGTTCCTTCATAGCGAAGTTGAGATATACGTCCTTTTCGCCGACGGCTTTGATGTCAAGCTTTTTAGAGAGGCCGAGGAAGCCAACAGCGAATTGAACCTCTTGAATGCCACGCAATATGGAAGAGATGAAGGCCCTAGAGTCTGACACGGCCTGCACAATGCTCTCATCCCGTTCGTCATTTCTAGTTAACAGACCAGCGTGAACGGGAATCGACAGATCCTTTCCTGCGCGGTCCGGTCGAGGATGCGCGTACCTGCCACGTAGAAGGTCGGCACATCGCTTGGAATGTTCAAGGTCATCATATGGCACATTGAGTCGGCCAAGTTTCAGTGCAATCGAGGCATCTCGTAAACCTTCGCGCTCGCGGTGAAGCATGCCATGGATGTTGAGAGTGCCATAGTCCAACACCTCTGTCGAGTCCCTGCCCTCGGGCGTGAACAGAATACTGCGGATCAACGCCTTCCATTCGGCAGGAATTTGGGTTTCGGGCTTGTGTTTATGGTGCTGAAAGAGACGGCTCCGATCCACGGTCTGCTTCCTGGTATCCACGGACAGTGTGAGCCGCTCTAGCCTGGCCGTTCCAACCCCGACTATGTCCAATGTGATGGCAATTGCGATGAGGTCCACCATCCGTATCCAATCGACCTGGCGGTGTAGTCTCTTGATCGCCTCTTTCACCTCTGTGAGCCTCCGCCATAGCTTGCCATGCTGTTCATCATCTCCGTGGTCTGCAGGCGTCCGATTCCTCGTGGCGCGTCCATCCTTCCCGCTACTAGCTTTTTTGTTCACCTCGCCAGTCCTGTCCCTGTTTCCCTCATCTAGTGCCTTCAAGTCCACCGTCACCACCAGCTCTGTGACGACCAAGCTGCACCATGTTGGCAGTGCGAATGTCGGGCGATGGGCTGAGATTCCCACACCTCGGATGTTGACTGTGATGCCCTGTCGTGGGGAAAAGGCAATGCGCCGAAAGCCAGAGTAGCCCACGCGCTGGATGGATACGCCCGTGACTATGCGCAGGATCGCAAAGACGACAAAGGTGCACAGGTATCCGAGGACAACGACACCAACCAGGAATGAGACAGATGGAACCGGCATACTGCTACGGCCATCAAAGCCGTGCGCCGGTGCGCAGCGGAGATCGAAGGTCCAGGATTATTCTGCGCGTAAAAATCATGCTCGTGCGATGTTGCTCGAGGTGTTGTGTTTTTGGCCGGAGCTAAGGGCGATTAAATGACGTTGAAAAAGACATGAGATGGCTGCACGCCGTTAATAATCGAATTAGTCCTTTGCATTGACTCGGCCGATGTGCTTGAACAAAAGACATCAATGCAGGCGGCATCTAGTTCCTACCCGAAATTGTTCACAGCTCATAATGATGCTCCACGGAGACTCTGGATTGCCCTATCGGGAAGCTCGGATATGCAAGACATCTCAAGATCGGCTCGGACATATTTACAAGCGGCACAGTCAGTGATTTTCACATGTTTGATTCATTGTATCCGCCCGTTACGCTGGTGTGTCGTTTCTCACTGCGATCAGGCCTTCGTCTCTGCAGCATGTGCGTTTACATGAGCAACGAGCTGTGCGCAGTCAACCTGAGGTGCGCGAGTAGACGCTGATCCCGGGCACTAGCTCTGCTGCCCCGACCCGAATGCTTATTTCTTAATCACTCCGCCTTTGCGTCCGCCATGTCCGTGTCGGCACCATGTGCCTCCCCAGCCATGACGGCCTGTGCAAGCTCCGGAACGCTGCTGGAAAATACCTGCTCCTTGATGAGTGCGGCCATGAGACCCGTCTTCTCTTCGTTGACAATCTTCTCGGCCGCCTTTGCCACCTTGGCCATTTGCTCGTCGCCACCGCTCTTATTCTTACGCTGGGGACCAAGCGTTATACCAGGTCTCTGCTTTGCACTGTCCAGAACCTGCTTCGTCTTCGCTGTGAGATCCTCGATTTGTGCTGTGACATAGTCGTGATTCGTCTCGAGTGGGGACGAGGATAGCGTTTGAACCCAGTATTTGTTCCATAGAGCTTCCAGCAGCTTCCCGTCGAGTGTGGATTTGAAGTGTGAGACTTCGAGTGGGTAGTACCTGTCCGCATGCGCGCCAWAGTCTTGCGCTTTGGCCATGGGCACGGCGGCCATGCCATCCGACACAGAATCCTGGCCCTGCGGCTTGTAGCCCTCTGGATATGTTCTGAAAGCACCGATCTCGACCTTTCCAGCACTGATCGTGCGGTGCGGATCGATCACTACCGCCAGAAAGGGATCGGAGAACTGTTGCTGGATATGTTGGGTGGAGACATCGATTCCCGAGAGCCAGCAGCCGTAGCCAGGATGGCTGTGATACCATCCCACCGCATTCTCCAGCTGTCCCGATTCTCTCGACTTTTGCAGGAAGTTGATCATGTACTCGTTCGCCTCATCCTGTGCGTTGACCCGTGTTTCGGTACCTTCCACTGGCAAACGCATCGCGTCTGTGACGATGAACGTCTCATGTTCCACGTAGCCCAGCATGAGGMCCATCACTTCAATCTCCCCTCCCGATCGAGCGTGCATGACCATCTTCACCAGCGCAACAGCGGATATGCGAACGTACTTGAAATGATGGGGGTCTGCTTTCCTAGCGATCATGACTGCCGTCAGTACATCTCCCTGAATGAGGAGTGATGTGGTTGACACTCACCATGGTCTAGCACTGTTGATTTTCTTCTGCTCGTCTGCGTTGTAATTGTAGAGTGCGTCTCGTTGAGTGTCCACGAGCTTGACGGCATTGTCGCTCTCCCAGGCAGACTGTTGCTCCATCTTGTGTGCTGTGATGCGAAACGCTGGCAAGAAAGGCGACCGATTATTGCGAATACTTGGCCTTTGTCTGTGATGTTTGTTGATCAGGCGGCGGTGTTTGAAGCCAATGAAGCTTGGAGTGAAGCTCTCTCTGGTCGCACGCGCGTGTCTGAACGATTCGGGAGCACTTCCACCTTCGTCCTTCACACCAAGATCTAAAGCAGCGAGATGACGCGAAGGTGAAGACAGATGGTACAGAGCTTCAAAGATGGTTGATGCTGTCAAGAAGCTCTCCCGGAATTAATCACTGCGGGGCAGATTACGGCATCCCCGTCAATTTCGAAATAGGCAAGGCGGAAGGAAACACGAACGCGACCGCGACTATCTCGCGTCGTCGTCGTCTCTGGGACGACGCTCGCCATTCCCACTTACCATTACAAACTCGATTCACTCCGCACAATCACCATGCCTGGCGTAGTGACACAACCATCTGTACAGGTGCCGAATAAACGGCATTTGCAGGAGACTGCCCTCTCGCGCCAAAATCAGCAAGCCTCGCCGCAGAAGAAACGCAAGCTTGGAGACTCGAAGCCGGTATTCAAGACTCCAGCAAGGAGAGGTCCAGATGGCAAGCCTATTGGGTCTAGTCAGCCCAAGAGCCAGTTTGAAGAGGAAGTTCTCGAGAAGCTCACACAAGACATCGATGCCTTGAAGCACAAGAATGCGGAGAAGGACCAGCACTGGGCAAGACCAAGCTTGGATGACTTCAACGACAAGACGGATGTGGTGTCATTCCAGGCGATTGACGCTGAAGAGGGCACTCTGCATGGCGGTAAGGCAACTGTCAAGCTGTTTGGTGTGTCTGAAGCCGGCCACTCCGTCCTACTGCACGTCACGGACTTTCTACACTACCTCTACGTCGCGGCACCAATCGCCTTTACGAAGAATGATTGCGAGCCATTCAAAATATATCTTGAAGGATGCCTGGCTCAGCATCAGACCGCCATACAATCAGTCCAGATGGTCATGCGGGAGAACATGTTTGGCTTCCAGGGAAACACAAAGAGCCCATACCTCAAGTTGACCGTCACGGACCCCAAATACATCAATCGGCTACGCACGACAATCGAAGGGGGCAATGCCAACTGGAAGGGGCTCTGGAAAGCGGCCGAGGGTGGCATTCTGAYATTTGACAGCATTCAATACGTCCTTCGCTTCATGGTCGACACCAAGATTTCTGGAATGTCGTGGGTTTCCGTTAATGCCGGAAAGTATCATGTCATTCCAATGCGAGACCGCCAATCGAACTGCCAGATCGAGGCTTATTGCCACTTCCGAGACATCATTGCACATCCCACTGATGGAGAGTGGTCGAAAATGGCACCCCTCCGAGTCTTGAGCTTTGACATTGAATGCGCTGGGCGGAAGGGTGTATTTCCCGAAGCCAACATCGACCCGGTGATTCAGATCGCCAATGTTGTCACCCGGTATGGTGAGGAGAAGCCGTTTGTGCGAAATGTGTTCTGCATGGACACGTGCAGTCTTATTGTCAACACTCAGGTCTTCGAGTTTGATAGCGAGGACAAGATGCTCATGGCGTGGCGAGACTTCCTCGAGGAGGTTGATCCCGATGTCATTATCGGCTACAACACATCCAACTTCGACTTTCCATATCTCCTGGATCGCGCGGCACATTTGAAAGTGGCCAGATTTCCGTATTGGTCGCGGTTGAAGAACGTCAAGTCGGTAGCAAGGGACGCCAACTTCTCCAGCAAGCAAATGGGGAACCGCGATACCAAGGCCACAAACACAAACGGACGCTTGCAACTCGATCTCCTTCAGCTCATTCAGCGGGACTACCAGTTGAGAAGTTATACGCTCAACTCCGTGTCTGCGCACTTTCTCAAGGAGCAAAAGGAGGATGTGCACCACACTATGATCACCGAGCTGTACAACGGTACGCCGGAGTCAAGACGTCGTCTCGCCGTTTACTGCTTGAAAGACGCCTACCTTCCTCAACGTCTCATGGACAAGCTCATGTGTCTGGTAAACTATACCGAAATGGCAAGAGTCACTGGCGTGCCGTTCAACTTCCTCCTGTCGAAGGGGCAGCAGATCAAATTCRTCAGTCAACTGTTCCGAAAGGCTTTGGAGCAGCAACTGGTTGTCCCCAACCTCAAGTCAGAGGCCAGCGATGAGCAATACGAGGGTGCCACCGTCATTGAGCCCACACGCGGGTACTACGATGTCCCAGTCGCAACCCTCGATTTCGCGTCCCTATATCCCAGCATCATGCAGGCCCACAATCTTTGCTATACCACCCTACTCAACAAGAATGCAGTCGACAAGCTCAACCTGAAAAAGGACGAAGACTACATTGTCACACCCAATGGCGATCTCTTCTGTACAGCAAAAGTCCGCAAAGGGTTGTTGTCGCAGATTTTGGAGGAACTGCTAGGTGCTCGAAAGCGCGCGAAGAAAGAACTAGCAGTGGAGACTGATCCGTTCAAGAAAGCTGTCCTGAACGGTCGACAGCTGGCATTGAAGATCAGTGCCAACTCTGTTTATGGATTGACGGGAGCCACGACGGGCAAGCTGCCGTGTTTGGCCATTGCCAGCAGCACTACTTCATACGGGCGTCAAATGATCGAACGGACCAAGGAAGAGGTGGAGAAGCGCTACACCATTGCCAATGGCTACAGCCACGATGCGCAGGTCATCTACGGCGACACAGATTCCGTCATGGTCAAATTCGGCCCCAATGACCTTGCAAAGGCCATGGAGCTGGGCAACGATGCTGCAGACTACGTCTCCAGCAAGTTTGTCAAGCCCATTAAGCTCGAGTTCGAAAAGGTTTACTATCCTTATTTGCTCATCAACAAGAAGCGTTATGCYGGGCTATACTGGACCAACACGGAAAAGTACGACAAGATGGACACGAAGGGTATCGAGACTGTGCGCAGAGACAACTGTCGGCTCGTGCAGAATGTGATCGAGACCAGTCTGAAGATGTTGCTCATCGACCAAGATGTGCAGGGCGCCCAGGAGTAAGTCATATCTATCCACTTCCACCGATTATACTAATGCTGTACAGTTATGTCAAGGAGACTATTTCAGAACTGCTCCAGAATCGAGTGGACATGTCCAACCTTGTCATCACCAAAGCGCTGAGCAAGGTTGATTACGCGTCCAAACAAGCTCACACCGAACTCGCAGAGCGTATGCGCAAACGCGATGCTGGATCAGCACCGGCACTTGGCGATCGTGTGGCGTACGTGATGATCAAGGGAGCTGCAGGAGCCAAGGGTTACGAGAAGTCCGAGGATCCCATGTTTGTTCTGGAACACAATCTTCCCATCGATACGAAGTATTATCTCGACAACCAATTGGCAAAGCCACTGGGCCGTATTTTCGAGCCCATTCTTGGAGAGAAGAAGGCGGGCTCTCTGTTAACTGGAGACCACACGCGCGCCATCTCCGTCGCAGCACCCACCATGGGTGGGTTGATGAAGTTCACCAAAAAGACCGAAACCTGTTTGGGTTGCAAGAAGCCCTTGTCGTCGAAGGAGGAACAAGGCGGAGCGGTTGGAGCGGAGTGTCGCCCGCGTTTCGGCGAGCTGTACCAGCGATCGCTGACCAAAGTGTCGGAGCTTGAGGTGCGTTTCGCGCGTCTCTGGACACAGTGCCAGCGCTGTCAAGGAAGTATGCACAACGAGGTCATTTGTTCGAGCAGAGATTGCCCGATCTTCTACATGCGCATGAAGGCCAAGAAGGATGTGGAGGATGCCGGAAAGGAGATTGAGCGATTCGATCGCGACGGCGCGCTTTGGTAGGGCGATTAATGCCTAGCATGCGATGTACTGGTAGAAGCTTATGTTAATCATGTGCGGAACCGTGGAAGGGCAAGCCAGCAAGCCCACAAGCACGAGCAAACTAGTATAATACAACACCCAGCAAGTCGATGATCCATCATCTTCCAGCACCGTCACGCAGGTAGAGAACCTGAGGGATGCTCAGCCCATCCCCGACCAAAATGAGTCGTGCTCGACGTCTGAGCGCGGATGCTGCATCCTGTCTCAGACGATCTCAGGCGGCCAAGTCGCAACGTCTCGCGTCCAGACCACGATGACATCGTCCACGTCTCATCTCCATGACTTGTATACCCTGCGATGATGATGGCAGCCTTCGAAATGTCGGAAGAGTTGCGTGTGCCGACTTGCTACAGTTGACAGCTCGATTGTTGCACAGCTTGCTCCGCGGATCGACAGCGTTTCATACAGCAGCCAAGCTCTGGACATGCAGACTTATTACGGCATCGCACCGGTTGACCGCACAGCTGCACAGATTTGCGTGGCTGCGGCTGTTCCTTGCGCTAGTGCGCGAGCGCCGTGATCGGGTCAGCGTGGACCCACTTGTGACTTGAGCTGCAGAGAACGATGTGGTACATGTGCCTTGGCCGAGGGACAGAGTTCACAGGTTCGCGTCTGAGTCGTGAAACTGGCCCGACGCGCTTATCAACACAGCTGTCCGCCAAAACCACGATATATTTAGCTATGTAACGGCCGGCGGCCCACGGCAGACATCAGCACGGCGTCAGACTTCCAGGCGTTTTCTGTAGATCGAGGACGTGCGAGCACCGGGGTTTTCTGAGAACTCGCCATGCTGTGCACCGGGAGGCTTTTGTAGGGGGATCGCAAGGATTATTCTCGCAGGGAAGTGGCTTCCGGCAGAGTCCAAGACGGCATGTGCAGCGCTGGACACGGCATCGGTGCAAACTAGTCCACTTGAGCCTCTGGCGGAGGAGCAGCACTAGCAGGATGCGAAGTCCAGCCGTGGGCGACGGCGTGGACCTCGGAGGCCTTGAAGAACAATAGGCGTGACGGTCTACAGAGGATGCAGACTAGCCGTACGCTGCCCGGACTGCCTCTCCTGTTCGCGTGGCCGTGGACCGTCATTCACGTCAGTAGTCAATCACGTGTCGGCTGTGAGACCAGGATGTCGGCGTGGATGTGTTGCATGGAGCTGCACGACCGACGAGGTCGAAGCAGCCCCTCCTCGAGCCTGCCCGCGCAGAGTGCTCCGACGGCTCCACTGCGCCGACGATGCCGCATTGGCGTGGCTATGTGAGACCGCTACGCACTGCCCACGATTGCCAGATGATGACTAGGTGTGTGGTGCCGTCGGTAGAGCGAGTTTGGAGACGGCTCGCTGGTCGGTCAGGAGAGGGTACTCCTAAGACACACAAAGGTTGCAGCGCGTCGCAGGATAGTGGCCAATGAGGAGCGGGGAAAAAACGGGCGCGTGCACTGCCCGTGTGTGAGACTTGGGACTTGAGCCGAACCTGGAAGCACTAGCTTATAGTGGTACCCCTTAGAAGCCCTCTCTCACAGCAACGAGATTACTTCTTCACAAGAGCCGCACATCATCTAATCATACACACTCCACCCATCTCATCGCCGTTCGACTGTTCCTGAGCATAGCGTCATTCACTCTTTCGGACGCTGTGACTCCAATTCTTTCCTTTGACAGCTTCTTTCAGCCGCCAGGCCGGCCGCCGTCACTCTTTCCGGCGCCGAGTCGTTTCGCCCTTTCCTTCCAGCYCCGAGCTGTCCACGACTGTTTTTCTATTGCCGATTCCGACGACACGAGCGGACTACCTATCCACCCACGAAATCACGCCTAATCGCCCGGGAGCGACGCCGACATCGACACCGCGCAGCATTCTTCCCCTCCGCCTGGTCGCCGGAGCCCGTCCACCCCGCAGCATCCTTCCATCCACCCCCATATCTACTTTCGGCAACACCTGGCTGCTCTAGACGGCCAATCTGTCGACGAATTACACCACCGCATTCTACTCCGCGGTATAAAGGCGAGCACCGTCAGCATGGCCGACGTGATGCAGCCTCAATCCTCTACACCGGCTCTCTCCCTCATTGACCTTGAGGATGGAGAGACCACACCTACTGGCTCGAGCTCCAATGGCAACAATGCCTCTCGCCGACCGCCGAGGAAGAGCACTCTCACCCAGCAGCAAAAGAACCAGAAGCGTCAACGGGCCACGCAGGATCAGCTCATGACTCTGGAGATTGAGTTCAACAAGAACCCCACGCCCACTGCACTCGTGCGCGAGCGCATAGCTCAGGACATTAACATGACCGAGCGCTCCGTTCAGATCTGGTTCCAAAACAGGTAGGCCGGCGCATCACCGCCAACCCGACATTAAACATACTAACCCTGTGGGTAGGCGAGCAAAAATAAAGAACATTGCTAAGCGTAGCATCGAGAGCGGCGAAGACTGCGACAGCATCCCCGAGTCGATGAGGCAATATCTGGCAATGCAGGCTTACGGCCCGGGAAAGGGCATGCCTGCTGCGATGATGGGCCGCGGTCCGGGGTTTGCGCCATATGGCAATGGTAGCATGTGTCTCAACACAGACGCATCTTCTGGCAAGGTTGTCATTCAGCATTTCCACTGTCGTTCGCTGTCCATTGGAACATGGCGTCGCGTGGGCCAAAGCACAATGGATCTGGTCGTCTTTTACTCCCCCGACAAGGCTTGCGTGACRTACTACATCAACAACGACTCGGCTGGATACAAGATTGAATACCCATTCGCTTGGATCAAGAACATCACACTGCAGCAGGGCGATGTCATTGCAGSAGCTGAAGGTGCATCTCAACGCTCCGGTGGACTAGTAATCGAATTGACACGGCCGCCAAAGTTTTACATGGACAGCTCTGGTAGCGGTGGATTTTACGAGTGTGGCGACTTTACGGAAGATCAGCAAGCAAGCCAGGTCATGGTACATCAATTGGGAGGTCCTTCCAAAGTTCTTAGCGGGCAGCTGGCGAAACTGGTTTCTCTCGAGTCATACCAAAACCGACACAGCCACACCATGTTTGATCCAAGCGCATTCGCAGTATCAGCTCCTGTATCGCCTGTCGGACACCGCCCAGCAAGTCAGCCCAACCACTTGATGCACCCGCACAGTGGCATGCATCTCTTCCCTCCACAGGACCCCAACGCAGGTCTCATGGGCCCACCCGGACCTCGTGGTCACAAACGGCAACGTAGTCGCTCCGTTCCTGTCGCGGTTGATTTCAACATGCTCCGAAACGGACCGATGCCCTCGTTCTTGATCCAGCACGAGGGCCAGAACGCGCCACAACCTTTGTCAGACACCAACATCTTTGCTCCCATCCCGCAGCATCAGCAGCACAACAGCTTCACTGCGGGCAACGATTCTCACCTGAGCATTGATACATCTTCTGGCTACATGGGTCTGCCTTTCGCTGGCGCACTCTCTGCTACCACGGCAAACTCACCGAGTGACTTTGGCACACCCGGTTTCTACAGTGCTGGGCCTGCTGCGGATGGCATGCAAGCATCACACTTCAACTCTCCATTCAACAGCGGGTTCCTCGCCGTCGATCAAGCATCAATGATTGGCACCAGCAACACTCCCCTGTCGATGGCCAGCCACGGCGACCCTGTCATCGCGGACCACTCCCCTCCCCTCAATGGAATGGGACGCAGTCACAGCGCGGATATTTTCGGCACGCCTGGCGAGGGTTCCCAAATGGGCGATGACAGCATGTATCTTTCCGAATCATTCAACAAGCAGATGGCACTTCCATTCCGGACCCCGCTTGGCGATGATTCCTTCCACTCGCCCATGCCTGATGGCATGTTCAACTTTCAATCCCCACCAGCCACTGGCTCTGACAGCCACGGCAACATGAGCATGTCTGCCCAGTCACAGATGCATTTCGTTCCAAGCCCTCAGCATAGCCAGGACGGTCACTACCAGTCGCCCTCCCAGCATGCCGGGCAAATGCACAATGACAGCGGTGTATCTTTCTCGACACCGTCTCACATGTCTCAGGAACAGGCGGCGATGTTCAACAACGCACAGGAAAATGGCATGGTCTACCAAGATTCGAAAGTATACTCTAGCCCAGGACAGATGCAGCAGCTCTCGGATGACCAGCAAATGTTCCACCACCACAGCCCTGGACAACAAATGGACATGCATACACAGCAGATGTATGGCTTTGTCGACCCTCACTCTCTCGGACACCAGCAGTAAATGCTGCACGCGATCAACAACTCGACGATGATGAAATGCCTTGTAGGCCAAATACGGCCATAGTGCTTCGGCGTTCGACCTTACAATTCGTAATATACCCTGGATAATTTCGTGTGGATGGATTTCGTTTTTTGGTGTGATATTTGTGTTTGCATACTGGATAGCAATTTGGAACGACAATCTTTAATACGAGTCGTGGAGTTTGATACTCGGGGAAAGGGCGTGCGAGGGAAGGATCGGGCTTGAAGGTCACGACTGGAATATACCCAACACGGAAGGGAGTGCTTTGCTATGTTGAATGTGCTTCGCACGGGAAAAGTTGAATCCAGCGACTGTCTAACTTAGCAGCCTCTGGCTGGCTAGCCTCTTCACTCGTTCTGGTAACGTGGGTTGAGCATGCTGTATGAAAATTGAAAAAGACTGCAAACACTGTACTTCAGTCCCAGAGTCATCACTCGTTTTCACTCTTCCCTTGAAAATCTCATGCTCATGCTCTTGCTGATGCTGATGATGACGATAGCGATTTGTTTATTTGTTTGTCTCCCACGCGCGTCAAGTTTAAAGCCGACTATCTTATCTTCAATGTGCATATGCATCATGCACAATGCATGACATTTCGGCCTCGAAGTTTGGGTCGTCTCGACCTCCATTCCATGGTTCCGACTCGGGACTTGAACCAAGACAAGCTCCTCTCTCTTCACACGCCAAGGCGGAATGGCAAAGACGAGATTCCACCTCGAAGGTTGCATCATCCTCCCCGAGCGAATTTGTTCCGTGCAGGACCCAGGGCGTTGGTACTCGAACCATAGATCTCGGGAAGTCCGTGCGGTATTTTTGTCAAGGCTCAGGATGGCCGGAGGCTTGCATGCGAGATGGGGCTATTAATTTATGACGCCTTTTTTTGATGAATGTGGCTGATGGATGGTGTAGCAACGTGGATTGTGTTGATTAGGATTGATGGGGTGGTATGTCTTTGGTGCTGGCTAATAATGTTGCTGTGCATTTACAGACGCGTTACGAGGCGTAGCTTTGGGTTGATTGGGGACGGAGTAGCTGTGGTTCTGAAAAGGGGGAGGTGTTGGTTCGGGACCAATCTCAACTACCTATGTACGGTATGGTGGTTCGTCCTCTACGGAACACGGCAAGCATTGGAGTGCAAGACGTGGAAAGATAAATTATCGCAGAGGGTGAGTTTYGGTTCCGAGACGTTGTTCCCATACACATCGCAATACTGATTCMCAGACCGCGCTCGTTTCGGAAATTAAAATCTGATGATGCTGACGATGCTGATGATGCTGACGATGCTGATGATGCTGACGATGCTGATGATGCTGACGATGCTGATGATGCTGATGATACTGACGATACCGCGAAGGATGTCTTGTTTTTCTCCATGCTGAATCGGAAGAATACCATCCCCAGCACCTGTCTCAGAGCTGCCACATGCTGCCCTCCTATCCCCACGCGCGCAGCACACCACCAACGCATCATCACCCGGATCATACCCTACCGAATCCCTCTCTGCCAGGCATCCGAACTCTTCGATCCGCCCACCCACTTCTCAGTGTACGGACAAATCTCCGATCCCACAGGACTCATAAGGCAAATTTCCAACCATTTCGCATAATTCCCATCTCCAATACTCCCCTGCACAACCGCCTTCCCCACCCCTCTCACATTTTCAAAAAGCCTCAAATTGGTGAAATCGCAGCTCCCATACATGGATTGAAAGACTTCGATTTCGAGACTTTCGACTCCTGTGAAACTCTCTGTGGCTTGTAGGCTGGAGAATCTGGGGTCGACGTCTAGACGGACGTGGATGAAGAATTTCTTGATGAGCTGCGCTACGCGGGATGAGGTCACTGGAGGGAGGGTGAGGCGTGTGGGTTGTGCTCGTAGGAGGAAGGAGGGGAGGGAGCTTAGGAGGGTTGGATGGGCTAGGAAGGTGTTTGATTGGTAGAGGATTGGGGTTGTTTCGTGGTTGATTTGCTTGCAGGTTCGGAGAAGGCTTGCCGGGTGGAATTGGTTGGGTGTGTATGATGTTTTTGATGAGGGGTTTTGGTCGTGGATCATGATCAGTTCCCAAATGGCCAGTCTTATCTCTGCTGGTAGGAGGAGGAGGCGGGAGAGGTGTTGTTCGGCCATTGTTTGCAGGTCGATGGTCGGGGTTTCTTTTCGTACTAGGACTATCATGATGATTTGAAGTCCATGAGGGGAGGGAAGCAATGCATAGGGACAGCTTTATTAACGGTATAGAATGCTTGCTATCAGTTAGGTGATAAGATCCCGGGCGATCGGAACCTTTAGAGTCGACCATTGCGGAGGTACATATGTACTTGTGGCTGTGGAGCTGTGGAGAAACCTAATAGTGCATTGGAATCATGCCCCCCTCGCCCCACAAAGATTGATAAATCGAGGAGGCTCGCAGATGTTCATAGTCCTCACGCTTCAACTGATGGCTTGTTGCTAGTTCATGGGCAAAACATCGCCCTGAGACTTTTCTTCTCATCCAGGCTGCAACGAATTATAGACTGTACCCTAAAGCGATACAGCAGACATTAAAGATTTTGATACATTTGCCAACATTGTCACTGCATCCTACTTTTTACATCCTGTACAATAAATCTCTGGAAGAAGATGACTGTCCCCACTCTCACGCCCGAGTCTCGTCATGGAATCCGCTCAACTGTTGATCGTCTCCTGGCGTCAATGCAAATGGAAAAGGCCACCCTGCAGTGAGGTCTCCAGGAAGCTGAAACTCATCCAACGGTGTCCTCATCCCAAGCGAGTTGGTAGGCAGATGGAGATGCCCGTGATCCACACCATTTTGAGTGCCATTGTTCATGGACATTTCCGGTATATTTTCAAGCGAGTGAGGAGCTTGAGCGAAGGAAGCCAGCATTTGGCGCTGAGCTTCCATGAAGTGGTCGATTTTGTCGATGTGGGCGCGAATCTCTTTACTTGCTCCGGCGGCGGGTTGGAGGCCAGATTCGAGGTCCTCGAGGAGATCGGCGAGAGATCCTAGTAATGCGCGGACCCTTTGGTACTTTTCCTCTGTGAGCACGTCTTGCACGACGGAAGCGAGGATCTTGCCAATGCCACCAAGATGATATACCAATGGCGTAGAGATCGCGCGGAGATAGTGAGCTGGGATGTTGGAGAAGGTTGTCAGGACTTGCTCGGCGACTTCGCACTTTCGATCCAGATCCTGCCAATTGCTAGATTCGAAGAGCACTATTCGTACAAGTTGCAGTGTTGCTTGGACGTTCGCTGCTTGGAAGCGAATGAGATCATGACTTCGTTCTCCCGTGGCTGGCGACTGGGCGTCCTTGAAGCGAGGCGGTAATGCATAATACAGGTCAAGCATTGTCTCCATGACCTGCAGGTCGGGAACGTTGTCTGCTATAAGCAGACGAACGATTGATGTTCGGTCATCGGTGAGATTTTGCTTATTCCGTCGCAGTCGTTTCAGGGTATGCTCAAGGATGCGATATAGATCGGTCGTAAAGTTCCATCCCCGAAGCCAATGCAGGTCGTCGGACGACGAGGATATCGAGTCGGAGGAGATATCTTCATCATCAACTTCGCTCGGATACTGCACGTTCGAATGCGTTTCTTGCGATCTCGAGATGGTGCCGAAGACCGCAGACATGTATATGTCTAGAGTGTAGACACACCAGAAGAGTCGGCGGCGCTCCTCCTTCTCGACGACAGTAAGATTTACGGGCCACTTATTCTCATCGTGGAATTGCTGCATGGCACTCAAGGTCATGTAGTGCCCCATGTACTGATGCATGGCTTGCAATCGACCATGTTGAATACTGCTAAGCACCAGCAGCGCATAAGCACGAAGATATCCAAGGCCCGTGGCTTTGCTGAGGTCCTTGGGAAGAGCATCCTGCGCAGCCGCGAAGAAGGTCTCTGAAGATTGGGATGCACCCTGATCAGATTGGTATTTCTCGCCCGTGGCGCCGTCGCGAGTTCTAGCAGCTGCTAGCGCACATGCTGCCATGATTGAAGCGAAGAAGCCTCGATCCACAAGATAGTGCTGTCTGCGAACGCGATCCCACATCGTCGGTCCGTGGAAGAGTGGGAACAGTGGATAGATGAATTCCATGTAGACTTCCAAGTACCGGTCAATGGTTTGCTGGCTGGCAGCCGCAAAGGACCGCCATGCTACCAATGAATCGTCGGGGACACCTTCGCGGGAATGGGAAAAGTTTCCAACATGTTCTGGCGCGGCGTGTCCTGCAAAGGGAATACCATTGGAAGTTGGTCGATAACCTCCCTCGATCTTCACGACGGGGGAGGAAGGCTGCAGCAGGTCAGTCTCCATCTTGACTACTCCCGTAAATAGAGAAGGACCTTACCGATAATGTCTGTTGTTGCTGTTGGGATGGCAGTAGATTAGGAGGTGATATTTGTGGAACGGATTGATTGCGTCGCCGTCGTGAAGGTCTCTTGTATGTGCAGTCCACAGCGAAATCGAAGCAGTTTTGACATTGCTGTTGAGGATTCTCCGCACTGGGTCGACATCGTATTGAGCGTCGATGGCATAGATCACACGCCTGAGAGATGCGTTGCAGTTTCTTGGGTCTTTCGCTGGTCATTGACATGGAGCTTACTCCACCGGCTACGCTGCTAGCGATCGGTACTCGAGTTGGGTAAAACGGCTTTGCGTGTAGGAGGCAGCAGGGGTATACGACAAAGAGGTTGTTGGACCGTGTAGCAAGATAACAGCGTAAAACAATGACCGGTCTGTTGGTCTGATGCACTGTGGTKAGTGGTAATCGCTACTGAGACTTGCGGCCTGCCACTCTCTGCAAGTCTCGAACCGCCTCTTACGTCAAAGCAGGGCCACAGAACCGAGAGGCAAATAATGGAAGGCGATGTCGGGCAAGACAGACCCTGCGGAGAAAACGCGGGTACGATCTTCGAGTTTGTACAGTATTTGTGTCAAGCTTTCGGTCCAACCTCGGTAGTGGTGAGCGTATACCGTAAGTGAACTAGCAGGATCGTGAAGACGGCGGAGACTTCTCCATGTGCATACTTACAATAAGTCTCCCGCATGCCGGAATATCCAGTCGGCGGGCTTCCTACCCTCGTAGGCWTTAGAAATTTGTAATGTGGCCTTGTGAATGGACAATGCTCCTCGTACCAGGCGGAAAAGAGTATGGACGAGTGGGACTGTATGTTCATGTCTCATCTCGTCCAAGCGACTTCATAAACACGGGTCTCATTCTCTACGAGACATTGAAGATCCTTACAGACCCATCATCGCTAGCAGAAGCAAGTTGCCGCTTTCCTGGTCTCCAACGAAGAACATTTACCGTCTTGCACGGAACAATCGCTCTGTCGATATTCTGCACCTCCATCGTCTCGAATGTCTGCAAGTTGAGAGACACAAGCACAATCGCTCCATCCTCATTCCCATATGCAAGAGTGACCTTGGAATCCTCTGCTTCAAGGCCAAAAGCCACGGCGGTAACAGCAGCGGTCGCAGAAATGGTAGTCTTACACTCGACTTTGCCATCGACTAGGCTCCAGATCTTGATAGTCTTGTCGCGACCGGCTGTAGCGAATACATGTCCTGTGGATGAGGGGGCCCATGAGCAGTCCAAGATCATCCTAGAATGACCCTTTGGATTGGATGTGTGTGAAGTGTAGGTGTTGGCGTCCTCGTTTGATCGTTCGAATACGGCCCATTGTCTGTCTCGACCGACACTGAGTAAGAARCGGTCGTCGGGAGAGAAGGCGAGGCTGGTGACGGTCAGACTATGAGCGGTCAGGGACGGTTTTACTTCTCGCCATTCGCGTGTCTCGTATAGTCGGATTACGGCGTGATCTATTGAGCTCGCTTTACATGCAGTTGCAACCAAGCTGCCATCGTGGCTTGTGGCTACGGCGCAGATCTCGTAGCCGTGGCCGTAAAGCTTTTCATGCTCTGGCCAAAGAGTGTAACGAGCCAGGTGCTCTTCCAAAGGTGGGTGGGTAAGATCCAGAGTTGATGTGTTGGTTGACGCTGGGTCATCGACAACCTGTCCACTCGCATCGCCGTTGACCTGCTCGTCATCGTGGATCTCCACCGTAGCCTTGTTTGACAGTCCCAAAACAGGGATATTGGCAGCGTCGGGAAGGTCCTCGGATGAAGAGCTTGCCAGACCACCAAGTTTCGACAACAGGTTGTCCACAGCTCGCGGCTTGTCGAATACACGTAGCAACTTCTCGTCCGCTCCAGATATGAAACGATTCTCCGTTACATGACTGACACAGTTGAGGTCATAGCCGTGGATTTGAGGACGTGAGAATTCATGCCATGAAGAGTGTCCCTCTCGCCGCCATTCAGCCAGCAGTCGAGTGGTTTGATCAGATCCCGTCGAGAGGAGATAGCTTCCATCGGGAGCCCATGCAACACCCTGAACTTCCTGTACGTGCCCACCGATTCCGATCTGCTGATTCCATATATCGTGAGCAGGATCGAATGTCCATTGTCGCCAGCTTCCCGTCCGCCCAAGGCTGGCTACGGATCGTCCTTCAGGTTGCCACAGTCCGATCCAGAAGCCACCAGTACTTCCAGTTGCGGTGGTCGAGCCTTTCTGTGAACTGATCTCACCAAGTCTGCTGCTGCATACCCACAGTCCCGAAGCAGAGTCAGCGTTCCATATGGCCAGAGAGTTGTCCGCAGATGCTGAAAGTAAAGCGGGTGCCACATTATCCTCACTTCGAGGGGCCCACCGCGCAGTGTAAWTCCAGTCTTCGTGACCGATCAGCAGAGCCTCAAACGTGATTGAGTACTTTTGCGTCGAACCCCCGACTTGATGTGCTTTGTTGGACAGGGATTTCGGCTCCAATGTAGCTAATAAGTCGCTGTTACTGTGTTGCTCCGGCGTCGGTTTTAATTGGTCTTGTCGGAATCGCCATAAACGAACGTATCTATCCTGACTCGCTGAAGCCAACAGAATATCGCTATCTGGACTGCTCCGCTCTTTGGTGAAGTCTAAGGAGCGAACCCAACCCTCATGACCAGATAGAGTAGCTTGCAGCTCGAACTCAGGGCCTGACTTTGTACGCACGTATATTTGAATGCTGCTTGTTGTCCCGGCTACTGCAAGGACAGTATCGCCATTGGATAGAGAGGTCAGAGCCAGAGTCAGAGGGTAATATCGTGGCTTCAATGTAATGGTTTGCACGAGCTCAGCATTGCCATCCTTGAAATGCCATATTTTGACAGTCGCATCTGCAGAGCCAGAAGCAAACAAATGCTCCTCTGCGAGGATCGATAGAGCGTTGACAGATCCAGTGTGGCCGGGCAAGCTTGCAGTCTCCTGGAATCCCGTACTACATTCACCCGAAGCAGACCAAATGCGAATCGTCTTATCAGCGCTTCCGCTGATCAAAGTGCGCTTCGAACCTTCATCGTAGATCTTCACAKCGTTCACTGTATCGGTATGTCCTGCCAAGAGAGCACTGATTCCCGCTTGTCGCGAGTCTTCGGGATTCCACAAGGCGATGTTATTACCCGCTCCGAATGCTAAGAGTGAGGGTGCCCAGTCTGCGGCAGAAGGGTGTCGATTGCCGCCAGCGGCGATGTATTCAATCGTCGTGGTCATCGCATCTCGGGGTTTCGATGTTGATGAAGTTTGAGATTGTTTGATGGCGCCGGAAGGAGCAACTTTTTCCAAGATTGTAGTCAGCAGAAAATCTATATTCAGCTGGAGGCGGACATCACTTCTTCTCCAACACATCAACGTATATTGAAATAAGAGATCCACGGTGAAATGACTGGTACCATCAATATCACAGTGGAGTTCACGTAGGTCATCATCTCTCTACACATTGTCTCTCTTTTCTAAGTAGAATCTCAGCGGAGGACTCGAATTACTCTTCTCCAATGAGCGAAAGCACAAAGTCTCCATCCCGGCCACAGACGCAAACAATCAGCCCTCAAATGTGGCATTCCTCACGCAATGGCTGTGTGAGAATCTCATGAAAGATCCTCGGGTGGATATGTTCGTTCTGGACGGCTCAGTGTAAGTCGCATGCACAGGATGATATGAATCAGGCTGATTCTGTGTAGCCGGCCGGGTATTCTCGTCTTGATCAACGATGCGGACTGGGAACTTGAAGGCGAGGAGAAGTATGAGCTTCAGTCTGGTGACACGATAGTTTTCGTCTCAACCCTTCATGGCGGATGAGGAGGCGCGAGTGCCTTTGTGTTGTCGCAAACAGGAGAGTTGCTTAGATCCGTTTCCTGAGCCATGGGATCGCGTTCGGGACTAGAAGAATCCCAGTTGAGGGGGATCGTTCGTAGCAGGGAGCATAGACGAAAGCTTGAGGAGCTCAAGTGATGGTACAGGAAATCTACGTCGAGGCGAAGAGTCAGACTGCTGCGAAGCATTGCACATGTCTAAGTAAGCAAACGCCCGTCTGTACGGAAAGGCCATTTCCAAATCCAACTCAAGTCATCCACGTTACACCAAGATCGAACAGCTCTTCAACGACAAAGGTGTTATGTTCGCAAATAAGAGATGCCGAGGAATAATCTCACACAATAACTCCCGGTGGAGCGCGATCGGTCTTGCCCAAAATACTCCCACCAAGCAAAAATTCACCCAACTTTCTTCACGTTCAGCACCCTACCCAGCCAGCCAGCAAGTCAGTCAGTCAGTCAYAGCAAAAGCAAACATCAGAAAAGGCCAAAAAGAAAGCTGCTCGCCAGGATTCTAACCTGGCGCAATCGCAATAGTTTAGAGAACAATGCATCAGCCGTGAATCGAACTATTGTCATTCGTTAGATTATGATTTTATCATCGCTCAACCGTCAGAGGACGACATACCACGGGGCTAGCCGATTCAAGTTACACCTGGCAACGGCTAATTTTACCACTAAACCACTGAAGCTTTTTTGGGGTGAACAATTGTGTTGTTCGATGAAAGCGGAAGGCGCGTGAGTGAATATAATGTGTGGGGCTTGGCATGCTAGAGGGGCAGGTGCAGGGGACATGGGCGTTTGCCGCGATAGCTCCGACGTGGGATGGGATCTTCGAGGATGATTTATAAGGCATTCGCAGGTGAGGACATCACGGCAGTTTGTTTGGACATGATACATTTGGAATGGATGGCTTGGTTGACGCTACATAGTCGACGAGGTATAACGACTTTAACCTGAGCTCCTGATTCTCCAAGATGCGTACAATGCACGGCTTGGAGAAGTGGCCGACACCAAAGGCAGAGTCTGCGCACGATGGCATGTCGTCTGTACTGGATGGTACGATGGACAGAGGGACGAAATAATAAGAAACATGCGTAGGTAGGTCGCTGTACATGGGTATTGGCAAGCGCGGTCATCGTGACTACCTACCTACATATGCGACTGCCTCCCAGCATCCCCAGCATCATGCACTGCATGGACATCATCCTCCTTTCAAGTGGAACATCCAACCAACTCCCTTACACCGTCTCTCGAACATAGCCACCCGCACCTGGACAGACTGTCGCGGCCCTTGGTTTGACCCCTCTCGTTCAATGCARCATCATCCAGCCTGATCAATGTAAGTTGTACCCTCGTGGGCCGCTTCTCGTCCACTGCTTACAATCAACAGGCACACCTTCCCTGCAATGTCCAGCTCATCTATCTCCCGCACTACGAAACTTGTCAAAGTTGCTAGGATCGAGAATGATATCCGCAAACTTGAGCGCAGCCTGTACGCAGCCGGTGCTACTGTGCCATTCCCACGAGACGCTCTACAGTGGAGCAAGCACAAGAATCGGAAAGACGTACCTTCTTACGAGGCGGATCTCATCGCTAGGCTTGTTCTGATTGACGACCTTTTGAAGTCGACACAAGAGCATGGGCGTACTTCCACAGACGTTCATTTCGATCCTCACTTACACGATACGCCATTCTTCCGCCCATGCCCGAGTTCCGCTCATGGCCGCACTGATGACCGCGGTCGTTCTCACTACCACCCACGCCCCAAAGAACGGCGCGATCAGGATCACTATCGTCGTCATTCTCCGGGACGCGGGTTCACCGAACACCGCCCTACTGGGGATAGTTACAGGCCAAGTAGACATCGTTCACGCTATAGCAGAGGCAGAGATGGTGATGACGAGGGAAGGCGTCGAGCACGCTCTCCAAGCAGACATCGTTCGCGCTATGGCAGAGGCAGAGATGATGATGACGAGGGAGGGCGTCGAGCACGCTCTCCAAGCAGACATCGACCACCCCGCAGCGAGGGATATGATGGTGGTGGTGGAAGACACCGAAGCCGCTCTCCGATCCGACCACACGATGGTGGTAGAGGGTATCGAGCCCGCTCCCCAAGCAAATATCGTCCACAGCACCAGGTCGGGGAACAAGGAGACCGCACCCCAAGCGAGTTGTCCCGCACGCCATACCACGTCGAGGATCATGGCGGCGGCCAAAGTAACGAAGTCCGTCGGCAAGACGTGCGGACATGGCCGATCATATCCTCGAAGGTCACGGTGATCTCTTCTAACGCTATGCTTTTATCTGTCTATACTGCAACATCCTGGATCTCGGATCTCTAGGCTATTCTACTGCAGCCTGGCACCTATGCAGTCCAACATACAACCAGACGTGCATACTGAACACCAGCCGGTGGATATTCAATGTACCGGAGAAGAAGATTTAGCATGGGTCGGCAAGAACTCGAGTGGGCGAATGGGTGATGCTAGTAAGAGGATATTCTGAGTTAAGAGCTGGTCGGTGGAGGAGATAGCCAGCTTGTTCGGTAATGGGAGATAGCCGCCTGTTCGGCGATGAAGGAAAGGGAGATGACCTCGAACAGCTTCCTCGAATAGCTTCATTCGGTAGCACTAAGAAACCAGGCATATGTTCAAGTCGTGTCTTTGTTGTGTAACGTCCCAGCCTTGATGGACAGTTGGATTGGTGATTCTAGCCGCCATCGCTACTACTACGGAAGTGGACAGAGGGCGCGACAGCGTGGTCCTCACCCTCCACAGCATCCTCCTCCTCCGCGGCATCATCCTCCTCCATCGTCCTCTGCCGCATCCTCCTCCTCCTCCTCCTTCTCTACGTCCTCCTCCCCTGCATCCTCCTCGACTGTATCCGCTACGGTCTCCACCTCTTTTGCTCTGCTCTGCCGCCTTAGCGCTTCAATGCCAGCTTGATATTGTGCTCTCCGTCGAGCGGCGAAGACAACCAATACCGGTAGGGAGGAGTGATAAGGATGATGGACCATCCTTATAATCAAGCGGATGCATGAATGCGCAGTAGCACTGGCCTCTACGACCGCGGCCACGGCCGCGGGCATGACGGAATGAACAATAACACATTTTGAAAAGTAAAGCTTTTCACCATGCAACAAGATCATTCCTCACTGGAAGACCACGTGGGTATCATGCTCTGACARGATCAAAATCAATCCAAGCCCTTCCAATTCCACTTCCTCCGCGTGAGATCACCCAGCAGCAACACCAGCCTTCTCCTCCTCCTCCCCATCACCCAATCCAAGTTTTCCCAAATCCACCACCAACGGATCGCTCTCATCCGTCATTTCCCAACTCCCTTGCCATCCCTCAGGAGCTTCCGCCCAGGCCGGCAAACCGGTCTCATAACTCCAGCTCCCATCCGCACTAGCATACTTCCTCGCATGCAGATAGATCCCCAACTCATGCAATCCGGGATCACTATACAGCGGCGTATCACAAATCTCACACACCTCTCCCGTCATCTTCTCCGCTTTCTTCTTGTTGTAGGAATCCACCATATCATCATGGTAAGCCACCGCCTCCGCGACATCCTCCTTGCCCATTCTGGAGAGGCGCGTCATGATATCTTCATCGTCATTTCCCGAGGAAGCGGATTTGCCGAGTTCCGGACCGAAGACTCGTTGGTTGGAGTAAATGGGGTCGTTGGTGATGGGATGGCCTAGAAATTGCAGGTGGACTCGGAGTTGGTGCGTGCGGCCTGTGAGAGGACGACAGCGGACAATGCTATATGCCTGTCGTGTCTCTGTCGCGGGACAAAATGCCAATCTTTTGAAGACCGTCCGCGCAGTCTTTCCGTTCGCTCTCACGCGATTCAATCCAAGCTTGGGAGAGATCTGGAGAATGGGTTCTTCGCAGACCACGTCTCCTTCCGGGAACTCCCCTCGGACTCTCGCGACGTACTCCTTGCGGATTGTCCGGCCCATGAGTTGTTTCGTCACGGCGTCTGCGGCCTTTTTGTGTTTGGCGATAAACATGACTCCGCTGGTAAGGCGATCCAACCGATTACATGGCAGGGGATTAAAGCCATGTCCGCGTTCCGCGCGGAGGATTTCGGTGAGGGAATTGTAGTTGTACCGTCCTGTCGGATGGACTGGCACTCCGGCGGGTTTGTTGATCACGATCAAGCCTTCATCCTCATGCACAATTCCTATCGGCTGGGCGGTGACAGGCGGCTCGTGTCGGTGGAGGGTATGGCTGATGACATCTCCATTCTTGACGATTGTCTCCGGAGATGGAACGGGCTTGCCATTCAGGTGGATTGCGCCGCTGGTGATTGCGCCTTGCTGGGTGTGTTAGTCTCATGATCCTCCAAATACTACGACTGATTGATCCCACGTACATAGTATTCTGCAGGTCGGTCTCGAAATTCATCCTTGAAGATCTCGAGAATCTCTCTTCCTCGCCATCGTTGCTTGCAGTTTGTGTTGTAGGTGAAATGGTAAGGAGCAACCCTTCTCAGCCCAAATTCCGAATCCAATTCATACGGTCGTGGCCAGGGATCGCAGGGAGTTGTGACGACGGCAGGTGGCGGAGCAAGGATTTCGGGGGATTCTGCCGCGGATTCGACGGTCGTGAGGGCCATGCTGGAGGGAGCAATCCGGCCCCGGCGGATGAGATGTTCGAGAACGCGAACGGAAGGATGGAAGAGGGAAAGAGTCGCTCTCATCGACGGAGCGGGGGGTGCGAAACGTGCGTGTATGTGAGTGAATGATTTCAGTGACATGTGAAAATGTCAAGATGCGCCTCGGCTGACTTGCCTTTTTCGTTTAGTCGCGCCTGTGCCCTCGCGTCTCGTCGCTTCACTTCTCGGCGAGAGTAGACCGAGTCGCGGCGATAGACCGCCTAGGGCGACGCTAAACGCGGCGCGCCCGCCGGAAGCTGATTAGCCGCGCCTACCTTACCCGGTCGCTAGAGCGCGTATATGCGGTACGGCGATAACGAAGCGGTAGCGAGGTATGCGTATACGTCGCTAGCGCGTATATTACTTATTACTCGCGTACGGGTACTAGCGCACGTTAKAGAGCTACTAGCCCTTCGTTTATACCGTAGTAGCGCATATTTAGCGGCTAGGATCCGCTACCCTAACCCTAACCCTCCGGAAATTACGAGCCTAGCGATAGTAAGATAGGGGCCCTTCGTCCTTTACGAGCTAGTATACGCTAGTATATACGCGTTATTCGAGTAAATTCTAAACCTTCCCTACGTCTAGGACGTACGAGATGTTTTAGGTTACGGATTATTTACTTTTTTTTCGCTATTTACTTAATCCTTATAATAATTCCTACTACTTAAGCCTCTATCTTTATTCTAACTTAGACCTTCTTCTTTTTATTTATATCTATATCTACCTTTCTCTTCCCCTTCTTCTTTAGCTCTACCGAGCTATTATAAGGGCCGTATAAGAGCCCTTATAATAACAGGATTAATTGTAAGGGTAAAGATGTAGCAATGTATTAGACACCCGTAATTACTCGATTAGAGATAAGACTAATTCTTGTAGGTTAAATGTGTGTGTGCGTAGGAGTTATATATGCGCTAAGCCTGCGCTAAGTAGTCGGGTTATATTGTACTCCCTTCTCTAAGGTTAGTTAATYTAGCTACCTCTATTAATCCTGTTATTATAAGGGCTCTTATACGGCCCTTATAATTACCTCCTTCCCCCTATACGAACTAGCCTTAGTTCGKGGKCTTAGGAAATAGAGGCGCGCGCGCGTCGTATACGTCGCGCTCGGGGTCCGTAGACTCTATATAGTAAAGTRCCTATTYTCTAAGYAACCTTCGGGCTATTTATATAAAAGCCGGCTAGTTAAACTAGCTATATAGGAWGTAGCCGCTTTCGGAACTTTATCCTCCTTCTAGTAGGCTAAATRCCGTACCTAGAARGGCGAGGGTTTAATTCCCTTAAYRACCGCTRCTCGAKRAGAGGGTTAATAAGTCCCCTACTACGCGGCGTATACGTTACCGCTACTATCCGTAAGGGTCTTATATCTATAGATCTCTAAGTAGGTTATTTGCTAAGTAACGTACCCTAGTAACTACCTCTTATTAA